ATATAAATAGGAATATTAAAAAGCACTACAAATATATATAAAAAGTATTATAAAAACTAAAGAAAGCCGGCCTGTTTTTAGATATTAAAAAATATAAGTTTAAAAAAAAGGAAACTCTCTATTTTAGATTTATTATATGTATAGAGTAAGGTATTAAAATGGATTTTAAAAAGATTAAGGCAATTATTTTATAAAAAAACTCTAAATTAGTAAAAACTGTCTGAAGCTTTTTAAGATTTATAAACTTTTATTATAAATTTATTTCTAGATTCTCAGCCACTGTACAACTACTTATAAATCTGACTAAGAAAAATTAGTTTTTTTAATAGATCTAAAAGTATAAGACCAGCTTCTGGATATTAAAAAAAAAGTTTACAACCAAGCCTGTTTTCTGTTTTTTTAATTCTAAATATATAACAGTAGTAGAGACAGACTTTTTAGGCTATAATATAAGAAAAATACTTTTTTAAATAGATGAAAATAAAGAGCTGTATTTTTATACCTACTTTTTTAAATAGAATATACCAGCTAAGTATAATTATAAGATTTATAATAAAAAACTGCTAGTAGTTATATAGTATCTAAAAGCTTAGAATACTGAGTTGTACTTAGTATTAGAGTTTATAGTAGTTACTAATTATAAAAACTTAGAATATTTTTTTAAGCTATATAAACTTATAAAAAAATATATATAATAAAGCTTAATCTTAAGCAAATTTAACTTTAAACTAGTTTATTAAAAAAAAACAGAGAATAAGTAAGCAGACGCCCTTTTATAATAAAAATAAAATATATTTAATAAATAAGATTCTAGAATATTATTTTATATAATACAGATTTTTAGTAGAATATTAAAAAGGGATTTAAAATCTAAGACTGGTTTACTTACTGCAGCCTTAGTATAGTTATAAAAATATAAAATAAGACCAGATAAAGACTTTTTAGAATAGATATAGTAGATTATTATAAAACTATTAAAGCTAGAAAACAGATCTACAGACAGCTGGACCCGCATCCTAGCAGTAGATATAGATTATTAAAATCTAATAAAGCTTATATAAAAAAAAATATATAAATTTCTACTCCAGCTGAAACTAAAAGTCTCTCTAAACAAATATTTAATAGAAGAAGCTTGGGTATACTTTTAAAAAGGACAGTAGGTTTCTAACTATAAACTGTTTTATACAGATCTTATCCAAAGTAATTATAATCCTTTTATTATAAGATATTCTAGCTGAGAACAGACCTATCTTTTTTTTAGCAGAATATACTTTTAGTCTAATATATCCTAGGATGTATAAAAATATATCTAAAACTATAATATCTGCAGTTGTATAAAACTATAAAAAAAATTAAAGTATAGATTACTAAAGCTGCTGCTAATATCAGATTAACCCTAGTAAAAACTAATAATAGATTTTATTACTAACTTATCTAAAAGCAAGTTATATATAAATATTCTAGTAATTATAAACAAACTAATAAAAAAGATAATATTTTATATAATAAAAAAGATTACTGCTGAAGCTACAGCTAAAGCCCTAGTTAAAATAGTTTTTAAATAATACAGTTCTTTAAAAACTATAGTCTTAGATTAAGGCACCCAGTTTATAAGTTGTATATAAAAAAAAGTATATAATCTTCTAAAGATTATAAAAAGGTTGTTTACAGCCTATTATTTTTAAATAGATAAAATAATAGAATATATAAATAGTACTGTTGAAGTATATCTAAAAGCTTATATAAACTATAATTAAAAAAATTAGATAAACTTACTGCCTTTGGCAGAGCTGGTAATTAACAGCTGTATAAATACAGCTATAGGATTTTTACTATTTTTTAAGCTATAATTATAAGTTAAATCTAAATAATCAGAAAATAGTTTAAAGTACAGACCTGGAGGTTGCTGTCTTTAGTCCTATTTAATTAAAAGATATAATTATATAAAAAATATATAATATCTTAGACTGGGTTTAAAGTACTATAGTCTATATATAATAGAATGCTAAAAGACAGGCTAATTAATCCCAATAAGCTATTCTATTATACTAAAAGGGTGACTAGGTATAGTTAAGCCTATAAAATATCTGTATAAATTACCCTAATAAAAAGCTAGATTAAAAAAATATAAAATATACTGTTTTAAAAAAAATAGGATTATATACTGTATAACTTAATATATTAAAAAGTATTTATTTTATAATTTATATTAACCTACTTTGTCTGACAGCTAATAATATATTATTATTATAAGATAAAAAAAACTTACAACCACCATCTATAATAGTTAATAGTAAAGAAGAATATAAAGTTAAAAAAATTCTTAATAAACAGTATATAATAAAAGGCTGGAAGAGCTTATTATAGTATCTTATTAAATAGAAAAACTATATAAAACCAATCTGGAAACCAGCTTTAGTACTTAAGAATATAAAAATAGTTATAAAATGGCGGCTGTAGTTCCAGCTAAATCCTAACTAACTACTAAATAATTAAAAGCTGGGATAGAAGAAGAATTATACTAATATTTTTCCCCCTCAGCTCTGGTTTATATAAATCTAAGATAAAAAAAAAAAAAAAAAAAAAAAAAAAAAAAAAAAAAAAAATCTTTTTTAATTTTTTAAAACTAACTAAAAAAAGCTGTACTCAATCTAATAAAAAAACTAAATACTGTTATATTAAATTTAGCTTATATACTAATTTAATCTATTAATTTTTTAATAATATTTTAAGAAAAAGCAGTAATAGCTGCAGGCTTATATTTAGACTTATCTGGGTTATAGTAGTTATAATATATACTATAATCTTTAAATTTATAGTTTATATAGGCTTTGCCCTACTATTTAGACAGCTGTATAATCTACCAGAACTTTATTTAATTATTATACTTATAATAATATAGTATTACTAAATTATAGGATGTAATTAAAAGGCTGTTAATATAAAAAAAACACCTGGTATATATCTAACTTTATTAGTATTTTATATAGGAATACTATTAGATTTTTTTATTTAAGCCACAGTAAAAGCACCGATCTTTATTTTAAATTTATAGTAAAAGAAATACTAAACATACTGCTAGTCCGGAGTATAGTAAAGTTAAAGTAAAGCTTTATTTTTATATACTATTAGTTATATAGTAATCCAGTGCTTTGTATTGCTAGTATAGAGATTATAAATAATTACATATTATATAAATAAAAAAAGTAAATTATAATTAATAAAAGTAGAAGAGATTTGAAAAGGATTATAATAAATAGAAACTAGTACTTTATCCGGATAATTAGGCTTACCAGCCCCAGTATTAGAAAAAAAAGGTATAATATTAATAAGCAGAAAGAATAATAAGAATTATATAGATAAGAGAAGAACAGATTGGTAATAAAAAAAATAAAAAAAAGATATATATACAAAAAAAAAAAGCTAAGAAGAAAGAGGGGGGGTTTTTTTATATAATACTTTGTATACTTTATATAATATTAGTAGCTAAGCCTAACCATACCCCCGGAACTGGTTGTATGAATAGTATAAAAAAAAAGATTTTATTTACTAGATAAAAAAAAATTATATAAAAAGAAGAGATTCTATTTATTAAAAAATTACTGTGTTTACTGGATAAAAAAGATTTATATAAAAAAAAGAGCTATAGTAAGTAATACAGACCCTGCCTATATATATACTGCTTACTAACCAGCTATAATATTATTTAAAAGAGGCTGAAGTATAAAACTGTTGTTTTAGATTCTAAACAGCTATTTATACAAATAGAAGCTGTAGAAGATACTAAAAAGAGAAAAAAAGGGCTTTTATTATAGAACTAAGGCCCTGTTATAAAGCTCGGCTTCAGACACTAGTTAGTATTTAAGATCTTGTATGCTAAGTACTAAACTAGCACTAGTTTAGTATATATATAAAAGAATTTTGTACAAACAGATGAAATAGCTTCTCAGCTATTTCTTCTTATTCTAAGGCACGTTTTGATTAGCACAATCCATCCGTCCCGTAACACAAACAGATAAAACAGATTAAACAGATTAGATAGGTGGGACAGGTACATTAGGTCTGCACTGTAACAAGCATAGTATAATACAATAATAATACAGTAATAAAATAACATATTACAGTACTAATATAGTAATAGGACAGTACTAATACTGTGTTGCCTGATCTTTTATTAAAATTATACAATATATACATAGATATCAGCACTACTCTAGCCCAGTGTATAGAAAGACAGCAGTTAGTTTAATTATTAATAGATATGGAGGTCTACCACTCAGTGTATCACATTCCACACTGATTCTCACACTCAATAGGTTAAAAACTCTGCCACTTGATTCTAGACACGCTGCTGATTATCAGCCCTTACCGGAAGGGTTTCGGAGCCGGATATTCGGGATCCGGATGTTCGGGGGTCCGAGTTTGGCAACTTGTTGTGGGTCTGATTGATATGATTCTGATTATCGATCTTTTATCCTATCAATCTAATCTAACCATCTGATTGGGGGTCGCTCTCCACATCTGGTAGGGAAGCACGTGTGGCTACCAAAGCTTTCTTCCCACTGATTATTCCGCCTCGGTGACCAGCCAAAGCCTTCATGGCCTGTTTCGAAATTGTATCCAACAGAGCCAAGCTAGTATTTCTTGCATGTTCCACTACATTCCACATGCCCAATTGCCATGCGTGCTAGGTCTCTCAGGTCGTTCAATACCCATCATAGTGCCCACTTTCCAAAAGTTTCATCTCCACCTCAAGGCCAGAATCAGGAGCAGTTTCATCTTTCACCGACAAGTACCGTATAATGTTGCAGAATGATGAGATTGCGCCAAGATGAAAGATCGTCGTTCTCAATGGCTGACAAGATATATGCCAAGGTTCTTGCGATGTCCCACTTGAAAAAAAGACGTGCTACTTTAAGAGCCCATCCTTATAGACAGTCGTTAGGGGCAGTCTTAAGGATCGATTTTCCGGGCAAACAAACAGATCATCATTCTTCGTAATGAGAATCACGTTGGCCATTGTGGCTTCGTGCCTCAGCTCGCACGCTGTGGCCAAGAGCTTCTCGCCGAGCAATGCGAACCAATACTGCATGTACGCCATATATGAGTCCTTCTCTTTGTTCAAATGGCAAGAGAACACCAACTCCACGAGCGCGGTATCTCAAAGCTCGACACGTTCAAGCGCCGCATCTGAGTGTACGAATGTGCTTGAGGTAACATCGATATATGTCTCCATGCGAGAATATTGTCATGGAAGGGCATACACTGTAGGCCTTGACTTTTGGAAGAGCCTGTGCACTAACTCCGGCTCGGCATTGATGGACTTGGACAAGATCGAGGCCATAGCTACCACCAAGTACATCGAACAGCTACCCGTTTTCAGCCCAGACGCTGCGAACTTAGCCTCAATTTCCTCCGCGGTACTGCTTGACAAGTCATACTATCGACGAGCCGTCCGCAGTGTAGTAAGTATAGTGACAGTCCCTTGCACTCATGCCGGATATTAAATCATGCTAGACTGCCGACGAGACCGATGATTCTCGCTCGTTGAAGATTGCTTGGGGTATTCACGGCTTCTGGGGATCTGTGATCCTGATCGGGATCATCTCCAACTTCCTAACTGGACTCTTTTATTGTCGAGATGCAGGGCGAAGCCAGGACCCAGAAAAACCTAGATCCCAGTCTCGCCTCCGGCGCCTATCGCCATCAAATCCGATTTCCAAAGTCCATCAGGCTCTCAACACACACTTGATCCTTGCGCCGAGTCTAGGGACGTATCACCAAAGGCTGCTCTTTGGCTGTAAAGTCCCTCTACGCGGGCAAGCATCGGTCATTTTCGCTTTCTGGGCCCTAGCCGTTATCCTTGCTTGTATACGATATGACGCGTACTCAGACGATCCTTTGTATGTCGCTGCCTGTGTGTCTTTTGACTCTCGACTAATTGGTTCTAGTAATGGAACTCTCGCCTATCAGATCTGGGACACTATGGGGCCGAGACTTGGCCTACTCGCCTTCGCATGCTTGCCATGGCTGTGGGTATTTGCAGGCCGAAATAATGTCTTGATTTGGGCCACTGGCTGGAGCTTCCACACATTCAATGTGTTTCACCGGCACCTCGCGATGCTGACCATTCTCTATGCCATCATTCATTCTATATCATATACCATCAAGTACTTGGCTTACAGTGAGACTCTGCCTCTGCAACCATCTCCGTTCCGGCTAACATCGCGCCTCCAGGCCCGAGCAAGTATACCACCGACTTGGAAACGGACTGGTTCAGGTTTGGCATTGTTGTCTGTGTTCTCTGAAGTTGCTTGTCATCGGTCTTCGTGCTGACTGCCTTGCAGGCAACAGTGCTCATGTTCTTGATGATCCCATTCTCCTGCGGCGCGCTGCGCAAACGATTCTACGAAGTATTCCTCATTGTGCACGTTCTCTTCGGAATCGTCATTGTCTACGCTCTGTTTAGGTACGTAGACTGTGCGTGGGAATGCCCCCTCACATTTGCAACCTGTCTTCTGACCCCGGATTCCCCCAGGCATATGAGCAAGTTCGGCACAGAATACACTCCCCACCTGTGGCCTGTAGTGGCTATCTGGTCCTTCGATCGCCTTGTCCGCATCCTCCGCCTGGTCGTCTGCAATCTGTCTATATACCGCAGTAGCAGCGTGCATTCTCCGTACCAGACCACTGTCACCTACCACCCCAGCAGCGACGTTCTCCAGATCGAAATCCAGCCCGTGACCCTCCCCACCTCGCCCAGAGCCGGACACTACTACTACCTCTACCAACCCACGACCTTCCGCGGCTGGGAGAACCACCCCTTCACCACGGCCTCCGTTCGCTACGCCGACCGCGACAGCTCTTCCACGTCCTCCTTGCCGGGCTCGACCACTCCTTCCCGCACGTCAACGAAGAAAGAAGCCGCTATCACCACACAGTCCCGTCCTCTCGCGCCCCCTTCACTCCCAGCATCCACTCCGACGCTAACCTTCTGGGTCCGTCCGTACACCGGTTGGACCCACCGTCTCAAATCCCAAGCCATCGCCGCCGGCAACACCCTGCACCCAACCCTCGTCCTCGAGGGCCCCTACGGTCGCAGTGCGTCCACCACCCTGCGCACCTTCGACCGCATCGTCATGATTATGGGTGGCACCGGCATCGGCGTCGCGACGGCATACCTCCAAGTCATGCTGTCCTCCCCGCAGGGGTTGGAGCATCCGCAAATCGACCTCCACTGGACGGTGCGCGAGCCCGCGCTAGTCGACCAGCTGTATCGCGCGGAGCTGGGCTCGTATTTCCAGTGCCCTGGAGTGCGGATGCGGTTTTACTGTTCGCGAGGATTAGGTGATGCGGTGGAAGGTGAGGGAGTGCTCTCTGGGGGTTATGTGGATGTGGAGGAGGGGCGGGCCCCCATTGCGCAGATTGTGGCCCAGGCGGGGGCGGAGGAGGGCTCGGTGGCGGTCGTGGTGTGCGGTCCGGCGGAGATGGCGGATCTCACGCGCGCGGCCGTGCTGGCGGCGCGGCGGGGCGGGGCGATCGGAATAGAGTATTTCGAGGAGGCGTATGGGTGGTAGTCAATCTCGCGGTATCGGGGGATGGCATTGTGGAGGTACAGGCTTTGGGGTAATATGAGTACATAGAACAAAGAGGTGACTAGCCAAATAATAGTCATCATGTCTCTATGCTACGACTTACTCTCCGGTCGGAACACCGAGTTCGAAGGCGTACCTCTGTGCCGGTCGTCCGCCGGTCTGCCATGCGGTGCGGGGTAATTTGTTATTCTGGGCCTGGATTGTCGTCGGATCCTTCCATCCTGCGTTTAGGTGATTTGCTGGGTGACTAATTGCCCAGTGTGCATTCCCCCCGTCGGTCTTAGGCAGTGGTAGACAATGACTCAACTGTGACTCACCTCTAGTTCCGTACTGGGAAAGGCCATGCTTCCTTGAGTATCATCGCGTCATCTTGAATTGGATAGGGACTTACCTTACCTCCTCTCAGGGGCAATCAACGAGGCGTGTGGCGGCCTAATAGCTACACACCGTACAAAGGCTGCGGTCGGGTAACACCCAGGCGGCCTTCCAAGGCTGACATTATAAGAGGATCCCATCCACGGGTCAGTAGGCGGAAGCAATGCTCCAGTCGCAACCTTTATCATCCAGCTAGAGCACAGTGGGCTACCTTATGCCCTGAACCGTTAGAGCAGAACATGTCCACTCAACTCGACGCCGCCTGTATTGCCCGTCTCTCCCTACACGACCCCACCCGCTTCAGCATCCAGCACTCCCAGACTGTTCATCGCCTCGAGCTCTTACAGCACTGGAACATTCCGACTGGCGCCAAGGTGCTGGAAATAGGCTGTGGGCAAGGGGACTGCACGACTGTCCTTGCCTCTGCCGTGGGCGAGCAGGGGAGGGTGGTGGCCGTGGATCCGGCGGATCTGGATTATGGTGAGTCCGACGTCCACGGTTTCTTACCCCGCTGCTTGTTCTGGCGGTGTGGGCGGACAAGCCGCCCACTGATGAATCTTCTTGCAGGTGCCCCGTATACTCTCGGCCAGGCACAGAATCACATCTCACAAGGCCCGCTAGGAAGACGGATTACTTGGGTTCAACAATCGCCGTTAGACTACCTCGCCTCCCTCCCCTCCCCCTACCCATCCTCGCCACCCGCCAGCGAAAGTAAGTCCTTTGACGCAACAGTGCTCGCCCACTGCCTATGGTACTTTGCCTCCCCCGCGCTCATCCTTTCTACCTTCCGCGCCCTCAAGCAGCACAGCAAGCGCCTCCTCCTTGCCGAGTGGTCCTTGGTAGCGAGGCACCCCTCTGCCCAACCTCACGTGTTAGCTGCGCTCACTCAAGCAGCGCTGGAGTGCCGTAAGCCCGTTAGCAAATCGAACGTCCGCACCGTGCTGGGACCAACGCGGCTTACCGAGCTGGCCCAGGCTGCCGGGTGGCAGCTGGAGACTGAGACCCGCGTGCAAGGTAGGGAGGGCTTGCTGGACGGACAATGGGAAGTGTCTGCTTGTCTTTCGTCCTCTTTCGAGAAGGAAGTAGAGGAGGCAGTGAGTGAGGAAAGGGAGCGGGCAGTGGTTCTTGCATCCCGGGATGCGTGTGAGGCAAGTTTGGAGGGCATAGAGGGGGGCCGGAAAGGAGTTAGGGCCATGGATGTTTGGGTGGCTAGTTTCGTCTGATCCGGCAATTTGAACACGCCCCGGCTAGCCCTCTTCGACGCCCGATATCCAACTCTGCTGCGCACAGTGAACTGGTATTGAGAGTCAACCAGGTCTACAACAGTACTCTCTAGTTAAACAACTCCACCGATGAGGTTCCAGTGTTTGGGTCATATATGTAAAGAACCTGTTAGAATGACGGTACAGCATTGTAGGCTAGCTCGTTACAGGCCTCGCGGAGAGACTGTTAACACCATAGCCTATGACACACGACCAGACAACAGCTAACATCCTTTTGTCTATAATGGGAGGACCCAGCAGTATACACGCAGTTGATTGCGACCGTCAACAGAATCACCCTACCCAGCTCTAGCGGGCCAGGATGCAGGGATCACCCTTAAGTTGGTACCACGTGCGTCTGGCCGAGCGATACACTCGGGGTTTCGGACCGGACAAAAGCCCGAGGCAATGCAAGACAAAGAAATGGTCAGCAAACAGGGAGTGCCGGGCTCAGAGGCTCATAGTAGTGCGCGGCTTGCTGTCTATTTCCTGTTCATAAGCTTCTCCGTCTATCTCATGCGGCATGTATTTGTTCTTCTGACATCCTCCGATCTTTTGATCGATTCTCCGTTTCTCACCCCCACCCATGGCTGAAACCTCAACTCTCGAAGCGGAGCAAAAGAAAGTCCTACCTACACCGATGCACAGCACAGTGCCATATACTCCTCACGACCGAGGGACTCACCCAGAAAGCGAGGAGACGAACTCGGACCAATCTCCACCGACCCCTGTGCCCAAACCGAGGAAGACATGGCGGTTCTGGGCGGTCTTCCCAGCCTTGTGCATGACTACCTTCCTTGCCGCTCTCGACACATCGATCCTCTCCACTGCCCTTCCGACCATTGCGCTCGACCTTTACGCGGGAGAGATGTACATGTGGATTAGCAACGCATACATCCTGTCCTCTACCGTGGTGCTCCCACTCTTCGGTCAAACGGCGAACATCTTCGGCCGACGATGGCTGATGATCATCTCCGTGGTTATCTTTGCGATCGGAAGCACCATCGCCGGAAGTGCCAGTACCACCACTGCGATTATCGCCGGACGAGCAATCCAAGGGATTGGGGGCGGAGGGATCAACATTCTTGTGGACACCGTCATCTGTGATCTGGTACCCCTTCGCCAGAGGGGTAAGTATGTGGCACTTATGGCCTCGATCTGGGCTGTAGGAACCACCATTGGACCTGTTCTCGGGGGTGCCTTTGCGCAGCATGTCTCCTGGCGCTGGGTCTTCTACATCAACCTGCCATTATGCGGGGTGTCGCTTTTCCTGCTGGCGCTCTTCCTCCAGGTCAACCATCCGCCCCGACCACCCAACACAACCCTCAGGCAACAGTTCGGCCGCGTTGATTTACTGGGCAATACCATCCTCACCTTGGCTGTCGTGGCCATCCTGCTGGCATTGACCTGGGCGGGAACCGCCTACCCTTGGTCCTCTTGGCGAATTTTGACGCCTCTGTTTCTTGGATTGGCGGGCCTGGCCCTCTTCTGCATCCATCAAGCCTCGCGCTTCTGTCGGGAACCCTCCATCCCGCCCCAGCTCTTCTCCAGTGCAACCGCTCTCTGTGCTCTTTGGCTCTCCTTTTTTCAGAACCTGCTCCTCTACTGGGTGGGCTATTTCCTACCCGTCTACTTCCAGGCTCTCCGCAGCCTTTCCGCCACTGCCTCTGGCCTTGCTGTCCTCCCCATCACAGCAGCCATTGCACCCTTCGGCGTGATCACCGGGGTATTGATCGCAATGAAGGGGAAATACCGCCCCTTCCACTTCCTGGGGTATGTTTGTGTGACGACCGGGGTCGCCTTGTTTTCGCTCCTTAATAATAACTCCCCTGCCCGGGACTGGGCCGGTTTCCAGGTTCTCTTCGGAGCGGGGTTGGGCATGATTTTCTCCTCCACCTTGCCGCCAATCCAGGCTGTCCTTCCAGAGTCCGAGGTCGCAACGGCCACGGCGACGTGGGCGTTCGTCCGGAGTCTGGGGTGTATTTGGGGCATTGCGATTCCGACGTCCATCTTCAATACGAGGGTGCAACAGCTGCTCAGCGTCGTGAGTGATGGCCCATTGAGGAAAAGATTGGCAAATGGAGGCGCCTATGCCTTAGCCGCAGAGGGGTTGATCAAAAGCCTCCAAGGGCAAGCAGATTTGCAGAGGGAGGTTCTGAGGTTGTACGAGGATGGGTTGAGATGGGTATGGTGGATGGCGGTTCCGTTCGGGGTCATTGGGTTCTTGTTGTGTTTCCCAATTCGCGAGGTGAAGCTGAGAGAGGAATTGGTGACCGAGTTTGGCTTGCGAGGGTGATGATCAACATGATATATTGATCTGCTTGAACGATACAGCCTGGAAGCTGGTCTAGAACAAAAGCAAGAAAGGCCTTTGTGTCTCGCTCACCAGTCGAAGGTATCGCGGATTGGCCCCTGAGACCAATCTCCGCTTTTGGGCCTTAGGTAACAGTTGATAGAAAATAGGAGATGAAGACCACTATCACCAAAGAACCGCATCTCCTTGCGGATATGAAGAGGAGCTCCGAAATGACGAAAAATGATAAGCCTCCGGACGACTTTTGAAGAGCAGTCATATTTGGCTCTGGAGGGATACTGCTAAGTCATGAGATAATTTGTCCAATTCTGAAGTGGTTCGTTCGACGAAGGCGAGCAACTTCTATCATACGCCTTCTGCAAGTTTTCAACCGTGTGTCCGTAGGCAGAGCCGATCGCTAGGTTTAACAATCCTTTGAAATAGCCTATGAGCTCATTGAACCCATCGTTCCATATATTCCAGCCCAGCACCCTTACTTCAATGTTAAGTTGTGACGCCAGCGGTGAACACAACCTGGGTGATCACGGTATGATTTGCATCTGCACAGATGACAGGCGCCTTGACAGCCGGTCATGTGATCAGTCTGGATGCCTCAGGCATTTATGGCTCTATATATGTACATAGTCCAGAGCGAAGGCCTCTGCGGGCCTTCCTCTTCTTCTCTTTCCCAAGAATGGAATTCTTGCACGGTTAGATTCATCATCGCTTGGAGCCTCACAACAGACGCATCAATGTATCGTCGGTAACTGGAAATTGGATTAACATTATTGCCAGACAGACAGATCTCGGCTTTCGCACTCCATGTGGGCTTTCACATTCACCATCCTAAAGTCATTACCCACTCTCATCCATGGTGTAATGTTGGATGCTGCAACCCTGAACTAGGCTCATTGTTCCACTGCATTGGTGTTCGGGAGTGGTCCCTGGCTTTTTTCTGAAGAAGCTCTCTTGCCTTTTCCATTTGTACCGGATCGTTGGAATAGAGCTTCTTCGTCTTCTGCCAACAGTTGAGGCTTTCTATGTCCTTGTAGTCAACATCCGGATTCCAGTCCGCTGGAAAATTTCGCATTCCAATCTCCTAACCTTGGTAAAGATACAAGGTACCACCGAGAGTCAATTGCAGAAGCGCAAGTAGCTTGCTACCACGCGTGCGGAACTCGTCGCTGTCGTCCACGTAGCGAGATACAGAGCGAGCCTGATCGTGGCACTCCAAGAAGAGTGCATTCCATCCATCCCATTCGATCATGTTTCTTTGCCTATTGGAGAAGATTTGTTTGAGCTCTGTCAATTTCCAGTCACGGAAACTCCATTTCGAATCTCCTTTGGGGTTAGGCTCGGGGTAAACTGCTATTATGGACTTTTTGGAATGACTGAGGTGAGGTTGTCCGAGGCCTCTTGCACCAGGGATGCTTGTGGTAAGGCTCTGCTCACTCAATTCCGCAGGCTGTTGCGGCGGTCTGGCCCAGTTACCGGAACATCCGGAACCGTGCCCACGTCAGGCGGAATCACCACCCAGCAAATGATCTCTTTCTTTCTGTTCTCATGTCTACAAATTCCATTTATGATGAAACATGTTGAACGGCTCAAGTCCAGTCATCGACGTTCTGCAGTCACTTTGCTGACATCTCGAAGAAAGGTATTTCTCTAGAAGACAATTCTGATTGTTCCTGTCAGTAGCACCCAAGGACTCGAGCCCTTTCATATACTCACAGTTTCCATAGGTATCTATCGCCATGACGGTGTGTATCTGTGTTGCAGCCGCCGATGGTCCAGGGCATTTTCAACCAGCCCGCCAGGCTAACAGGAGCTGCGCACTGATCGCTGTTTGTGGCTACATTCTCGTCAATCACTAATTAGTGGCTGACCAGTGCGATCAACATGTCGGATTTCTCGCGTTTCAGTAAGCGAACGTATGAAATGCTTTTCGATGCCAATCCATTGATTCGGGTCGCAGTACAGCACTGACACTGCGCTGCAGGAGAGGCCAATGGGCTCAATCACCCACTATCCCAATTCTCACAGCTCTCTTTTCGGTGCTGGGTCTTGCCGTTGTGGGTGCGGGCCGCGTACTCTATAATCAGGATATCTCCAGTCTCGTTGCTATGCTTCCCTACTGGCACACAACCGGCGGCAGTCGGTTTCTGGCATTCTGCTGCGCGTGCCTCTGGCTGCTCGTGCAAATATCCTGTGACCTCTCAGCCAACTCGGGGCCCTTTGGTCACGACACTATGGCAATTCGACCCAGGTGGCTCAATGTGCGCCGAGGAAGCATGTTATGCCTGTGCCTCGGTACGTGGGCGATGGTGCCGTAGTTGATTGTCAATAGCGCGTCGAAATTCCTTACTGTCATGTCTGCTTATGGGGTCTTCTTTTGCCCTGTTTGTAGTATCATGATAGTGGATTACTTCCCGGTGCGTAAACGGCAGCTTAACCTGCTGGATCTCTACCATCCACACGGCTGCTACCGCTATTTCGCCGGCGTGAATTGCGACCGCTTGTTAACGAGATCGCTTTCATCGCTACAGATCTACCGGCGATGATCCACACTATCACTCCCAGTATCCCAATTCCCGTGGCACTCCTGCGTATCTACCAAATGAATTGGTTTATCACTAATTTGGGCTCGTTCTTTGTCTGTACTTTATAGTATAGTACAGTACAGTACAGTATCTGTATACCTACGTATACGTATGCCCTTATCGGATATCAGACAAGTTTCGTCCGCGGCCGGGTCGCGGAGATAAGATAAGGCCCGATCTCGGGATTAGTCCGTACTCTGCTGACTCACACCCACCAATTTTGTTAACTAGTTAGGTCACTGGACTTGATTTGAACTTTGCATCTCCAGGTAGCATATATTGCAGCGTTTATAGTCCATGCTCTAGATTCGGCGCACATACCACTCCCATAGATTCGGAACATGGTCTCTGACCATCGACGCAAGCGGCCACGGCCCTCTTATTCCTGCATGGAATGCACCCGGCGTAAACTTCGTTGCTCAAAACAGATCCCCTGCTCGACTTGCGTAGAGCGAGGGGTTGCGCAGTACTGCCGCCGACGAACAGGCAGCAGTGTCTCAGAAACGGAGGATGCAAGTCCTATCTTTGGTGCTTCGTCTACCAGGCATATCTCAGACCGCAGAGGAACCCCAAGCGTGACCTGCCTCCCACTCAAGTCCGATGCGACCACAACAGGAAAAGAAAATCCACCAGCCCTATGAACCCAGACACCATTGATGTTCACTGTGCTGTGCCAATGTTGCAGGCGAGTCGACCGCGACGGAGAGTTGTGGATAATGTTAATGAAGATACGGCAGTTATGCTTGAGTTCTTGGCCCTGAGTCGGCAGCGCGTTAGCCAAATTGCACAGATCGACCAGTCCCACATCAGAGGGCAGAGTAACATCCTGACTGAGGCATATGAGCTGCTTTTCACCCTGAAGCAAGTTCGCACCATGATGGCTTACCACCAAGACTGCATCTCCTGGTTTCAAAACGTGGTTCATCTCCCCACGTTTCGAGATCAGTGCGAGAGTCTTTTTGCGAACCCGACCGAGGTACAACCGTGCTGGTTGGCGTTATATTATGCTATGCTTGCGGTAAGCCTGAAATGTACTTCAATTTTACTGTTCACTACTCGAGTAACTCATGTGTCAATCGACAGGTCACTCTATACCATGCCGACCCCGGCATACTCCAGGAAATCGATATCCCCTCATCCAGTAAGACTTGAGTTCCTTGTTTGAAGATAGACTTCGCCGATCTCGTGTCTCAAAAACACAAATGTCAGAGCTATGCTACCAGAAAAGTCTCGATAGTCTTCATAGAGCCGATTTCATGATCAACCACAATCTCCTCAGTATTCAAGCAATATGTCTACTCATATAGATGGGGCACAATCTGGGTCAATCTGACAGAATATCTGTTCTCCTGGCGAGTGCGGTGCGCATTGCCTAATGCCTTTGCCTTCATCTGCTCGGATCCATCTCGGGAGAAGGGGCAGACGAGGTTCAGAGAACCCAAAGCGCAAGACAGCAGTGGCTGATCGACCGTGAGGTCTCTAAGCGTGTCTGGTGGTTCCTTGTTCGGCAAGACTGGTTGCAGATTCCATTCAACAATACCTATACGATACATCCAACGCAGTTCAATACTCCAATGCCCGCCAATTGCGAGGAAGATGTCAGTCTGATGTACTCAACCGCAGGTGTCATCGAGCATGACCAGGAGCACTTCACTCAAGGGAGCTATAGGATGGTGCTGAATCGTGGTTGGTGATCCGCCTACACGCAAGGTGAGTCCGGCTGATTCCTCATGTTAGTGGCTGTCTTGATCTGGAAAACACAAGATAAGATGTGTCAACAAGGCCATCCAAACAGCGTTGATGATGGCCTGCGCAAATTGTACACTGATGTAATCCAGGTAGATCAGGACTTAGGGGAATTGATGAAAAAAATGCCGACCTTTTTCCGGGGTCCCACAACTTCATCTTCAATGCAGGAAGTGCATATTAAGTTTCAGCGTGAGGTATTATTCCTTGCTTTAGCGCACAAGGTATGTTGGACATGCAGTGCTCCGGTCTTCTACCACTAACGTCTTTAATTAAAGTTTTACTCCGTTCACCGTCACTTTCAGATTCCCAGTTTCAAAGATCCATGGTTCGCATATACGAAAGTAAGGTCATCCCATACTCAAGCATTAGAAAGTATGTCCCTGGCCATGACTGACGCGCGAGCTTTAGGTCTCATGTCTTCCAATCATACGCCGCAGCCTTGCCACCATTGTTTCCTCGCCAGAGGAGCCCTACTTTTGCATTGTACGCAGTATGTGGACCGTGAACACTCAAGTCCTGACAGCTGCTGTGTGGCTATTGTTCGAATTGATCTTCTCTCGAGACGACGGCCGACCCCTGATTGACGAGGAGATCAGGGCCTTGGCGTTGGAGACCTCGCGCTTCCTTCAAATCAACCAAACCAAAAGTCGGATCGCAAAAAGAGGGTTTGTTCTGATCAACACACTCTTGGACTCGGATCGGAGAATACAGAGCGGGGATCGAGAGCATTTCAATATAAAGGACATTGTCTCTCAGGTTGAGGGTAATGACGACCATCCAACTGCAGACCTAGCAGATCTTCATTGCGATGCCGTCAACAGCGGGTCTATTTTGGACTGGCTGGCGAGAGATATTACAACTTGGGAAAGTATTGTTGGTGCGCTTGAAGGTGTCTAGAATGATAGGATAGTGGTTCAGTTCTGCAGTGCGCACGTCTTGCGTGACTATATCTACCACTCTGGGGACTCGAATTTCACATCAAATCGCGCGGTTGATTTGACAGACTATGTCTAGCACAAAGAAATACCAAAAGACTGGATGACTCATTCATATATTGACTGTTTTCTTGCCTGAGTTGTTTGTTGTGTACATACAAAAGGCAACCTTGCGCTCGCACCTCCCCAGAGTTTCTTTCGAGCCCATAGGTCAGAATGGGAAACTGCGTCTCTTTCTGACACTATCTTGCAGAGAGCTCCACCACGAGGTCGTTGCGAAGCTTTCCGATCGCTTTCGTCGCTGAAGTGCTATATGTGTCCGCGTACCGTCCAGTCATCCACTCGCCCACCGTGATCGGAGCATATCTCGCTCCCTCCTTGCTGTCTTCGCAACTTGGTAGACATCGAATGGTGTAGTCCGGATTTTCAGAGAAGAAGAATAGCACACCGAAGCGCTCCTTGCCGCTCTTGTTTATAACTCGGTGGATATTGGACAAGTACTGATCGTTTGTCCATTGCATCATCATATTACCGAGATTGACTACATAGGCTCCGGGGATAGGGGTCACATTCACTCATTGCATCGAGACATGATTCCACACCTGAAGTCCCCCGGTCGTGTCCTGTAGCAGGATTGTGATGGCGCCAAAGTCGGTGTGCGCGCCAATGCCTGCGACCAGGTTAACAACGAAACATAGGTGGATGTGAGATGGGCTATTTCACTGACCTCTTTCATCTTCCGCTGCCTTGGGCCCCTGCGGAGGGTAGTGAAGCAGACGCAGCACGGCCACTGGATGCTCGCAGAAATCATGGAAGACATCCTCATCTAAATGCAGTGTGCGCGCAATCATCTGCATGATCCCCATGGCCAGCGCGGTAAGGACAGCGTGGTAGTCATCCATTACGTTCTTGAATGCGAGTCAGCTGGGTACTTGTTCGGTCCCTGGCCAGATTTGCGTGCCACAACGTATGGGTCATCTAGTGGTGGATTCTTGCCCATGTAGAACCCTTCATTCAAATCACCCTGGGTCCGCTTCTCGAGATTTTGGGCTCGTAGTCTCTCGTAGCCGCGGTTGAACCCTCCAATGTCTAATCGGTATCCATGGTCAGCCTCTTGTACTTGTAAAGTTGACGAGTGGGTGAAGCTGACCCTTCCCGTACCTCTCCTTTGTCTCAGTTGGTAGAGCAAAGAAGTCTTGACTGTGGCGCATGACTGACTCTTGAAGTTCGGCAGGTACTGCGTGATTGATCAGCTGAAAGAATCCGTACTCTCTGCAGGCCTGCCGCAGTTCGCTAATAAGCCTTTCCTTAGCGGGCCACTCGGGGCCATAGAATGCTGCGATTTTCAGTTCTATTAGCTTTACTGCAATGAGGAATCATGCGGGGAAGTGCGAACGGCTCACGCGCGAAATCTATGACAGGGGGCTCTTTTGAATCCATGTTGCACGAAATTTGCAGCGAGCCTGTTGTGGCGACATTGGATCTTGACTGTCAGTCTCCTTATATGTCATGGTATCCTCTCTTATCACGGCTTGTCAAGAGCATCAGCCGCGGCCGAGCCCTTCTTGGCACCCACTGACCCGCGGCCGAGAGTCTTATATGATAAGCACCACCATCATGAATCGTATTCCACTTGTATCCATGATGCTATACAGGTGTGGTGACGGGTGCGCCTTCCCTGACTTTGGAGAATATCTCAACACCTAAGCTTCATGGTTATTGACGTGGGCTAACTTGAATCAGGCCTAGACCGAGAGGCGGGTTAAAATAGAGACATATTCACTATAGCTGGAGGTTTAGCACCAGAAAAGATCGCGTTGGCAACATGTCACTAGCTTGCCCGGGCGCAGAGAAAAAGAGAAAGAGAGGCAGAGCTAACTAGCTCCCCAGAATTCTCCCGCGTGCTGCGTGTACCACTTCACCGTTGCATCCAGGCCTTCTTCAAAATCTGTCTTCTCCATCCATCCAAGAGCCCTCAACCTTGAGTCATCGGTCCAGTACATCTTGTCATTGAACGGCCGATCCACCACCATCTCAGCCCAGTGTGCCAAGCCTTGGGACTCGTATTGCGGAAAATATTCTAGTATCCTAGCTGCCACCTCACGTACTTGGAAATGATTGCGCGAAGAGATATTGTAGACTACTCCAAGCTCCCCGCAATGGAATATCAGATCGAACGCCGTTACAGCATCGGCTGCGAAAACGAATGAACGAACTGCTGTGCCATTGCCGTGCAGCGGTATCTTCTTGCCCTTCATCAATGATGTTATAAACCTCGGAATCATCTCTGTGTCATCTCCCGATCAGCGCTTGTCATTGGGGTTGACTTTAATATGGATGTCTCACTTTCTGGATGTTGGTACGGCCCGAAGACATTGTTGCATCGCGTTATTATCACCGGAAGTCTAAAGGACTTCTCATACGCACGAACAATCATCTCTGCAGCTGCTTTACTCGCTGCGTAGGGGTTGGTTGGGTTTAAAGGTTGATTTTCGGTAAAGGCAAAGCACCTGTCGGCATCATTCTCACCATACACCTCATCAGTCGAGACGTAGACGAATCTTTGAATGCAGCCCATCGCCTTTGCAGCCTCGAGCAAGATCTGCGTTCCGACAATATTAGTGGTCGTAAAGGCTAGGGGGTTTGAGAATGACTGGTCGACATGAGATCGAGCAGCGAAATGAACAACCGCATCGACCTTATGATGCTTCATTGCAGCCATCACATCTGAAAAGTTGCAGATATCGCCCTTCACGAAGCAGAAAGCAGGGTGCTGGTCAATACTTGCGAGGTTGTTCAAAGAAGCGCAAGAGTCCAGATTATCGAACCCGATCACCCGATAGTGATTCGCATAGGCGTGGACTATCATGCGAACAAACCATCCACCACTGCCAACATGGCGGTGATTGTGTTAGATATGGCTTAGTCATACGCCTAGAGCCAGGGCAATCACTCTCACATGAAACCAGCACATCCTGTTACGAGAATACTTTTCACATTCCGTAGGGGATTATTCGTGGAGCAGTCGCTCTTTGGGGGTACTGTATCCTTCATAGAGACCTGTCGTACGCAAAGTTTCGTTCAGCTTTGTCGATCCTGCCAGAAACGCAGCCCTTTAGGCAAAAGATGTTTAACCCTTCTTTCGTATACTAGTAGACGGGCGGACGTCCACGAGATTGGCCATATATAATGCCCTTGGTGGTCTCAACGCAAGTAGACATGATGAGCCAATGATCAAAAGAGCGATTATGTACGTGCAGAGGGACAAGGGATGCCCCATGTATCTCGACGGGTATTATACCGAGGCTTCATCCACTGCTTGTTGCAAGCTGAGTGTCCCCGCAGTGCAAGTACTATGTGAAAAGGGGTGCAAGACACATATTCCAATTGTCGGACTGGAAAACTACTAAAATCATGACACCCATGTTCGACAAACCCTGAAAAGGCCTCCTGAAGGTTTGGGCTTTATCTCCGTGTCGACACAATTACCATCCGTGCCAAGCAATGATTACTGTAAGCCGGGCAAGTTTCGTTTCGACACTCGAACTCTGCGGCTGAAGCTCTTTGGCTTATGCTATCTGCGGGCTCTGCAGGTATGACTGAGAAAATGGATTATGACCCGACTGGTGCTGTCATACTACTATAGAGACCAACTGTTACTTGTCATGATTTCTGTATGACTTGGTCTCGACCCCGTCCCTTAGTTGTCCATATTTTGAATCAAGCCAACCATATTGCGCCGAGCGTATGGCCAATACCTTTCTCGCCGGTATGGTACTTTCAATAGAGTTGTTTGCTTTGTGGTGGGTGCTCGGGCCACTTCGAACCGAGTACCTCCAACTATTTATATAGTACTGAAACTTGTAGGGCAAACAATCGATCCTTTGCCAGCTGAATAATTGAGAGCGAACATCTCAACGCAGAAAGAAATGACAGAGATCCATCTTATTGCTACTCTCCGGCCTAGAACCGGCAAGGAATCTCAAGTCAGCCTCTATCTTCACATTCCAAGTTCTCTTCAATCCCCTTACTAACATTGTCAGCTGCGAGATATCCTCAGAGAAACAACGGCCCACGTCACTCTCGTTGAGAAACACTGTTTGTCATTCCTGCTGACCGAGATGACCGATGGCAACGATAGAGTGGTGTTCAAAGTTATCGAGAGGTTCGTGCAGATCATCGTCTCCTGTGGCAATGGGCAAGCAGGTTACACCAGCTGACTCGGCATACATCAAGATGGGCCACTGCGGAAGCGCTGATTTGCCATCATCAACGGGAGTGGTTGATGAGCATGTACCGGCGATTCGAAGTTGAGGAACTGCTGGAGGGACCCGAAATGATTGAAAATTTGCTATTTGTCGATGGCTTTGTGTCGCGATGACTACACATTATCTAGTTGACTCGTATCAGCCTTACCTAGCTAGTCGTGAGATGTTCGGCCCCAAACTTGATGTGGGGCTATTTATCTACCTAAAAGCTGGATTCCAGCCTGCGTGTTACTGTCCCGACATATTTCGTGCTACGAGATCTGTCTTCGTCGCGAGTGTGTTCATTATGCGTGCATCCGCAAACTGGCGGTCTTCTCCTCCCCTGGTGATTGTAGTTGTCTGCGTTGCTGTGTTTACAGACATCTTTCTCTATGGATTGATTGTGCCTGTGCTGCCCTTTGCACTGGAGGAAAGAATAGGACTCAGTGGCAAAAGTGTTCAAAGATGGAGCTCTATTCTGTTAGCTACCTACGGTGGGTCAATTCTTATCGGGTCCGGTATGTGCGCACTTGGTCCCTCGTGAGGTTTGTCCTGTTTCTTGCTGATCTTGGGTATTGAATTTGCACAGTGTTCGCCGGATGGATTGGTGACCAAGCATGCAGGCGGACAAAGCAGCTGCCGTTCCTGGCCGGTATGCTGATTGCCGGGGGTGCGACACTGCTGTTCTCGCTCAGTAAATCCCTAGGCTGGGTTCTGATTGCGAGGATTTTGCAAGGTCTTTCAACCGCCCTGATCTTTACAATCGGCTATAGTCTTCTATTGGATACAGTTGGCAAGGAAAGCATAGGCCACGCGCTTGGTTTTACCAGCATGGGTCTCAGTCTGGGGTTGTTCGCGGGGCCGATTGTAGGCGGCTTCATCTACGATTCAGCAGGATATCTCGCTGTTTTTGGACCTGCCTTTGCCCTGATTGTCCTAGAAATAGGTCTACGGCTACTCCTGCGACCTACAATCCAGTACACGAGACAAGCGCCACCTTGCACCGGTCTGGCTGACGAGCATTCATCTTTAAGACCTGGCAGACAAGTTTCCAATCCTTATGTCGATCAAAATGGTCCGAGCACTGTCGAAGACCATCCGCTATCGTACCTTGTGATTCTCCTGCACTCTCCACGATTTGCAGTCGCGATGATAGGGATGGCCCTTCTCAACACATTCATGACGGCGTTCGAAGCTGTCTTGCCTATTTACCTGCACGAAGTCTTCACCTACAGTTCGACGCAGGTAGCTGTCGTGTTTCTGTCAAACACCCTGCCCATGTTATTTTCTCCACTCTCTGGAGCTCTGGTGGATCGAATAGGGCCGTTTGGGCCGGCACTGACCGGCTTCGCTCTCGCGGGTCCGAGCATGATGCTTCTGGCCATGATCCAAACCGACACACTAGTCAACTCCGTTCTTCTCCGGGTATACTTGTTTTTGTTTGGATGTAGTGTTTCGCTGGCCATGCCCGCGATGATGACAGAGATTAGTCTCGCCACCGAGGCGGTTGAGCATGCACACCCCGGGATCTTTGGACGAGGAGCATACTCCCAGGCTTACGGCCTGAGTAACGCTGCCTTCGCGGGGGGGACACTGGCAGGGCCACTATATGCCGGCTACTTGCGGGAATGGTTTGGGTGGAAGCTTATGGTCATCTCGATGGGTGTGCTGAGTCTGGCTATGGCAGGCTTGATTTGTGGTTATACCGGAGGAGAGCGCACTGATACAACCACAGGGAGGAGAGATCTCTAAGGAAAGAGTGGTTGGGTTCTAATACTAATACTCGTCACAGGCGTGCAGATTAACTCACGTTCCCACGCCTCCACTTTGTTATCCATCCCTGGATAGAGCTAACCAAATACCTCACGACGGTCGGATTTCTGTCCAGAATGCAAAAACACCCTCGATGACGCGCTCCTGCTCTCCGTCTGACAGTCCCACAAAAAGCGGCAACAGGAGGATCTGTGCTACGACCATCTCGGTGCTCTGACCATCACCGCTGAACCTCCCTGTCACCAGACCCATAGGGGATGAATGCAACGGCATAAACTGCGGGTGTGCCTGAATCCCTCTCAGATTCAAGAATTCTATCATTTGCCTTCTTCTTCGTGCGTCTACGAGCCTGATCCAAAATACATTGCCATTATGTGTCGTATTTCCCGGAATTGTCGGCAGAATCAAGTATCCCTTCTCCACCAGTGGCCGGAGCGCGGAGTGATACCTCTGCCAAAGCTTGAGTCTCGAAGCATTGATGGTATCTGCGGCCTGGAGTTGGGCGTAGAGGAATGCAGCCTGTACTTCGGACAAAGTAGCGTTGATGCCCAGATCCAACCATTGGTACCGATCGACCTGGCCGCGATTTGTACCGTGCTCATAGACAATCCTCGCACGGTCAATGAACGAAGGGTCATTGACAAGCAAAGCGCCGCCCTGGCCACCTGCGGTGAAGTTTTTCTTTTCCTGGAAGCTGATGCATCCTATATGGCCGATAGTACCGAGCATGCGGCCTTTGTAGAGTGACGTGCATGCCATGGCAGCATCCTCCACTACCAGTAACCCGTATCGCCGGGCAATGTCCATGATGGGGTCCATATCGGCCGCGATGCCCCCATAGTGTACTGGAACGAGGACGCGTGTCTTGGACGTGATTGCGGCCTCGATCACGCGTGCATCGATGTTCATGGTTCGACTGTCCAGGCTCACGAAGACGGGCACCGCACCACGGAGAACAAAAGAATTTACAGTCGACACATAAGTGTAGCTGGGAACGATGATTTCATCTCCGGGTTGGATGTTGGCAAGGATGGCGGCCAGTTCGAGAGCGGAGGTGCACGATGAAAGAACAAATGCTTTCCCCTTTGAGTCGGTGGGCATGAACGTCTCCAGCCACTGCTCGCAGAGACGGGTGTATTTTCCTTTGCCGTTTAGATTGGAGAGCGTAAGGGCTTCTTTGATAAGTGCAAGTTCGGTGCCGAGGATAGTGGGTTTAGTGGTCGGGATTCGAGCAGCCATGAGTGCAGAAGCGTCCTTCCAGTTTTGCAAACCTGACCAAGCACTTGGAATCATACTCGGCTTTATGGCGAGTCTTCCATCATGTGTTAGTGTCCACTCACAAGCTATGGCTTCGATGACCATGAGAGATTTGTTCCTTTTTTTCTTGTTCCGGGGCTGGTTGTACCATTGCGTAAGCGACGGCAAACCCTTGCTTTTTTCTAGCCCTGGGCGGTTTGACAATGTACCGTAAGTACCCTTGAAACCTTCCAAACATCCTTGCTTGACAATAAGTGGATGACAGGACTGGAGGATGTAACACCGGAGAATACAAGGCTGGCTACAGCGCCAAAGGGTACAGCACACTCTCCAGCTCTTCCCCAAACCACAATCCATTCTCCTTTCTGACCTGGTCCATAATCTTCATGGTGGCCAGGCTCTCTTTCCAGCTCATGATCTCACTCTCCAATCTCCCACTCCGTACACATCTCGCCACCTCATCTGCTTCATATGCTAAACCATAGACCTGGTCTGGCATATGGTTGAGAATCTCTTTCCCCACCATGCCCGTACTACCAAATCCTTGTTCTCTTGCCACAACCCGTAGTCTCAACGGTCGCCATGGCCAGCCAAAGACTTGGATCTCCCCTTTGTCGCCTTGCACACGGACGCAGGGTGTACTGCCATCTGCATCGGTCGCACAGCGAAGAGACGAGGCGACGATGGCGTGAATCTCTTGGTCGTCTTTCTCGGTCGAGAATCGTAGCAGAATGGTTGTCGTCTCGTCGACCCCGGTGCTTCGGTTCTTGGTCATTGCTGAGGCCACCGAGCGCGGTGCATAGTCTCTCCGTGGGCCCAGCGCCTGCAATACCCAGTTCAGGGAGTAGATCCCCACTAGAAGCAGCAAACCCGACCAGTGTTAGCATGGACCCAGCCTCCCGCGTGTGTTCGGGCTGAACACCTACAATCCAGCAATCCCCCTCCAGCCAAGTCCAACGTCACCAGTCGATCCCCCGTCGGGAAATGACGTTCAACCTCCATCCCCATCCCATTGTCGGCCCACACCCGATTAACCTTCCCAACCTCGCCGAGGACCTCGCGGAATGCATAGCCGATGGGTTGGAATCGCGTCCACAAGCCCTCCATCACGAACAACCGCTTCGCCGCGGCTGTGTTCACGAGGGCGTTGCATTGTTCCGCATTGACGGTAATTGGCTTCTCGATCAGAACATGCTTTCCGGCTTCGAGGGCCATCATGGCATTCTGGTAGTGGTGGGAATGTGGCGTAGCGACGTAGACCGCCTCACATGGGGTCGATAGAAGGGCGGAGTAGGAGCCATACGGGATAACGTGTTTTGGCGCCTGAATTTTGTCCAGGAAAGCGCAAGCGGTGGAGAGAGAGGTGGAGGATGCCACGCCAGTCAGGGTGTGGTTGATAGGTGAGCAAGGGCGTGGGTGGAGAAGATCGAGGGCGAACTCTACGACCATGGATCAGCCTGTATTTTCCATCTTAGAGGAAATTGAGACGGGCACCCACTTTCTGCGATTCGACCGGTTGAGAGAATACCCCAGGTCAGAGTCAAGGAGGGCTGGTCTTGTGGATTCATGATAGGGGGAGTAAGTAGTCCTTGCCCGCCAAACGGTAGCGTAGATAAGTTAGTAGCAGATGAGTTTATGTAGTGGTATCTGGGCAAGGCTGCGTCCGACCCGAAGAGCCTACAATCACCAATCGCCCGCTGAAATCGTTCTGCCCGGGCTCTTGGGAATGATCTTACCATGTATATGGCAATGAACTCGGGTCTCTGTGAAACAAGAAAACACATAAGTTAAAATGCTCTGTCAAGCCATGCACCTATGTACCTAGTACTGTGGTACTGTACTGTACAGTACTTTGCGGCAAGACTGCGGGTGGGGCGGCACCAGGGAGGATTTTCGATTGGTGGGAGGCCCAACTCCGCAAACTCCGCAATACCCGCACAAGGGGGAACGTCATCTTCCGGGCATGATCCTCCCTTGAACCTATATTTCCAACTTTTGGCACCACTGCGCAGACTATTCCGTACACTCACCATGGCCCGCCAGTATCGACTTACAACCACCCTCGCCCGCGCCTATCCCTGGGTGAAAAGCCCCTGGGTGGTCAGCGCGCCAATGCGGGTGATGGCAGGCCCGGCGTTGGCGGTCAGCGTCTCACAAGCGGGCGGCCTCGGCTTTCTAGGCCCTCGAGTGAAAACCCACGAGATGCTGTCCGATTTGCAAGACACTTCCGACCGTGTCAAAGCCCTGCAACATCAGCCATGGTCCGAGAGTTCCCTGCTTCCCATCGGCGTGGGGTTTCAGCTGTGGAGTGACGATCAGGAGATTGCCATCGCCGCGATTGAGCAATTCAAACCGTGTGCCGCTTGGTTATACGCCCCTCGCGACCCGCAACGCGACTACGATCTATGGTCGCGTCGGATTCGCACCGTCTCCGCTCAAACCCAGATCTGGATTCAGATCGGGACTCTGGCGGAGGCCAGGGAGCTGCTGCGAGGCCAGGAATTGCCCGACGTGATTGTCGTACAGGGGGCGGAGGCAGGAGGCCACGGTCGGGCCCACGATGGACTAGGGTTGATCACGCTTCTCCCCGAGGTCGCCGATTTGGTGGCCGGTCGGATCCCTCTCTTCGCAGCGGGAGGCATTGCGGATGGGCGCGGTGCTGCGGCGGCTCTCTGTCTAGGAGCGTCCGGGGTGGTGATGGGGACCCGATTCCTGGCCGCTGAAGAAGCCCGCATCAGTGCCGGATACCAGCAGGCAATTGTGCGCGCCAGCGACGGGGCCACCTCGACAACCAAGACCTTGCTGTACAACCATCTACGTGGCACGATGGGCTGGCCAGCGGAGTACAGCCCCCGAACCATCATCAACCAGTCCTTCATCGAACATCAGCAGGGGCGCCCGTTCGAGGAGCTGAAGGCACTTCACGATCAAGCCCTCCAGGCGGGCGACAGTGGCTGGGGGCCAGCTGGTCGACTGGCCACCTACGCTGGAGCATCCATTGGCTTAATCCACGAGGTGCAGGGTGCCCCCACCATTATCAAGCAGGTGCAAGAAGAGGTCCAAGCGAGGTTATCGGGGGATGGGGGTGCAGACAAATATTAGATGGTTGGTCCGGGTGGATTGGAAAACCACCCACTACAGCAGTGTATGTGCAATCAATAAGTACGTTAAGTGATAAATAACGGGTAAGTCAGCAGCAGCAGCAGCAGCATCAGTAGCAGTAGTTGATTGATTGATTATTTGTTTGTTTGTTTGTGGGGGAAATCTAGAGGGGAAGGGAAATTGGGGAATACGGGGTGGTGACGTCACTCCTCCTTCCTTCCTTCTTTCTCTCTGTCTCTCTCTCTCCCTCCCCCACCCCCCAATCCCCCATCCCATTACAACTTCACCTCTCTCCATTGCTCAGATACGATTCACTTCTTCTTCATCATCATCATCATCATCATCATCATCGCCACCAGCAAAACCCCCCAGGTCACATGCAAGGCGACAAAGAATATTGTGGCCTCGAAGATTATGGCCTGGTGGGCGACATGCACACCTGTGCCCTGGTCAGCAAGAATGGCAGCATCGACTCCATGTGCTGGCCGGTCTTTGATTCGCCCTCCATCTTCTGTCGCATTCTCGACAAAACCAAGGGCGGCCACTTCTCCATCACTCCCAGTCGTGGGCTGCACAACCCCTTAAGCAAGCAGCGCTATCGCCCCTACACCAATATGCTCGAGACCCGTTGGATCCATGATGAGGGGGTCATCAATATCCTCGACTATTTCCCCATCACCAAGCCCAAGTCGCCTGTCGTGGGAAGTCAAGAGCTGCCCGAATGGTGCCATTGCAATCAGCCCAATCTCGCCGGTCAACCCCAGCATGCGTGTCGTTCCGGTCTGATCCGCAAGGCGGAATGTGTGCGGGGCGAGATGGACATCGAGATCGAGCTCTTTCCCGCCTTCAACTATGCCCGGGACTCTCACGCCGCTCAGTTGTCGCGGGGAGATGGGGTTCATCGGGCCCACTTTCAGTCCGCAGCCCAGCGACTCGAGGTCAGTCTGCTGGTGGATGCGGGGGAATTGGCCGCGGACGCGCGATTGAGGCCGGAACTTCAACTGACGGAGCGACCGGGTCACCTGGGTCCTGGTTTGGTCGGCAAGGTCACCTTAAGAGAAGGCCAGTCGATCACAGTCCTCCTTCATGATCAGGAGGCAATCACCTCCAGTGCCTTGGTGTTGGCCCCGGAGCTGAGACGGATGGAGCGCACGACGGGCGACTTCTGGTCCGACTGGACCAGCAAATGTACTTTCCGTGGACATTACCGCGAACAAGTGGAGCGAAGCTTGTTGGTGCTCAAACTACTCACCTACAAACCCACCGGCGCAATCGTGGCGGCACCGACGTTTTCCCTCCCCGAGCACATTGGGGGCAGTCGCAATTGGGACTATCGCTACTCGTGGGTGCGCGACGCGGCTTTCACGGTCTACGTCTTTTTGAAGAACGGCTACCCCGAGGAGGCAGAATCGTACATCAACTTCATCTTCGATCGCATTTTTCCCCCCCTGTCCCAGAGCGCCAAGCCCGGGGATCCGTTCTTGCCCATCATGGTCACCATTCACGGCGAACGGGAAATCCCCGAGATGGAACTTGATCATCTTGAGGGATATCGGGGAAGCCGACCGGTCCGAATTGGCAACGGGGCGGCCACCCATATCCAGCTCGACATTTACGGGGAGCTGATGGACAGCATCTACCTATACAACAAGCATGCCGCCGACATCTCCTACGACCACTGGCTTGCGATCCGTCGCATGGTCGACTTCGTGATTGAGGTTCGCCATCAACCCGATCAGTCCATCTGGGAAGTCCGCGGATCTCCGCAGAACTTTGTTTATTCCAAGATTATGCTGTGGGTCGCGCTCGACCGCGGCATTCGACTGGCGGAGAAACGCTCGAATTTACCCTGTCCCGGACGCGCCCGGTGGGTACAGGAGCGAGACGACTTGTACGACGAGATCATGACCAAGGGGTACAACGCGGAAAAAGGATTCTTCTGCATGAGCTACGAGAACCGAGATGCATTGGATGCGGCGGTGCTCATTGCTCCGCTCGTCTTCTTCATCGCTCCAAACGACCCTCGTCTCTTGAGCACGATTCAGAAGATCATGGAGCCTCCGGCCCGGGGAGGATTGAGTGTAGCCAACATGGTATCGCGATACGACACTGGAAAAATTGATGATGGTGAGTGTATCCATTCAGTGCGTACGGGTCTCACTGCGGTACTGACATGCACAATAGGAGTTGGGGGAAACGAGGGTGCATTCTTGATGGTGACCTTTTGGCTTGTTGAAGCGATGATGCGCGTACGTACCACCTTCCTGATGTTTGCTTCTGCCTTCCGCTCGTCATCTAATCCGGCCGCGCTGTACATCCAGGCTGCCCGATCTAAGGAGTATCTGCCTCATAATCAATTCTTCAAGCAGCTGCGGAGAACGGCCACTTCACAGTTCGACAGTATTCTGTCATTTGCAAACCACCTGGGCATGTTCTCGGAAGAGGTAGCCTCATCCGGGGAGCAGATTGGTAACATGCCGCAAGCATTCAGTCACCTCGCCTGCGTCAGTGCCGCGATGAACCTAGGGGGAGGGGAGAAATAAAAGATATCGGATAGGATACAGCATACAGCATACACGTTCTCTGTGTCGACATAAATGTAGTTACCAGAAGTCTTGTAGAGATCAAACAATTTCAGAACCCAAAGCAGGCTGCGTTGCGTCTTAGCCTAGTGACCTGATCCATGTCAGCTTGCCATTGTTGATGCGAGTTTTTTTCTTCCTCGATCTCGATCCACTCGCGTTCGGAGGTCATCGCATAGGTGGAAAGAGCAAAGCTGACTCCCACATATGTCGACTTTCATAACCACACACTAGCAAGAGAGTAAAGGGGTTCTATTACAGTGATTTGCACAGTGAGCTTGCAACCGTTCCATGGCGTCTCACATTGACGGCGTGTCGGACAGCATCTTTACGAGGTTTGTGACACCAGTACACCCGGAAAAAGTCACTGCACTTCGCTTTTCCAGCCCAAACACGAGCTGAGGGATATCATCGTCATCTTAGTCATGTTTGTTTGGGCGTTTCTGAGGGACCTTTCACAACATGGCCCGGAGCTGACAATGGAACGCCCACTTTGACTGGGCTTTGTTTCCTAGACAATATATTCAGCTTGTTTCTCTATCCTGCCACGTTGTTAGTCAGAACTGGATAACGTCCTTCGCCAGATCCCTGATCCCTGATCTCTGAGAGAGGCTGCACATGATATCTGCTGCAGATGGCACTGTAAGATGGGCCAATATATTTAAAAGGCTGATGACCGCCGGCCCAGCTCTTCCACTCGAAGTAGACCCAAGCGTTGCGGAAACAAGCATATCACCCTCACCTAAGATATTCAGCATGGACGGTTTCGATGTGACTAAGGCGCCGGAAGCCTACCACGGCGTCAAACCCATCGCGGACCTCTTCGTCCTCGGGATGGGGCTAGGCTGGACAGTCAACTACATCGGCATGGTGCACGTCTCCTTCCGCGACAAGACCTATGCGATGGCAATCATACCTCTCTGCGCCAACATTGCCTGGGAAGCCGTGTTCGGGCTGATTTACCCCTCGAAAAGCCTCCTTGAACAGGGAGTCTTCCTCGTGGGCCTGGCCGTCAACTTCGCCATCATCTACGCCGCCATCAAACACGCCCCCAACGAATGGGACCATGCGCTGCTCGTCCAGCGCAACCTCCCGCTCATCTTCCTCATCGGCATCATGGTCTTCCTGACCGGATTCCTGGCCCTGTCGCGCGAGATTAGCCCGTCCCTGGCCTACTCCTGGGGGGCGGTCTTCTGCCAGCTGGCGCTGAGTGCTGGTGCGCTCTGCCAGTTGATCAGCCGAGGCAGTGTTCGCGGCGCCTCGTATACCCTGTGGTAAGCACCATTGCCGTCACGGATTTGCCCATGCGGTCTGGCAGCGACGTACTGACAGGCTCAGGCTCTCTCGCTTCCTCGGGTCCTGTTGCACGGTGGTCTTCGCTGGGCTGCGGTGGCGGTACTGGCCGGAGTCATTTGCGTGGCTGAACCGTCCCCTGGTGCTGTGGAGTCTGGCGGTGTTCCTGCTCCTCGATGTCTCGTATGGGTTCTGTTATTGGTACGTTCAGCGTTGGGAGCAAGTGCAGTTAGTAAAAGGCGGTGGGGGGTGGAAAAGTGAATAACTGCTGGTAGGTTTGGGCCCGGGCATGTTGTTGCTTATTTTCTGCTATTGCTAGAAGATGGGCCCTATAGTGAGTATACGGTGGCAAACAATACCTACGTGTAGTATAGTACAATAGATATCAAGATCTGAAGATCAGGCAGAACCATTTAATAAATTAAACGAGAAATTAGAAACTAGACTGCCAAGACAGCAAGTTCTCACCGCCAGCATTGACTTAGCCTGGAGTAGTAGTACGAAAGTTGAGCTACTAAAGTACTTAGTACAGTACTTACTAACTGCATCCTACATAGTCTATGCTCTAGCATCGGTCCGGAAAAGACCGATGTCCGTACTGATTCCACATTCCACCCGGCACGTGGCAAGATTCATGGCATGATGCTAAATCCCTTGGCCCAAAGTTTCACTCAACGTGGGCTCTCTCTCTACTGAACTTCTCAGGAATAAAAAGGGGGCGGATAAACGGATAAACACTGAAAAGGGAATAGAATTCAGAAACGAATCAGAAAATAAAGGTCGATACAGGAATCATTGACCGCCATGGCTCATCGTGCAACTGCCAGTCCCATCGAAGTGGACATGAAGGAGGAGCATTCGGGGGCTGGAGAGGGAAATGAGTCCTCCTCCTCAACCACCTCGCTAAGCTCGAGCGTGCTGAAGTATGAATACCGGCATGGACGGCGGTATCACGCCTATCAATCGGGCAGCTACCCATTTCCCAACGATCAGCCGGAACAGGACCGGCTGGACATGATCCACCATGTCTTCTACCGACTGCTGAGCCAACGCCTGTACCTGGCGCCCATCGACCCCAGTGGACTGCGGATGCTCGACATCGGCACGGGCACGGGCGTGTGGGCGATCCAGATGGGCGACGAGAACCCGACCATCGCCAAGATTGTGGGCAATGACCTGAGTCCCATTCAGCCCGCCTGGGTGCCACCCAACGTGCATTTCGTCGTCGACGACATCGAGAAGGACTGGGTGGGGAACAAGCCCTACGACTACATCCACTGTCGCTACATGGCCGGGTCCATCCGCGACTGGCCCCGGCTGATCCAGCAGTGCTATGACAATCTGGCGCCCGGGGGTTGGCTGGAACTTCAGGAATCGGCCAACACGCTGTATTCCGAGGATGGGAGTCTAAAACCCGATAGCTGGATGGTGAAGATGATGGAGGGGCTCATCGAGGCCGGGGACAAAATCGGGCAGACCCTGGACCCGGCTCCCTCCTTTGAGGGTTGGGTCCGCGAGGCGGGCTTCACCAACGTACAGAAGCACGAATTTAAACTTCCCATTGGACCGTGGCCCAAGGATGCGCGGTTGAAGGAATGTGGGAGCTTTATGCGGGTCAATTTCATCGAGGGGGTCGAGGGGTTCACCGCGCAGCTCTTCATCGATGTGCTGGGCTGGACGCAGGAAGATGTCGATGCTCTGAACGCCGGGGTCCGGGCTGAGGCTCTAAAGGGAGCGGTCCACCCCATTTTCGATTTCTTGGTGGTGACCGCACAAAAGCCCTTAACTGCTTGAGCTGTTTGTGGAGTAGGTCCAGCGGAGGAGGCGGCATGTAATTCAAGACCGGAAGGATAGACGCAAAGCTGTTATGTATATAAACCGCGATTGAATATTTCATCTTTCTTCCCCCGCTATTGTTGGATGGACCTATGGAGCTATCCCCAGCCCTTCCTGGCGAAGAATGCGACCGTCCACTAATGTTCTTCGCAAGCTTTCCTCGTGAATTGAGCCTCATTGGATCGTGAACGACCCGATCATGGGCGGTGTGGACTCGTGGGCTCGTTATTTATTATAGGCCCATCCGCGAAACCCACCACCTTGCCGAGGCAGCGCAGGAGTCCATCACCTGGCCGAACTTGGACCTTATCTTGCTTGCTGTGTGAGACTATTCGGGATTTGCTCGGGGTTGGATCGGCCTTGCTCGGTAGCATTCTCTTTCGCTCCCTCTGGATAGCCGAGGCACCGACAGCCCTCCGCGGCACACAGCCTCTTGGCACTGTTCACAAATCAAACAACAACCCATGCGTGTTTGAGGTGGGCTACAGGTCACCTCAAAGGTCCAGCGGCTCAGCATGGCTCTGGAGCACTCAGCGCAACATCGCAAGAGATTGCTTCCCTCTTCGGCCGGATATCATACTGATTCAACGAGGTCTGGAGGGGATCAACGGCCAAATCATCGCTGTACGCGAGTCGCGTCAGGTAGAGCTCGCTTTCCAACGCACAGACCTTAGCATTCAGGCGTGTAATCTCCTCGTCTTTCTCTTGGTGTGCCTTCATCAGGTCGGCGTGTTTCTGCTGTAGTTTCCGGTGGTGGCAGGATAAAACCCGGAAGCTCTTCTCCAATTCGCGCGGAGTGAGGGTGGACGGGCTGCGCGGTCGTGACGCAGTGGGCTGTGATACTGTCAGTATAGTTTAGACCGTATCGTGATACAGGAAGGAGGCCTCATACTGGAGCTGTTTTTCGAATATTTTTTGAGCTTCGTTGCTCCGAACCGTGGGGGTGGCATGATGTGCAGCTCGGCACATTGCCTCGGTTTGTAGTTCCTTTGCTGTGAGCACATTCCGAGCTTATACGTAGCGGTTGTAACACCGTCTCTGACAAGCACGATATTTGCGAATGTGTGTCAGACGGTGTGCTCGCGAGACTTCTGCTGATATCGGATCCCTAGAAGAACTGTTAATCCGCCATCCCAGCAGACCGTTAGTCGGCTTCACTAGGAGGTGACTGACCTGACTCACGGGACTCAGCAGGGCACCCTGTGCTACCGATCTCGCAACTGCAAAATCCATGCTTGGCTCCACCTAAATTGAGCAGATGTCGGGTAACAAGAGGTGGTGATCGTGCTTCCGGGGAGAGATGTCACACATAGAATAGCCTTCCACTCTGAACTCGTGGGATCATATATATAAACCGTTCTAAGACGAACTTGGTCCTTGCGTCATCCAGAATAACCTAGTTAGTTAGGGAAGTTGGTGCAGCACGGAAAGTTCTCGAGCGTCTAAACTCGGAGAGAATATCGCGCATGGCCCCACAACGGGCAGACACCTCCATGCGGGTATTGCGGGCAAGCCGGCCCGCAGAACAAGGGCACAACAGTAGCAGGGTCTCGAGAGGCAAATGAAAAGGTGTGAATTCTAATTGCATAGGAGAATCGACTGTTTCTGTGAAGGGATACGCAAATGCTTGACAACCAAGGCACACTAATATCTCACTGACATCATTCTGATAATTGCTGTTCATTAGACCGCTACATCACCTCAGTACCTCCATTCGAAACCTGATGCCTTGATGTCTATGGTTTCTTTCCATCCAGCGCGGTCTTTTCTAAGCAGGGCAGATACACAGAAACCAACCGCAACCTCATCGAACATACAATCGTGCACGGCGTTCAACATAATCAGATCCAATCACCTCCTTATTTTGTCTCCTCCACCAGCCGGGCATATCTCATTCCGCAAAGCAGGTTCTCCGCTCCGTTCGAGTGGGCATAGACTCCCCCAAAGAATTGCTCGGTGGCGTCTTTCCCCACGTAGCTAAGAATGATCTTGGTGCCACCCGGATGCTGATGTACGAACGGAGCTACATCGTAGATCACCCCCTTGAGACAGATCAAATGGTGACCGCCGCTCGCTCTCTCGGTATACTCTGCCCAGCTCAGCAGCGGCAGGTCATCCACTGGGGTCCCCCAGCTGATCCCCTTGCCCTCCCGGTTCAACTTCTTCATCTTCTGCTGATGCGCGCCCATGCTGACCTCGTTGTCAGGGAACTGCTTCAGGTCGGAGGTCATCCCGAACAAGGACAGAATGTAGATCGTCCACTTCGGGGGATCGTAGTGGTACCAGCGCACTCCGCTGCGGTAGTCCATGGGGAATTCGTGGTGGTAGTTGTGGTAGCCCTCGCCTCCGGTCAGGAAGGAGGTGATGACGCTGTCGCGCGGCGAGTGTCGGTCGGAGTAGGTCTGATCCCCAAGACTGTGGGCGATGGAGTTGATGAAGAAGGTGCTTTGTTGCACAATGAACATCCGGATGGCCCCTGCATAGACCAGGCCGCCCCACCAGTCGCCCCAGAGCAACCCCGCGAAGACCGTGGGTAAGATGAACGCGGTGAGCACAAACAGCGACATGTAGTTGCGCCGCTGCCACATCACGATCTTGTCGTTCTTGAGGTCGGACACGTCGGTGCGCCCCGTGAGGCTGCGGTCCTGCGTGAAGATGATCCACCCAAAGTGGGCATAGAACAGGCCCTTGTGCACGCTGTACGGATCCTGATCCGTATCCGTGAAGCGGTGGTGAGCACGATGGTCACGCGCCCACGTGTAGGCATTGCCTTCGCCGACGGATGCTGCGAAGAAAGCGAGGAAGAACCGTGTTACTGCTGTCGCCGTGTAGGCGCGGTGGGACCAGAGCCGATGGTAGCCTGTCTGTAGGTTAGCTTTGCATGGTCTCCCAGTCAATGGACAATGGAAGTGCTGACACACCTGCTGAAAGACTGATCCCACTGATGAAATAGTAGACGATCATGAGGATGGCCGTCTTTTTGTGTAAGGCAACCTGGGTGGCTCCAATGAACCCGAGTAGAGGGATACCCCAGATGATGAACATTCGGAACCACTCCAGGCGTTTGAACCAATGAATCTCACTCAGTGGCTGAGCCGGAGGCTCTTTCCTCTCGGCCAGGACTTCTTTTTCTTGCAGCGTCATGTTGAGATTTGTGAGACGAGAATTGGCGTCAGTCGATCAGCAAGTCCTGTCGCTGCAGATCCTGGCCCCAATATTGGACTCGAGAGCGTTGCAGGTTATGTACAAGACTTGAGCCCAATCTCACGGACAAAACATCCCACAATCCGTCATTCCTGGGAGATACTTCGTGCAGGCTTCATCTGTCATGTCAACCGCTGCAAGGCTGTTTGGGGTGGCATCTGGCGAGATGGATCCTGTGATCCGCAAATCCTTCAATCCCCGAATCCTTTCCCTGCAACCAAAGAACGGCCAAATGATTCCTTCTCTCGGTCACGGAATCGTACGAGACGAAGATAGACGAAAATAGAGGCAAGGGCCTTTTCTAACTCAACGCTCGGCCTTCTGATTTTCACTCCTTCGATGTCGAAGCCAGACTATATTCAGCCCAGATTGTATCTTGTCCCATCACATATCCACCAAGTCCCGCACCCATTTCCACCAAAACACGGCATTTTGCCAACACAGCCACCATGATAGCCACCGAAGTAGCCGGTATAGTCGGCTCTCTAGCACCCAGCAAGGTTTTCCTCGTCGCATTTGCCGTACTGAACTGGAAATCTCTCCCCTTCGCATGGACGGTACGCCCACACGCGAGGCTACAAACACAATGCAGGCCATATAGCAATCCACTGACCCAAATCCATCCAGGCTCGTCTCGTCTACTGGTTCATCCGTGGCCTCTACGACCTCGCCCACCCGCCCAGCAACCCCAGCCCGCCCGTCGACCTGCAAGGCCAGCCAACCCACCCGATCTTCGCCGTCGGCACCACCACCTCCTACTGCTCCTTGCTCGAGACGGATTACAACTTCCATAAATCCAACAGCACCTACTACGCCGACCTTGACGCCTCGCGCATCACGCCCATGGCCTACTTCTATTGGCCCGGGCGCGAGAAAGTGGGCGCGGAGATCGATGCCGAACTCGCCGCCCAGGCCGCAGCAGCGGGGAGCCCGCCTCCGAAACGGGCACCGATCTTCATCGCCCTCGGCGGCGTGTACTGCAGTTTCAAGAAGGAGATCAAGCCGTTTGAGCGGTACGAGATGCGGTCGCAGGTGGTGGCCTGGGATCGGAAGTGGATATACGTGCTGACGCACTTTGTGAAGACGGGCAAGCGGAACAAGGATGGGAGCCACGTAGTCGCGGCGGTGGGCATGAGCAAGTACTGTGTGAAGAAGGGGAGACTGACGGTGCCCGTGGAGAGGTTGCTCGCCGCCGGGGGGAAGGTGCCTCCTAAGCCGGTGGCTGTGGTGGACAAGGCCAGTGCGAGCAGCGCCGATGCAAAGTTCGAGTTCACACCTTCAGGCAAGGTGGGAAGTGAGTGGACGTGGGAGCAGATCGAGGCGCAGCGGCTGCGAGGGTTGAAGTACTGCCAGTCCTTCATGGGGATTGATGATGATGTTTACGGAAGTTCATAGTACAACTGCTGGTTTTTCTCTTCAAGAATAAGATTAGAAGTTGAATCATAGACAGACGACCAGGAGGATATGGCATTAGTGCGTCTATTGTACTGTATGTATATATATGATTGTATGTATCGATTTCATTCTGTTACTCAACTCTACACCCCGGTGGCGTACTGGCTTCTCCTCCGCAACGCTGGACCGTAGATCCACAACAGAATCGGGGCGGGCACCCCGATCACGAACCCGACCAACGCAAGCACCGAATTCCCCCAGCCGTAGTGCAGCTTGTCGTAGAGATACGGGGCAAACAGCGGGAAAGTGAACCCCGCCAGCGAGCGCAACGACTGCGCCCCCGCACTCGCCGACGCAGCATAAGTCGGATACACATCCAAAGCATACAACTGCGTGCACTGCGTGCCATACTTGACCCCAATGGCAAACAGCGCAATGCCGATATCCGGCATGATCCAATGCAAATGATGCTGCGCACTCCAGCCATACCATAGCAGTCCGACGGGGACCATCAGGGCCCCTGGCAGCAGCAGCGGCAGGCGGAACTCGGGCTGGGCGGTGCCATTGTTGCCCGCCACCAAACGGCGGTAGACGATGCCAATCAGCATGGCGCAGGATTGGGTGCCAATGATGTACCCCACGGCCAACCCGAGATAGTTCAAGCCGGCGATGCTGATCGACTGGTGGTACTCGGTGGTCCAGAGCTCGGCAAAGGTCGCCAGCGCCAGGTAGACCAGCCCGAAGAGGTAGGAGATGTACAGGGTCAGCACCTGGAAGATAGGCTGCGTGGCCAGCAGGATATACGGCCGAGTGCAGGCCACCTGCAACTTCTTACGCAGACTCAGGTCATCGTCTTCCCATTTGGTGCGGAGGGAAGTGTTGCCTGTCTCCTGGCGTAGTCGGGCTGCTTTGCGTCCCAGCAGGACCGGAGCGTAGGTCTCTTGAAAGAAGAAGGTGGCGATTAGTTGAAACATGCCATCGGCGATGCTCACACTCCAGAAGGTCCAGCGCCAGGAGCTGTATTGAGTGATAAATCCGCCTAGCAGAGGGCCCAGGGTCGGTCCCAACAAAGTGACCATAGTGTAGATACTGACGGACAGTCCTCGTTCTTCTTTCCGCCACAGGTCACCCAGAATCCCGGAGGCGATTACACTTGCTGCACTGTGGACGTATCAGATCATGGACATTGTAAGCGAGGCCGAGCAAGGTATGGGACAACCCACCTTCCACCAAACCCAGCAAAGAAGCGACAGACAATCAGCTGGGGCCCTGTCTGTGCAAATCCACACGCGGTATTGAAGGCGAGATAGATCAGATTGAACCCCTGCAAGATGACGCGCCGCCCATAGACCTCGGACATTGGGGCGGAGAATAGGGGCCCGAAAGCGTAGGCCAAGAGGAAGATCGACAGGCTCATCGTTTGCTCGAAGGCATGGTGGATGTGCAGGTCTTTCGCGATAGTTCCCAAGGCGGGAGCGGTCATGGATGTGGAGATGGGCGAGATGAAGGCGAAGGTTGAGGCGATGGCTGTCATCCTCCATCGTATCTTGAACGACCAGTTCTTCGGGTTGTCGGGGTCATCTTCGCCGTCCCAGGTCACCTGGAGGTGTCAATAGCAGGTCGAGGAGTAGAATTGACGCTTGTTTGTGTCAAAACCAACAACCGACTCTAAATATAGCTCACCAGATTGATGTTCGAGTCTGTCTCGGAGGCTGGACATTCCTTGATCGGCGGTGCCTCTTTACTTTGGGCAGGGTCGGTCGCGGGGACTGGCCCTTGAGACTGGGAAGTCTCCATACTGCCACGGTCGGAAAAGTCTCAAATCTGGAGAAGTCAGACTGACAGGAAGCAAGAACAGATACAATGGAAAATAGGACTGTGGCACCGAGTGGGAAGCTACGCAGGGCGTGGCGACACCGAGCGGAAGGGGAGATTGATAGAGAGAGATGAGATGTTGTGGTGGTGGTGTTGTTGTTGTAGGGCCAGGATCGGTCTTGGCGTTCTCCCAACCCATTTTTGTCCCTGACCAGACAGAGCGACAAACTAAGCTGCGCTGGCCTCAACGGGCCAGTTGCTTCTAGACTGATCAGAAACTTCGTTAGATCCAGCGAAGTCCATCCTTGACCGTTGACCCCTCATCAGTTCCTACTCCGCAGCCCAAGAAAATGTTCTCCCCCTCACGCCCTCACGCCCTCACGCCTGTGCCCGTATTCCTGCATTCCTGCAATCCCCTATACCTAGCCCTCCTTCCTCTCCCCACCTCCAAACTCAGGCTTGAGGCTCAGTAGTTTAGCCCTGGTTGCATCCTTCACGCACTTTTTTCTGGCTCTGAGGAGGTCCGTAGTGTGTTCAAGTCTCCGATCCATGGAAAAAGCAACTCGCCGAGTCTTCGACCGGCGGGAATTTCCGCCGTCATGGTACAGTACAGTACTCGGCCATTGACGGCTTCCATCTCGAGTGACTCCATGCAACCACTAAATATCACCAACACCTTTGCAGACACCTCTCATCCATCTCGCAAATTATAACTACCTTTATATCCCCTGTTATAGCAGGCATGACAGGGAAATAGATAGAAAAGTCGGGCCGAGTAATTGCCGAAATCCGGAGCCCACTAGGGTTAGTCATCTCGACTGGCTCGGCTTTCGGCATTGCGTCTCCCCCGATCTGCTTTGTCTCATCGCAGAAATGTACAACAGTACATACGGAGAACTGTACTGCAGAACCACATGCTGCAAATTGCCTACATGAATTGTGAATCTGTACTAAACCATCGGTTAGTAGCCTCGGTTAGTAGCCTCGGTTAGTAGCCCAGTGAGCTCGCATTGCTGCACCGATGCACTAGATCCTTTTCTCGAACAACCCCCACGTGTAGTTAGCTGGGGTCCACCGTTGTTCACAGAGGATGTAACCCTTAGTACTTTGTGGCATGATAAGTTCTTCGCAAGATGGGACAATATTCTGATCATTTTTGTATTGTATTGTGATGAGAATCATTATCATAAGGAACGAGAAGCAATAATTCCGTGCTGTGTGGGAAGCGTACTGCACGGTCGGTCCGCGATGTATATTATATATACTGTCTCGCAGCAACGTCCGGGCTCAAAGATCCGTCCACACTGGCAGAGCATACCGTTTTCCGTCTGGAAAGATCAACCACCAGTCCACCACAGCGTCCGTGAAGACTCTAAATCGTGAAACCACCTCACTGGTCGATCGATTCTACAACCACAGGGCACTGAATGAAAAGTGATCAAACCTCATCCTTCCCGCAACATACCCACATTCCTGTGGACAAGGAAAACCATGCTCCACCCGCGCGATTCAGGCCCGGGCCAGCCAATTGACACTAATCAGCGATTGCGGAAGTGTTGGGATAGCATCCCTGCAAGATTCAAGGCTACAAGGCTCAAGCACATGGCTGGACAGACACCGGTCCTAGTCTGAGTCGCTAGCCCGCTAGTCTGGCTCTCATGCATTGCTCCACCAGCACGCGAGAGATTCTAGCCCCAAACGGGGAATTGGGGTTGACAGGGCCGGGCTATTTTGGGGATTTTGACGAGAACAAGCGCACGATATCTGGAGTGGGGGTGCAATCTCAACCCCAAGAGTGCTTGGACAAAGCTTGCTAACATAGTTTATTGGGTTTGAAAGGATTGACAATTTGGAATGCGAGGGAGAGGTGGGACGCGGCTATGCTGGGTGGGGCGGCCTGAGGCCCACCTCTAGCCGATCGTGCTGGGGTGGGACTTTGTGTAGCCAAAAAAAAAAAAGAAAAGAAAAGAAAAGAATGGAGTTAATGTGTTGGAAATATTGGATATAATAAATTCAAGAGACGGTGGATTTTAGAGAATGTGGCATTCAGAGATTAGCGATCGGCTTGAGCTGAGAAAGGTAAGCATCCTCACGATGAGTATCGCCATGGATGCTGCTGGCATCGAATCCGGGGAATGCTTCCTCTCCGAGGTCATCAATCACCTCGCGTACCTGAATCGCCAGAGCATTGCGGGTCGCCCGAAGTTGGCTCAGGGATCCTGATGATCGTGGGTCCAAAGCAATCAACAACGGTGGCAAAGATTTCAAAATATCCATCCCTGTGTCTCCGATCTCGAGAGCGGCAAACGACACCCCAACCAGGAGAACAAAGAACCCGATCGCAAACTGCCACAGAGGGACAGTATCGGGGATGTAGGTCCGCACCTGCATATACCAGGGCAGGAGATCAGAATAATAGCCACCAAAGCGCTCGTAGCGTAACCAGAAGGAGACCAAGGATGTGTACCAAGTGTACAGCGCCGGGACGAACCCAAGCGCCACCAGGATCTTCCAGCTTGCAACGACGTCTTGAGCCCGGACCTTCACCACTGATGCTGCCAATGCCTGCCGTTTCTTTTTAGCTGAAATCACCTTGGTTGTCACGAATACTGGCCAGAACAAAAGTAACCCAGGAAGGGTGCCGACGCTCAACACGAGCAAGCCCGCGAGCCGGTACAGTAGCGTAGCGAAGGCCACCAGCCATGGGCGATCGGTGATATTGCCCCATTCCACCTGGTGGTCCTTAATGCCCAACGCTCGAAGCTTGACATTATAATCCAAGACAGCCTTCTTGAGTCGCACCACTCGCGGGTCATCTCGGTATCTTGTGTACCCCTTGAGTAGCCGCCGGTTCCACTGCACCACCAATGGCAAGGGAAGCTTCTTGCCGATCGGCTTATACAGGCGTCTGGTGGCCTGGATCAATTGAAGGGTCTCATGGTCCGGGCTGGGCTGCGTAACCGCTGCGAGACCATCGTTAATCGTCTCCAGCAGGGAGCCGATGGCATTGCGCTTCTGTGCTCCCCCGGCTTCGTAGGCCTTGACCTGATCGGGATGAACATCGATGGGGTGGCCAAACTCAATGACCGCCCGCGATCGAAATTTATGGGCATGGAAGTAGTTCATGCCGCAAGGGATGATCGATAGACCACAGTTTGGATCCTGAGATAGGGCTCCGAGGGCCATGATGGCTACACCCGCCTTCAAGGGCAGCAGGTCCGAGCGGTCATGGCTGCCGCCCTCCGGGAAGATGCCGATGCACGCCCCCTGCGACAACTCTTGCCAGACGGAGGCAAACATGCGTTTCTGATCAATGTGCGGGGCTACTTTGAATTTCGTTCTTTTGCCCGTCGCTGGTGTCAGCAGAGCCATGGCGTGTGGAGTCTGGAACGGGGCTCGAAGCCGGAGCTCAGTCGGCCCTACGATCTCCTCAATGTACTGGCTTTCTGGCACTGCTTTGCCAATCTTGGGCAAGATGATGCTGCCTCCGACCATGAAGTCTGGCCCCGTGAAGTCAGTGTCAACTCCAGTGATGCGAGTCGGATCCCTCTCGGGCGAGGGAAGGTAGATGGTCCCCTGGCCCGGTCGGACATGGTCCATGGCGCGGGTGACGGGAAGATTCCCCAAGGCGCCCGCGATGGTGCCAATGTAGGGCTCGTGCAGTGATTTCTCCGCGATGAGGAAGGAGATACGGCGGTCAACATGCTTCTTCATCAGCTGCATCAAGACCAGCGAGTCGACGAATTGATTGGCGTGTGGCGCAGCCACCAGGATGACGGGTCCTTTGTTGGGGACGCGGAAGGAGTTGCGAGGCGAGACCTCCCGAAAAAAGACATCCAGCGTAACACTAAGAACGTGAAGTCCCAGGTCATACACCCAGGGGATCATTGGCTTAGCTCGTGCGGAGCTTCCCACTGGTTGCTGTGGGAGTCGACTCTCGTCATTCGTGATTGAATCGCGTAAGTCAGCATGATGGGAATTTGCGTGCGGCGGCTGACGGGGATCGTGATGGGCGGCCATGGCAGTGAAAACCGGCCTGCTTATTTCGTCAACAGGTAGGAGTCTCGTTCAGAAAGAAAATTTCGGGTGCGATCCGGCATAGCAAACATTGCCGAATTATTAGTGTTTGAGCGAATTGCAAGTGAGAGAGCTCGACAGGATTGCGCATCAGTATCCCACTGAGCCGCGATGGAGACATTAAGACACTAAGGCTGCTAACTACGCCCCAGCTGGATGCCTCCACTGCATCCTGCCAGTCTTGGAGCGGGTCCGGCGGGTTCAATCATTGGAGAAGGCGTATTTCCACGGAGGTTGGCAGGCGCTGGAAAATGTAACATCTTGAACTGTCGAATGATGGCCCAGAATCGATGTAGGTGCGAAGGACAGGAATCTCCGAGTGGCCGGTAGTTGACTTGGTCATTTCGGCTTAATAATGATCAGGGAGTCAGGATGCGAACTCAGGCATTTAGGAATGTGGTGTGCCCTGTGCGAGTCAGAAATTGGTCGATTTTAGCGTGTGACAGCCTCCAACTGGTGGGGCCTGATTGGGTGGCCGCGCAGCCTGTCCGGCAGGGTCCTTTCAAGTTCAGTTTCAACCTTTTGCAGCTGGGAAGGCGATAGCTTGTGGGTGCTATAGAAGTGGAGCGCCTAACCACCTTCGTCTTTCCCCCCACCTTCACTGTGAAGATATGTTCAAGTTCAGACTTAAGCTTCCGTTTTGGTATCAGACCAAGGGGGAATCTTAGTATAGACTGATATAGCCCAAGAAAATACGAGGAAGGCTGCATGGTGGTTTCCAAAAGGATGATCCTTCTATTTTTGGCTAGGCGGCATTCTGGCAGTCAGTCCGACTCGGTCGAATCCTCAACCCTATGTCGCAGGAAATGGGTGTGACTGCATAATGTGGTTAGCCCCCCATTGTTCTCGGATGGTTCCAGCAGAAGATCATGCTTCCTACACAACACTGGAGGCATGTTAAGGTATAACTACCCGCAAAGAGGTGTTTTGAGTTAAGGAAGTGGAAAGTAAGTGGATAGTAAAGTAATTATCAGCACTGGTAGAGCACTTAGAGGGAACGGGCCGGGAGATTAATCGGACGGGTGTGATTGGTGATCAGGTAGGTTTTATCTCCGCCAGCCAGTCCGGGATCCTTCCGCGGTCTAGAAGCCCTGAACCACTGGCAAGCTGATATTATGTTCCCTCCATTCTACACCTTTCTCTCTCACTACCTTACCTGTATGAGTGTGAGCATGCCCCATGAGGCTTGGAGGGGAGGGGTGAGATTGCACTTAGTAGGTATCGGTGGACTCAGGCTAAAGAGCGGGGTTTGCTTCGTCGCTTGGTTGGCATTGATGACCCCCTCAGTGGATTCTGCATTGGTTTGTGCATTCTGCCCGCAGCAACTCCAATGCCCGAACACTTCCCACGTGTAGGTGGAGCGAAGCATGCAGCTGGAATATAAATTGAGTTGTTAGCATGCCATTCCTACCCATGTACTCATACAGATCCGCAGACACACGCACTTGCAAGACACAATGGAACCGTTATCAAGCCCATTCCACACCTACGGTCAACCGACCGATTTCCCTGACCTCATGGATACCCTGCATTATGACGATATGGTTCCCGAGTTTGCTTGGGATGAGAGCTCATCCGTGGAAGGGCTGGAGAGCATCTCGAGTGAGGAGAGCCTGGTGTTCAACCTTGACCAAGCCGCCGACCTGCCGGTCATAACTTTAAAGTGAGTCAACCAGCAGCACCCCGTCCCTCAGCGCGCATTTTCTGACTTGCTCGCAACAGCTCAGAGCAACCACAGGACCAGGACCAACCATACGGCGACATTGACCCCCACCTCATGGCGGACTTCTACCAACAGGACGCAAACCAACTAGCCGAAATGCTTAATACTACCACACCGAAACCAAAGCCACAACAACCTCCCAAGAATTTTCAGTGCTGGGATCATGGCTGTAATGGCCGACACTTCTCCTCCAAAAGCAACCTCATCCGACACCAGAAGGAGAAATCCAAGACCACCAGCAATTTCACATGCCCCTTGTGCGCAGCAGTCTTCACCCGGAGCTCCGCGCGGGATACGCACCTGGCTCGTCAAAGCTGTAACCGCATCCGCCGATACTCCAACGGTCGACCACGACCCAGCCGACTTGCGGTTTTGAGCAACCCAGAGTTGGTACGGATTATAACCTAGCGGGGGGCGCATGGAAAGAGAAGAGTGGGAGGAAAAGTGAAGGTTACGGGTGGCTTGACCCGAGTCCGGACCATGGGATGTTGGACCGGCACTATGATATACCCCAAGACAATATATGATAGAGATAGAGACTAATTCTTTTACGAATTTATACAAATGATTGTTGCGTCCAGTACAGTGCGAAGGAGCTGATGGAACATGTTGAATCATTCTGTATTCCATCACTCGCAATAGTATCCCTACGCGGGCGACTAACTAATTCCCTCGCAATAGCTTATCAGATTCGCCCATGCGAAACCAGATTTATCTCAGCATTCGGGGATAGTCGGTCTCCTTTTCATCTTTAGCCTCCTAGACCTACATTTTCGCTCAAGGCAAAATCAGCCTCGTAAACAAGGTTCATGACAAACGGCCATGTGGACTGGTACACTAGACAGGGCCAGGCCGTGCAGCAGTCCCACCGCACTATTGTTGTAGCCATGTGGAGCTCTCCATCTGAAGGCGGTTGGCTCCCCAGGTAGTCTAGTTTCTACTGAATACAGCTGAGCGAGAATTGATCGTGCCAAGCGTGTTGCTTCCCCTTTTGCTGAATGTCGAGTTATTAGGTGGTGTATACGTCGGTTTGACCCGCTATCAGCGCTGTGCAGTGTCCACTTTGTCGATTACCCGGCCGAGACAACCTACACCGTCTATTCGATCTGATTCATGTTGGATTTTCGGTCCCACGAGGGATGTTGGGGGCTAAAGTCAATCACGGTTCATGAATCGTGCTTCAGCAACATCATTGGGCAGTGGCCCCGCATGCCCCATAACGCCGCATGAAGCTTGGCCGACATCGCCACCCGGATCTTGGCCGCTTGGGCTTTCTATGGACAAGACCCGATAAACTCATTTTTAGCCCAATGCGCCCGTCGATTTTACCTATGCTCTGAGACTAGCAATTATAGTCGAAGGCACAATTTATGGTATGGTCGGCGGTGAGGAGAGAGCGTGAGGTACGGTTTCCGAATAGTCCTGTTCACTCCCTCAAGACAGGTTTGAGATTGTACGCAGGAAGGACTGATAATTTTTCAGATATTGACCGTCTCGCAGGGATAAACAAGTCCGGTACTCTGTCAAGCGCACAGAGTATCAGGCTTTTCGTTACCATGTAGGTATGTTTTGATGGTCACCGCTTCGATATACTAGAGTGCTCGCCGTAACTATTTACACATTTAAGACGTACGGCCGATATATTCGCGACCATATAGCTTGAAAAGTCCAATCTCAGTGATGACAATCAAGCTTGTTCACGTCACAAGGGCAGTGCCTGACATGAAGATCGCCAGTGGAGAACAACGCTTTAAGTGTCGATCGACAGCACATAGGGCTGAACTGCATGGTGCGCTCGTGGCATAGATCTCATGCAGTGTACTGCACCTCGAGTAGACCGACGTTGAGCATCGGATCCTGTCGATCAGCCGGGGATTTAGGCAGAGATGAAATCAAGATTGACTTGAGACGTGACAAACATTACCGAGCATGAGCTCCAGCCTGTGAGTAGCCAGTGAAAGAGTATGCTGAGCACGTACCAAGGAAAGTAAGTATATCAATCCGGCCAAGATCTGTGCTTTGTGGCTGCCTGGACCCTGACTCGTCTCTGCCAAAGCTTGGGTTCAGGGGGGTGAATAGTATGAAGCTCCAGAGGAAGCCTTGAAAAGGCCGGTGTATGGTCGTGGCATAGGGCATGACAATGTTCGGGCATTTCTTGTCGCTTGAGGTATCTCTTCTTACTACCGCTCTGTTGCGTGTACAAAGAATGCAGGACTCGGATGACAACTACGAGTTACGGGGTTCCAGTCGTGGCAGTCAATTCATGTGAGCAAATCCGAACCCTAGAGACCAACGGCACTGTCATGTTTCGTACATGTACTACACATCTTCAGTCAATCAAGCAGATTGCATTTTGCAGCGCCTTGCACTTTTGCTCTTACTCAACGAAGTAATCAATAGCCTTATATTGTACTTCAAGGCAGGTATCACGTTGGCTGTTGCCAGACTCAGTGTGGCTAGAGCACGTACACCTAGAACTACGGGCTTAAGACTTATCTCGCCTTGTTAATGCCGATGAACAAGGGAATGATTCTTCTCACAATACTTGCGCCAAGACACATGGGATAAGTCATCAGCGGCAAACACCGTCCTGCATGTCAGACGATGAAGCCAAGTAAGGCCAGCCCCGGACTGATCCGGCCATCCCGCAATCCCGCAATCCATCCATCCATTGATCCATCCATCCCCGAATCCACGATTCCTCTCCTTCCTGCATCTCCAAGAATATGGTCGTCGTGGATAGCACTATATCCACCATACTCTGCAGCGTAATTCGTAGCTGTCTCACATCGACTATCCAACTTCATTGTAACCCCAATTCACCCAAACGAACTTTGTTCAATCATTATGCCAGGCACTCTTGTCGCGCGCAACACCACCGGCAAGGTGGGCATGTGGAATGGCACTCGCGACGGGGAAAACGCCTACATCGACCACGCCAACGGCTCGACCAACATCAAACCTCCGAAAGAAATCGATATCACCGTGACGGACCTCCGCTCAGTGTCGCCGCAGCCCACCCACGCCAGCAAAGGCTACCAGGTTGTCCGCCACACCACCTCCATCCGCCCAGAGCAGTTCCTCGCCGCCGCCGACACCGAGGAAGGCAAATTCACGATTGAAGCGCAGTACTACCCAGAAGTCCAGAAACTCGTCACCGAGGTCACCGGCGCCGCAACAGTGATCCCGTTCGGGTTCCGCGTGCGCCAGCAGAACCTGAATGCAAAGAACGTCTTCGCCGCCAAGTCCAAGGGGAGCTCTCTGGCTGTGGCGCACGTCGACCGCGACCTGGACAACGGGTTCTTGCGGCTGCAGAACGTCGTCGGTGCTGAGGAGGCCGAGCGCCTCGTGCGCACCCACCGGCGCTGGGCCTCCGTCAATGTGTGGCGGTCCATCGACCAGGCCGTCAAGCAGTGGCCGCTGCTACTGATTAACCACGAGAAGATCGAGGACTGGCATTATGACACACACATGGAACGCTTGTACACCATCAATGACCCCTCCGAGGCGGAGACCGGGGGCAAGGACCACGACACGGTGCTGAAGTTCGATCCGCGCTACGAGTACTACTTTGCCAGTGACCTGGACGTCGATGAGGCGTTGGTGTTCAGCTCTTTCGATACCGATGTGACCAAGGTCGTGCCGCATGGAGCGTTCTGGGATAATGACACTCCGGAAGATGCGCCGACGAGGCGGTCCATCGAGGCGAGGTCGTTTGTCTTTTGGGATCCGATTGAGGCGTGACCGTTTTATGTACTTAGCTATTCTTGATTCCCTGTTCCAAATGTGATCGACTGGTTTTACTTTTGGCTTTGGTTGGAAACATCTTGTCGCTTGGGAAGTGTTATTACCCGCGTTAAGTGTGAAGGCGATCTGGTAGCTGGAAGTGCATTCGAGTAAAGTATCAGTCCAGGTTGCACCATTGCAAACTTGATGATTTAGAGGTACCTAGCTCAACTTCCAGTGAGGTTATCTAGTAGAAGTAGCACACCAAAACGGGTTCAACAAGTCGTTTTGAGAAAAAGAAATAGTAGCAAAGATCATTCTCATTATTGACATAGATGTACGCTTACCCTACCCAAGGAACCTCCAAATACAACAACGGAACATGCTGCTGCGACCCATGGGTGTCCGTCTCCCCGAAAGTTCCACACACGATGGGTCGCTTGATCGTCGCCTTGAAAGCACAGGCGGAGGGCCAGTACATGCACACCAGGACCTCTTCCGCCGGGATTTGGTACAGACGAGCGATGGTGTCGGCATTGAGCACGTCTGTCGCGCGAACCTTCTCGAGCGCGCTGAGATCGCGAAACAGGACGTCAAAGGTTAGCTCGAACGGACCGGCGTTCTTACTCCGCACCACCGAGGCAATGTCGCCGAGGTAGCGATGGCCTGGGGAAGGGGGCGGTTGGAGGAAAATATCCCTGGAGCCCAGCTCGCAGGGGGGCATCGGGCGATCCTTGAGTTTCCTTCCATTCTTCCGCTGCAAATTGTCTCTCGGGTGCACTGCCAATTGTCCCTGGTCCTCCGCCAATCCTGGCGTCCATTGTGCAGCGATCGGAAAGTGGGAAGTCGGATCGTCCACCTGCATGAGGTGGTAGACGCAGAACTCACAAGCCGGTCCCAGGGTCAAATTGCTAGGGTTGATGGGCATGGCGAGATTGCCGCCCGTGGCCGCTTGGTAAGGGTAGGGTCCGTGAACCAGATAGGTTCGAGCCAATTTACAAGCTTCAGTCGTCTGCGACTGGGTCTGGGCGTGGAGATGGGCGATGATGGCTACCTCCTTGGGGATGGTGGATCGATCTCGTTCGAGAGCTCCCATGACTCCGTCCTTGCCGTAGACATGCATCCGGCAGTCAAAGTCAAACTCCAGCTTCTCGTGCATCGCCTTGACCACCTCTGAGGTGAAGTAGTCAATCTGATGAATCAATACTGGGTCGCGAACGGCCCCAATGACAATGCCATGATACCCACTGACTCGCGCCCCTTCCAGCTTGACCATGTACGGGTCCGATTTCTGGAATTGGGCCCCCGACACTCGCACGGTTCGGCCATCAGCCAGTTCTTCGTAGGACGCATCGGCCAAGAGCAAAGCACCTCCCGGTCCATGGAGGATATCGGGACGAGCGTTCTCGTACAGCGCGTGCGCAGCGACCGAGTTCTTCGTGCAGCGCGCACTGGGCTTGAGCGGGGTGATCTCAAAGCACGAGGGATCCTTGCGAATGACCGCCAGGGCCTCGGGGGACTTGGGCGTGGCGCACGAGGCCCCACATTCCATGATTTTGCCCATGTGGTAGATGACCCCCAGATCCGTGAAGCCGTGATACAGACAAACCGCGACGTAAGGGGCTGGATCGTACGAGCGTCCTCCGATGATGATGTCGAAATCCGGATGCTCCTGCATCGCCTTCACATAGGGCTCGGGCCCCATCTGCGCGACAAGCAACCGGGCCTGGTCCAGGTGTTCTTCCTGCAAGGGAGGCGCAGCGCCACACGGGACAATCTGATCGGTCTGTACCTTTTGCGAGACCATTACTTTCGAAATTCCGGATTTGATGGTGACCACCTTTAGCGGGCGATAGTGCTTCTCAGCGATGATATGGGTGATGATGTCGACAAACATGTCGACCGCGTCGTCTTCCCCGTTGCCCCCCGCCGAGCTGATGATGACGGGCACGCGGTGGAAATGACAAGCCGCGATCAGAATGGCCAAATCACGAGCATATCGCTCGGTCGGAAATGTCGTAGATCCCAAAGCCAGTCGTGATGGTCCGCCATCCGTGGATCCGCTGTCCAACACAATCGCATCCACCCCGGTGTCGACGGCTTGCCAAAACAATGGCTCACTGAAGCCATATCCCAGCATCCCCACTGGGGTGAGAATGCGCAACTCTTTCTTGTCCTGCATGGTGACTGAGTGGAAGTTAGACCAGAATTGGACCAGAATTGCGACCGTCAGTGCTCAGCAGCAGTGGCCTTCACGGAGGGTCGGAAGGTGGTTATGCAGATGAACCAACAGATATGACTCTGACAACAACGGCTTACGGTGCCAATCACAGGCGCATAATTGAAAGGCTGAGGGATCAAAGGATTGCTGGACTGTGGGCGGTGCTCTAGCCGAATAGATTGTGTGGAGGGATTGCGGGATTGTTGGATTGCCGGACTGCGCTTCATCGATCAGTAAGATCAGGCAAAAGCATCATGAGAGATTATATACCCAAACACCACCATTGGAGTGTAGATACTCAACATCACATTAGCCCTCCACACATCATAATGACTACCCAGCTCCATCAAGTAGTGGAAGGTTCGCTTCCTCTGGAACCTGCTCATCTGCAAGTTCTCGACTCTCGATCGGGCGCAAGCATCGAAGTCCCCATTCACCCCGGCAATTACATCCACGCCTCCGATCTGAGCAAGATCCAATCCCCCGAGCCTACGAAGAACAGCAGCGATGTGGATCTTCATGCGCCGCGGTCCTTGCGGATCCTGGACAATGGATTCGCCAACATTGCGTGCATGAAGTCCAGCGTGACACTGGTGTAGGTGCCCATGCTTGCCCCGGGCCGTTAGGGCTTGTCCTGTGGCTGACTGGCATTATGCTCCTAGAGATGGCACGCGTGGGATCATCCGCTACCGTGAAGTCCCCATTCAGCAATTGTTCCACGACTACGTATACGAAGATGTCATGCACCTTCTCATCTGGGGCTCTCTGCCCTCGGCCAAGCAAAAGATTGACTTCCGCGCGGCTGTCGCCAAGCAGGCTGTGCCTCCCCAGTCTGTGGTGGATGTGATTGCTGCATTCCCGTAAGCTCCCTTTTGACAACCTCCCCTCGATCAATTGCACTCATGTCCTGCCTTCCAAGTCCCGAAGCCGAAACCTTCACGATGCTGATGGCCGGACTGAGCGCCTTCGCCGCCTCCGATGACCTCGTCCGCGCCTCCCATCGCCAGATCAAGCCTATGTTCCACGGCAACCTCCCCGTCGCCGACGAGATGATCGTCCGCACCATCGCCTACTACGCCACCACCGTCGCTCTGATTTACTGCCACAAGCAGGGCAAGAAGTTTACTCCGCCACAGCCCCACCGCTCCCTGATCGGCAACCTCCTTTGGATGATGGGGATCACCGACCCACGGGTCGAAAAGTGCCTGGACAAGCTGTGGATTCTGTACGCGGACCACGAGATGACCAACTCGACGGCCGCCCTCCTGCACGCGGGCTCCTCCCTGGCTGACCCTATCTCCGGCATCATCGCCGGAATCGGCTCGGGGATGGGGCCCCTGCATGGCGGGGCGATCGACCTTGCCTACGAAATGCTGGAGATGATCGGCTCCGCGGAGAATGTGCCTGAATTCATTGAGGGGGTCAAGACCTCGAAGACGCGGCTGTTCGGCTACGGCCACCGCGTGTACAAGACGCGCGACCCGCGCCTGTCGCTGATCGAGGAGCTGATGAACGAGCACAAGGATGCGATCGACGCCAACCCGATTCTCCGCATTGCCATGGCTGTGGATCGTCAGGCAAACGAGGATCAGTACTTTGTCGAGCGGAACGTGAAGGCGAACGCCGATCTGAAGGGTTGTTTCCTGTACACTGCCATGTGAGCCACCCGCCCTGTCCAGGCCAGCTTTGTCATGCTAATAGCACTACAGGGGCTTCGAGACGAACATGTTTGCTGCCATCGTTGGTCTTTCACGTGTGCCAGGTGGACTGGCCCATTGGCGCGAGACTCAGGGTATGTTTTTCTGCTTCATTTCTAACTCCGTTCTGGGCAGTATTAAGCTAATGGTCTGCTAGTTGCTCCAATTAGGCTCTGGCGACCGCAGCAAGTGTATGTCCCTTTCACTGAAGCCGAACCCAAGGCGAAACTGTGATTTCGTGATCACAACGATATCTTTCCGCAATTATGCTTATTCTATACCCTTTTTGACATTTGCAATGTATCTCAAAATTTACAAGCAACACGTCTGTCTAGAAGACGAGATTCCCACCCCTGGTATATTTAAGTGGTCCTCTGTAGAGATCGCTGCTATAAGTCGTAGCAAATCTGGAAAATCAACAGTACCTGCTTCCACCGCGCATTCGTTGCACAGAGCGCCTTTTTTCAAACGTGTGAGAATCATACCTCGGAAGAGAATCGTAGGATAGTATAAAGGCTCGGAATGTTGGAAAGCATCGAGTCTCAAATCACACAAATTTGCTATTTTGCTAGATTGAAATGTTCGATCAGCTCCACAGAAACTAAATTCATCTCCGGCTCTACCGGGCTTTTGGTATCCCAAATCGGTTAGTGCTGGGATGAGGTGTAAGTGTGACGAAGAACCTCAGCTCTTGTGGAGTGACTCGTTGATTCGGAGCATTCCAATCATGTACAACATGTATAGTGCAGAGCAGCTCTTTTCCAGTCTCTCAAGATAGCTCGTGAGGGCTGTGTTCGCAGCATTAGGGCTAGGCTGCTGTGGACGGGAGCAAGACAGGATTGGCGGATGATGGATTGCGGGATTGCGGGATTGCGGGGGATCACTTAGAAGCCCAGCCAGGCCAAAGGAAATAAATGTTGGAGTGTCTGGGTAGGCTTGGATGCTTTTTAGCACCATCATCACAAATCAACACCATGGAGCAATCGACATTGTCCGCTCAACGAGGTTCCCTCGGGCGCACCGTGGCCTTGGTTGCCAACGAACGGCTGGCTCGCGTCCTCTACCATCCGGATGAAGGCCTCTACCATGTTACCCCATTCACAGAGAATAAATACCCAAAGGAAAGATTCATATTCTCGGGCACCACCCCCTTCCGTGTTCAAGAGATTGATTTCAACGGGCGTATTGTACCTGGCTTGGTGACCGAGTCCGACCTTACGTTCGGCCGATGGTGCTATCAGCAAAAAGCGGACGAGTCAGCACTGTGGACCGACATCAACGACAACGTCGCATCAGACTTCCTCGTCAACATCCTCTGTCGCTGGACGGGATGGGATATTCGTCTTACCAGCATCTTCGAGACGCAACTTCGCTGTTCCACCCAGTATCTGGCTGACGCCTACGCAGAGAACCGGCCATGCCCTACTCGGGACTCGAGCTTCATCACCTGGGAACAGTCTATCGTGGAAGCGAACATCAACCCTCTTCACAAATGCCGCATGCCGGTGGATCCCAAGACACAGCCCACGAGTGGCTTCGACTTCAAACAAGCCGAGATCGCCTTTATGGCGGTGCAACGCGATCTCATCGACTCCTACGGTCCCCTGGAGCAGGAGCTAGCGCCCTTGCTCAAGGCCGCCGGCGTAGACCCCCGAACCGCGGCTCTCCCTAACGAGGTCGTGCTGCCAGTACACGAATTCCAAGTCCGGTTCCTGCTTTCGCGACCCGAGGCCGAGGGCAAGCTCCGGCTGCTGCCTCAGAGAATCAAGGCCCTGGCGCAGGCGTCGACGCGGAGCATGACAATTCCCTCCCTCCCGGGCCTAGGCATCAAGCTCTCGCTCTCCATTTTCATTGGGGATAACATCCGCACTATCAACCACCGCTCTGCCTATAACGCCGTGCGCTACTGGACTGCCGGCATGCTCGATTCAGCCCGCGTCTGCGGTTTGCAAGATATTCCGCTCGAGATTCTCCCTGAGGTAACATGCGCCAATGCACTGGGCGATCACCTGGCATGTATGGTCCGATGGGATCCTTACCACAGCTCGCGGCCCCCAGTCGACGCAGACGTGGGTTACGCAGTCACCGGGGCTTTAATTGAGCCCGCAGAGATCGGAAAGCAGGGCTGTGTGGCCGAGTCGGCTTTTGAGCTGACAAGCTTGGCCGATCGGCTCAACTTCCTGCGCGAGTGAGTGCCCATAGTCCCGCCTCATGCCTATCCAAGCAAGCCCTAACTGAATTTCGCAGCTACACCCGCGTGTACTTCCGCTGCTTCCTCACCCCTCTCTTCCGCAACGGCCTCCTGCTGGACGCGCACGGCCAGAACTCCCTCGTGCGGTTCTCGCGCAGCACCGGCCAGATCGTGGGGTTCAGCTCGCGGGATATGAGCGGCACGCGCTTCAACGGCGCGCACTTTACGCGCACGACGGGGATCGAGATCGACCCACGCATGAGCAACCACGACATGCCCGTGCCCGACCTTCTCGAGCGCGCCTACTTCATCTTCTTCGTTGTGCACCTGTGCCCGTTGCTGATCGCCCTGGACCTGGATTCGCTGTCTGCCGCCAGCTTTACGTCGGCCGAGCTGCTGACGGGCATCGCCAGCCCCAAGGAGTCGGCGGATCTGGCCAAGGGCAACGGCTGCGCGGTCATCGTGCGCGAGCTGCACGAAATCATCCGTCAGCATGAGACGCTGGCCGGTGAAGAGCCCTCTGCCGTCAGTGCGCGCGAACTCGCGGCCGCCGCCCGAGAGATTTGGCTAGAGAAGTCGACATGGCAGTTGCAGTGTTTCGTGTCGCAGCGGATGCGGGCGGATTGGGCGTGTCGCGATAAGAATGTGAGTTGCCCTTGCCCTTCCGAGATCCCGATGGGAAATCGTAACCTGACGGTCGCATAGGACAAACGCTCGTTTGCTTCGGTTCCCAATGTCCTGGTTGCGATGTCTGGTTGATAGGGTTGGTGCAAGCCTGTGGTGGGGTTATTCATGATTAATGTTCAGGTCTGGCTGGATGTGGGGATATTTGAGTCTGATCCCTTTCTGGAGGAGTTGCAGATGCCCAAAACAGTGAGGAAATCCCTCGTATCTAGTTGAAATGAACTGGTGAAACGCAAGTGCAAAGCTATCTCTGCAGCTGATAACCCCTGATCCCCTCACCCCCTCATCTCCGCATAATTATACCTAAAAAGGCACTCTTCTTACCACGAGATTGCATCATCGCATAGATCGACTGCCCTCATATAAGGCCGATCGCATTCCAGCAGGGGTGATGGCATATTTAGAAAGGGAATAAGAGTACCATCAGTATGCCACCCTCCAAGACCAAACCAGTCATTCTCTCCCTTGAAGCGATTGCCTCCCAAGCCCCAGAATCCTTCCCCGACCCCTCGCACGGCCATCTCACCTGGCGCACTCTCTTCACCCACCCCACCACCCCAACGAGCGATCTCTGTGCTGGAATTGCCGTCTGTCCTCCGCAGACAGGCCACCTCTGCGCCCACCGTCACACGCAAGCAGAGCTTTACTACGTGCTCGAAGGTCGCGCTACGGTGACGATCGACGGGCAGCCCCACCAGATCGCCAAGGGCACGGCCGTGTTTATCCCCGGAGATGCAGAGCACTCGGTCATGAACGATAGTGATGAGGATTTCAAGTGGCTTTATGTTTTCCCTGGGGGGAGCTTCGGGGATGTTGTCTACCGATTTTCGGCGAAGGCCAAGTTGTGATGGCTGACGAGGACTTTTATGTACCGAGGGCTATTTATAGCTCGGCCCCGCTGTCGTTCTCGTTCTCGCTCTCGTTCTCGTTCTCGCTGTGAGGGCATCCCAAGCATAAATTATGTCGAATGGAAGGTTGATGGATGAAAGGAGTCAATCTGTTCCGGATCTTTGAGTGGGAGTATAGGGGGTAGAATGCGTGGGCAGCAAGGACGACATTGTCTAGAATATAAGAACTCATGAGCTGTGTGGCTGGCTGATCGTTGCTCCACGGTCATCATCGCCCTCCAACGCCATAGTCACTCGTTTGGTCTTTCCTTCATTAAGTTATTCTTTCCAAACATGGTTGCAAGTACGAACATCTACGGCTTCGACCCCAGCGTAGGAGCAGCAGTCGTGGCAGCCTTGCTCTTCGGGGGCAGCAGTCTTCTGCACTGCTACCAGACCTGGAAATATCGCGCCCGTTTCTTCCTCGTCTTCATCGTCGGCGCCATCAGTACGTCCCCATTGCCTCTTCAACACCCACCTTCCCTGCAATCGATACTAATACACTCGCAGTGATGACCATCGGGTACATCACCCGGATCATCTCCGCCCAATCCCCAGACAAACTCACCCCTTACATCATCCAATATATCTGCATTCTCCTCCCGCCCTCCCTCTACGCCGCCTCGATCTACATGCTCTACGGCCGCATTGTCCTCCTCGTCCACCAACCCGCCTTGTCGATCATCGCTCCCACCAAAGTAACCAAGATCTTCGTCCTCGGCGACACCCTCTCCTTCCTGACCCAGCTCGGCGGCGGGTCAATGATGTGCTCGACCTCCACAGCCCAAACCGGCCAAAAGGTCCTGATCGTCGGGTTGATCATCCAGCTCCTCTCCTTTGGACTCTTCTTCCTCACGGCTGTGATCTTCGAAATGCGGTTGCGCAAGATGATGCTCTTCCGCAGACGAACGCACTGGCGCACGCTGCTCTACTTCTGCTTCGTGGCAGCAGCGCTGATCATCCTGCGGTGTGTGTACCGGGTGATCGAGGCGGCGCAGGGTGCGGGCGGGTTCTTGGCCACGCACGAGGCGTATATCTATTGCTTTGACGCGGTACCCATGTTTGTGGTGCAGGCGGTGTTTCATCTGTGTCCGCCGGGGAAGGCGTTGCGGTCATCGGAAGGGGAGGGTACCTATGGGGAGATGGAGGAGTTGAAGTAGGGTTGTGCGACTAGAGGTAAAATCACGAAGTACTTGTATTGAATCGTTGGAAAGAAAATTGGATAATACTTTATACCTCGTCCAAGTCATGAATATGCACACATCGCTTGTCATGGTGCTCGCTTCAAACCCAACCGAAGTCCGACTACACTACACACTTGTAACGACCATCGCCTTCCAAACTCACGCACCAGAGCACTTCTCTTCTCCCCAGAAGAAGGCCTAATAGCCTGCCCACAATGACACCTCTCCCACCCAAAGACACCCCTACCAGGCGGTATGCCCCCCCCCACATCATAAACCACCGTCGCCCCAGTTATAAACCTACTGCCCTCACTCATCAGCAGCAACGCCAGCCCACGAAGATCATCCGGCCGCCCCAAACTCCCCGTCATATTCTCCGCCTCCCAGACCTCCTTCGTAGTAGGGTCCTGGTCGATTCCCATCTGCGCCATGGGAGTGACCACATGCCTCGGACAGGGGGTATTCACCCTGACCCCACCATTCCTATCAGCATCCACATCCGCCGCCTTGGAGTACTTACAGATGGACGAGTTCATCCCCTTGTTAGCGGTCAACCCGCCCATCCTGGCCACCAGCGGAATCGATCCGCGGGGTGCGATGGGCCCGCATCTGCCGCCCCGCAGCCGTGGCGGTATGAAAGATTCCCTGGTAGTTCGTGTCGATAATCCAGACGATGTCGTCATTAGTGTAATCGAGCGCATCGGCCACGTGGTTGATCCCCGCCGCCGAAGTCAGGGCTTCCCCACGCTTGGGTAGTCTAGACTCGTGATCTTGAAGTGTGTCTCACCATGTTAATCATTAATTATGAGTAGGTACGCGAGGCATCTACAGCCGTAAGCTTGGAATCGACCAGGGCTTGTAGAAAATACCCTCACCGAACAGTATTCTTGTTCCACTCCTAGTGCACCTGTCGTCCTTTACTACTGCAGGACTGGAGATATCCCAGCCCATAATGCTGACAATGCCAAACAGTCAATATCCCCAGTCCACCTCGATATATGTGGAATAGTGAGGTTCAATCCCTTCCGTTTTGTCGCCCCGGTCACCAACGCAAGATTCTTGTTCGCTTCTTCCGGACTGGTAGCAGCCACAAGGAGTGTTGTCCCCACGCACTGCGCAAACGGGAATACCTTGTTGATGGTATGATTAACGAAACCCTGCCACACGCGCTGGGAGAGGGGGAAGTCGAATGGAAGAACATTCCACCGATATAGATAGCCCTCACTTGTGCGGAAAGTAGGAACACCCAATCGAGTCGGGAAAACCGCAGGCATTGGCCACGCGCAGTAGTGAACGTTGACCCTTCCTTTGGCAAAGATCGCGCCTGGGTGCGCCGCCTGGAACGCGCGAGCGAATTGGCTTAGTGAGTCGGGTGCTGTAGCAGTGCCCAGGGGCCCTAGTGCGAGAGCATTCTCATCAACTGAACCAAAGTCATAGTGGAAGTAGAGGTCTTCCAGGCCGTCGGTGCCATGCAGGAGAATAGGTCTGGAGTAGGTCTTGTGTGGTTCTGTGATTCGGCTGATTACTCCGCTGGCCTCCATCTGATCTAGGATTTTGCAAATCAGCCGGCGGCCTCGCAGTGAGGGCACAAGCTCCAGCGCGCCACGAATCAGGTTTGGCTGTTCCTGCTGCACGTCCCATGCTCGAACTCGGGCGCCTTCATAGTGGACGTCGCCGACGTCTCTATCTTCGGTAGATGCACCGGCCGACGAGCAGGCATCTATCCACCGTGTTTGTTCGGCTTCGGGAATTGACTTGCGAACGGCGCTTCTCATGATCTCTTCTTCGCTTGGATCATGCAGAAGCATAGTCAACGCATCGCTCACAAGGCTGTGTAGACTAAACGTGCGCCCTGAATGTCTGTCGATGATCAAGATCTCGACGTAGTCCTTAACCATGTTGCGTTCTAAGTGGGATTGCACGAATCGTACATCATTGCGGATGTTTTCTAACGACCATTCGACGCTCCAGCCAGTCTGGTCCAGACGCGCATGTGTGTCGGCCGACCGGTTGCGCTTGACCCAGAGATTGTCGTCTAGCACGTCGGTTTGGTGAGTGACTTTTGAAGGTCCACACCCATCGCCACTGGTCTCGTAAACCACCACAATGTAGTGGGCGACGCGTCTAAGGAGGTCTTGCACGAGCTTCGCTGTTATGGCGTCATGTTTGCTCATTCTCCCGACCAGATAGCAACGAATCTGGGTTGCGGTTATAACTCCATCCTTCTCAGTGAGAGAGATAAGAGGGTCCTGGTAGCCTCTAGTGACCGGTATAAACCCAAGAAAAACAGGCAAGGGGTGTTCTCGCATGCGCCTCCATACCACTGTGGGGAGTATCTCTGCAGTGCTATGAGTCTTCTGATGAGAAGGACGTCTTCGAATCTGAAACAGAAGAAATCGACGGTTGTGTAATCTGCATAATCAGGGAAATACTGATATAATACGTCCCAGGTTTCAACGGTCATCCTTCTTGTTTCATTGTCAGTGCAGATCCGTTCGCCTAGGATTCTGACTGCCGATGAATCCGGAGGAAGCAGGCAATCGCAGACGGCATTGCGAAGCAAATGCAGGGTGTCCTCACGGCCTAGAGTTTCAAAGAATTTGATATAGTTCTGAATCTCCCAGGGCACCTGTCGCAGAAACGTATCAATGTTGTCAATTTTGGACGCCAGAGTAAGAACTTCCGTGTCTGCTTTCCAGAGAATCAATTCACGCAGGAGAAACCTGACCACTTTATCGCCGACGTCGGGCGTCCGTGGATCCCCGTTCTCGTCATCTTTGATCACCGGGGATGAGTCATCCAGCGAAGGGACGATGCTATACAGTTGTTGCCTCGATCCATCGGTAACCAGGGCAAGGGCGGTCTTCAGGACTCTTACCGGGCTATCATCCGGCAGATGGTCTAGATCAGACATCGGTACGTCCGGTGAGAAGAGCGAGCGATAAATGGATTTCCCACGTGGGATCTCACTTTCCGTAGAATTGCCTGCTGGCCCACTATGAGCTTCTTGCGCTGGCTCACCCCCACCACCGGCCCTATCCGACCCCATCTTGGATTTCTCCTCCAAAGTATCGACCTCCCTTTTCAACTTCAGGATCCATCGAACGTGGTTTCTGTTGCCCTCGCTGACACTGAAGAACCGCCGGTTAACCTCGTCCCTTAATGTGATGACCCGTCTCCCACGTGCAATCTTCTCTGTGACTGCTGCAGCCGAGGCGTGTGTATCTCCCAACAAAAAGGCATTATACTCCTCTTCCAGCCGTTTGTACTCGCTATGAAGATTCTTGTACTCCTGATGATGGGGTCGGCAATATTGATGCTCGGGCTTTTTTATCGTACGCGAGCATTCCTTGCCATCTGGCAGCAACGCAGCGCAGCGCAAGGTCCGCTCGGATGGTGCTGTGAAGGTGGAGGTCGACGCTGTTTGTTTGACCTTTGGATGATACTTCCGGGACATGTTGAATCGCGAATATGAGACTTCGTTAGGGTAAACTTCTATCTGGTGGATGTCAACTCTTGAAAAGACGGCGGACGGTGATCGTATGTTCGGTACAGTACAATGCACACACACACACACACACACACACACACACACAGTAAGCGCCCTGGAAGATATGGACATCTGACGTGAGATAGAATAAGTGAGGGGAAGGAACTACTACCTAGTAGGTAAGCTTGGGATGCATCTTCGACCTGACTCAACCTTGCACCGGTGCTTGGGGATCCGGCATTCCCATCCAATAGTTAGCCGCCGTACTGTACTGTACTTTCCACTTCCACATAGTTCCCAGCATAGTTCAATATCTACAACATTATCAATTGAGCTGGCTGCGATGGGGCATTGTTCTCTGATTGCTTCTACTCCCATGCTGACCTTCCCGTGCGCATCGTTGGTTTATTTCTCACCAGCACTATCACGGTGAGCAAAATGTAGAGAATAAGGAGAGCAAGGAGCCAGGCCCAGGTTGAACAGACGGCTAAGAACCTCGCCGTGGCCGCCGAAAACACCCCTCGTGGATCGTATCTGTCTTTCATCTCCACCAACCACTGAAGATTTTCCCCGGATACTCGCGGCATCTGCACCTCCTCCGGAGCCGTCAATGATAGATACGTCGGCGGGAGAACATTCTCCTGGTCGGTGCGGCTCTGCTCATTCCAGAAGTCCTGCCCCCACGCAGTCGCAAGGTCCAGATTCTCTTCGCGCTGCGCAGTCCCAATAATCTCGAACACAAATTGGCCTTCCATGGCCGCAAATACCGAGTCAAAGTGACCCTGGGCCGACAGGGTGCCGGTCCGAAGCTCATGCATGGCGACGAAGATATGCGGATCCGTCGGCATCTTCAGGACGCCGGTGGAGATCACGTCTAAAACCTCTTCGCTCAATCGCTTCAGGCTGATCGTCCGCACACGCCCACGCGTATGGGACGGGACCATTCAATCTGTGTCGGTCAGATAGGTAAGGGGCGTTGTTGGTTGGACGGCGTAGTGAGTCACCGGAGCCAGAGCGCAAATCTTCTCGGCCCATGATTGTCCAGTCTCGATGTCCGAGGACGCCCACACGAACAGGACAACCAATGTCTTACCGTGGGGGAGGTTGAGGATACTCTGTTGCAGAGTGAGCTCTGCAGGAATCCCTTCGGCACTTAAGGCCTGGTAGCCCGAATTGTACTGTCGGATGACTGCAGGGAGATTATCGGACTGGAATGCAATGGCGCCGTCGAGGGTCTGCAGATGGTCAGAGTCGCCAGATAGGGATGTGCGGATCAAGACATACTTGATCAAGGCGGTGCCGGAATTGTGAGCTCGACGAGGACAACCCCGAATGCTCGCCCCGCGCCACGGAGGGCCCTAAGTAGCTCCGCATCGGCGTCCACCAGCTCCCCCTTGGCGTTGATGACTTTAGCACCCAGGATCTAATCGACTCCCATCCCAAATTTAGAGCTGTACGGTCCATAGCCACCACACATCGCCCAGCCGGCGTATCCGACCGAGGAGATCGTCCCAACTGCGGCGGTCAGCCCATGCTTCTGCAGCGCACGGATCATATCTCCCCCGAGGATGCCTTCGCCGATCCGCGCGGTCGAGAACTCCTGGTCAATTTCGACGTTGTTAATGAGACGCATGTCGACCGCGACCGCCCTATTTCAGAAGAATCGCCCGAAGGAGTCGTGGCCTCCCGATCGGACTGTGAATGGGATGTCGTTAGCCACCACAAAGGACACCACAGAAACCGCGGCCTCCACGGTAGATGGACGAGCGATGGCAAGGGGATTTAGGTCGGGCAGAGACACATATGCCGCGCACAGCTCTGCATACTTGGGCGAGGACGGGGTGACATATTGGATGGATGGATTGTTTGCGAAGAACCCAGCGAGTTTCTGCAGTCGTTGCCTCGCGAGATCGTCAGTCATAGCGTGGGCTTCTCTTAAGGTATGCAATCAAGCGCACAGATTCTGGGTATATTGAGGTTTGGTGACACCGTGGTGGCCTCTCTTCATATATGCAATACGTCATGTGGGCCAAGGCCTCGCTCAACCTCTAAGATCCTTTGTCTTTCTTGCCTTGCGGAGGATTGCACAGGATCTAGGACTGCCATTATTCGCTGAGTCAGATTGCAGGACTGTCTTGAGCAGCTGGATTTTGACCCCGATAGGCTGTATTGTCTGTGTCTGGGTAGTACATCATCGCTCGGAGTTTGCTGTCTTCCGAGCGAAGCAAGGCTAGCTGAGCAGCAGGTAAGCATGTACTGGTAAGCAGCCTATTATTCAGCATCCTCAGGAGCGACCCCCTCCTGTATTCACTTGGATACCCCTGAGTCCATCAACTCGACCAAGTCCTGCCTCCCAGTTCTCTGCGCATTCTCCCGCGCACTTCCAAATGGCCCTCTCAAGTCCGGATCTGCCCCGTTCGCCAGCAGCCACCGCACCCGGTGTCTTGCACCCGCCACAACCGCATAGACAATGGCATACCGATGCGTCATGTGCTGTGTCTCCTCCGCTGCGTTCACGTTCGCTCCGCGCTCAAGCAGCAACTCCATGACTGGGATCTGAGCCCGGTCGGAGTCTTCGTTCTGTATCTTGTGGTCTGGGTAAACATGTGGATTCCAGCCAGAGGGACATCTGCCTGCCGCGCAGTGTAGCGGGGCGCCCTCTTGGATATTTGCGCCCGCGTCGAGAAGCAGGCGGACGGTTTCGAGATTCCCGTAGCTGGCGGCCAGTTCGAGGGGAGTCAGCCCTTGTGCTCCCATGGTCGGACCCACGTCGTTTGAATTGAACCCGTGGGCAAGAAACCATTCCAGCACAGGGGCATCCTTGACCACCCGACTCAATACGATCCGGTCTACGGGACGGTGGGCGTGGGGGTGCCATCCGCGGCGGCTGAGAAGATCAAACAGTGGAAGGCGCCGGTCTTCTGGACCGTCGAAGATGCTGATCGGGGTGCGTTGAAGGATCGGGGCTCCGCTCGTGATGAGATACCCGGCTGTTTCGAGATTGCCTGCCCGGAGAGCGTGAGTAAGGGCTCGATGCAGAAAGGCTGGGCTCAAGGGATCTGTGGACAGTGCCTCCTGGAGGGCTGGGAGAGGACCATCCCGACAGAGGTGGTCGAAGGGGGTGCTTGGGGGTGGCGTGGGGTCAATGCAGGTGCGATCCGTGGGAGAGCTGATGGGAAGATCATTGTAGTAGCCAGCACTCATGGTGAGTCCAAAGGCCGGTCGCTGCATTCTTGAGGCCGATTGCACTTGAGCTGCCTGTGCTCGCCGCATTGCCTCTTGCTGTAGGAGACGCAGTGCGTGTTGATTGGAAGGTGCATGTTGCTGAGACATGTTGCAGCTAATAGTAAGTACCTTGGTGATGGGATAATTGACCAAGGCGTAGCTTGCCCCAGTGCGCGGGATGAGCATCCTTATATAATGATTTCCGAGGCGTGGCCGGCGGAGCTCGTATTCCCGCTAACCCATTTGAGGAGGGCCATTTTGTACGGCTGTCAGCGCAGGCCATCGCCGCTTCTGCATTGGACTTCATGGCTGCGCAAAGATCCAGTCCATCGGAGACAAGTACACTTGGTTAGGATCGATGTCTATCTGATTGAACCCGAGTAAAGAAGCGTAGTCGATGGCTTCTGCCCGGGTGGAACCCAGAATCTCGGGTTCGCCCGCGACACCGTGAGCCCCAGGGCTCATGTTCGCATTCAGTTGAGGCGGGAATCCCTGCGTGCCTCCAGCTGCTATGGCACCGGTATTCAGCGTGTCCGGATGACTGCCACCGGGGAAGGAGACTTGCATTTCAAGGATCTTTCTGCGAATATCCACCACCATTCGTGGTGGCTGTAGAGTCCCGTCAGGCAATGCTGCCTCCCGCGTTTCCCAGGTTTGAAGAACGAGGCGTGCGATGACTACAAAGATAGGCGACTCGTTCGCTCCGCTACCCACTTTGCGCGCTTCGTAGTTGTCACTCATTGCTTCCCAGAGTGCATCGGTTTGTTTCGCCGGTCGTCTCCGCAGATCTTGGAGAATGTGTATGTAGGCGGGGAGCGGGAAGTACATAAGCAGGAACCACCGATACCCCACGGTGAGTGGGGAGGCCATCAGTCGGGTGTCCGAGTCGAGGACAGTGAGGGCATGTGTTAGAGCCTTGTCCAGCGCAGATTCTGTCGGCTCTTTCCGGGCTTTCGCCTGTTGGGTATAAGATTCGAGTAGGTAGTTCTTGGCCAATGTCCCACGTGCCGTCCAGAGGATCATGTACTGCAGAGGACTATCGACGCTACAGTAGGCGAGATACTTTCGCTCCATAGTATTCTCGAACTCGACCAAGTCGCTCGGATGCTGTGATGTGTCCACCATGCGATGGAGGAGTGGATTCGTGAGATCAAGGTGAAAGGGACTATGACGGATAAAGTCTGCAATCTCACTCCGAGCCACGGTGAAGATCGCCTCGGTCGGCCGGTCGTGTGCGGCAGGCATTGCCTTCATCTCGGGTCGGAGGTCAAAGTCGTGTATGTTGACTGGCGGCCGACAGTCCCAGGTTGGTTCTAATGGGGCTGTTCGATAGTCAAACGTCTCGCAAATGCGGCTATCGAACAGAATGAGAGACCACCACAACCGGCGGCGCATCTCTCCTTCCAACGCCGGGTAGCGAGCGTTGGCCGCTTCTTGATGTAAGCACATCCGGCGCGCGATGCGGATAGCCACCGCTAACATGGAGGATAACGACCGGGGGTCCGTATCTTGACGTATAGACACCTTTTTGACGTCAGTATTTCCAGAACTGAGAAATGATCTTATGCACCGACCAGGTAGAGAAACAGCGCCGTCAAACTGTCGCGATCGGGTGATCGAAAAACATCACAGCGTCGGAGCGCCTGTTGGCAAGCAAGCTGGTAGCTATCTAGTTTCTCTTTGCGAGTAGCGCCCAGCACCCTCCGGCAGTCCTCATCCGTGCAACTCAGCAGAGCCATGCAGTAGATACTGAACATCAGTGCCTCCAGTGCCGGAGGAACCCGAGCTAAATCAGCCGCGGCGTCGATGATGCGGGACTGTAAGGTGGGCGTGTGGGTGACCTTGAGCAACGGGTCAACGTTATCCAGATATGTCTGCCAAAGTCGAAAGATTTGAGCCTGGTCTGGGTGCGCGGCTGCAAGATCCATGTCGGTCGCTATGGGGCCGAGCAAGAGATAATCATTCGGTTCGCGCTGATACATCCGGTTCCAGACAGTCGTAATCACCCCCTGATTCACATCCTGGCTGAGACCACCATGGATTGTCTCATGGTCAGGGTCAGGGTCCCTTGCATCTGCTGCCTGGAGGCACATCAGTCCAGTCATCCCGATCTCAATCCACGAGTTGCATTACCCTCTGATTCATGGCATGCCACAGATTTCTATATAGGATATGAGCTAGCTGCACTATGAATTTGCTTCTGCTTGGCAGTGTTGGAGGGCCCTACACTGCTTTGGGCTTCGCATCCGATGGTCGTTCTAGTTCGGATCTGCATGAGCCTGGCTCCCTCTCACCGGGTGTTGTCGGGTCATCCGGCGAAGGATGTAACGGCTGAAATGGAATGTTATTGTCGCGTAGCAGGCCCTCATAATGACGGAGACGCTCCAACAGGTCGCGCTCGGCGAAGCGTCGACGTCGCTGGCGCGTGGCCAGCACACAGTCAGCGCCCGCGCGAAGGCAGTTGGCACAGGGCGTCTTGCGATCGCATCTAATCTTGCGTTGCTGACAAAGCACACAAGATAGGGCTCTATGCGGCTTGGTGCAAGAAGGGGCGGGGGGCGATTCTCCGGGGGTGGACATGATAGGTGACGACAACGACAACAACAAGTATTGTTGAGAAACAAATGGACGGATGTTGTACTGTAGATGGAAGAGTCCGAGGGGGAAAAGGCGGGCGCCGGTGCCGGAGTTTATGATGTGCGATGGCAGCCTGAGGCAGCCGAAACCCCCCTCCTTTTGTCCCCCGGCTCGGGACTTAGAATTCCCGAGAGTGTGAAGGCACTACAGTTGTACATGGTTGATTTTCCAATCTCTGCACTTCATTGATTTGCGTTCAGTCCCAATAGCCAACCATGGGATACACCTGGATCTATCATACATAACAAATTTCGAGACATATAAAAACACCCGCGTGGTCTTGCTGGTACATAACCGCAACTGAAGGCAAGAGGTAGAGTTCTACTCGACAGACTACAAATCAATTGCTTGAGAGCACCTCAAAAAAACTCCCAAATAGAAAAAAGCATACCCAGCTCACGTACTACTTAGTAAGTAAGTTAGCTATAGGGTGGTGGCGATGTAAAAGGACTTTGTGCACCGGCACGGGTAGAGTCAACAACCCGAGGGTCAAAGCTCCAGCTCTCATACTACTCGTAGTACTGGTATGTCCGAGACCTCGGAGGTCAAACATCCCTACACACACAGTAGTACCTGGCTCTGCGAATGAGCAAGAGAGCCAAGTAAATCTACGTGGCCTGGGGTGACTCAATTAGAAAGCCCGATACCTCGTTGGAGGACGCTGTGAGTCAGCGGAGGTCGGGCTTCACATGGCAGCGCCACAGGCAAGGATCCAAAACTTGCTTCTGGGTCCTACGTAGCCAGTGTTCAGACCTATGGGGTGTTGGGATAGGGCTGCAATGATGCGCCAGCAGGCAATAACAATTCAAAGTGTGGCTGTGGTGGCAGCGGACCTCGGTCCAGGCCTCTATATTAGGCAGTTAGAGCCGTCAGAGGCTCGGGGCTGAGTCACGTTGGACTCTCAATGCGCTGTAAAAGGCCTAGTGCAGCGATATCTCCAAGCGCGGCAGAAAGTCCGAGGCTCGGGAAACACGAATCCCGCCTTATCTCCGACCGGCAGCAGCAAGTGGCGAGTGAATGTTACGACGACTATATCGCTGTGGCGAAACTCTATCAAAACATCCAGCCTGGTTACCTGGACCAGAATCTATAAAGGCTGCAGATAACCCGTGTTGATGATGAACGTCTCCTTCTCACAACACTTCATTCCATTCATCCCTCAATTTCAATACCTTCTCCTCCGCTACATCATCTCACTACTCCGTTTTCTCTCCTTCTCTCATAACAATAACAACAAACAACATGGCTTCGATACGCCAACTCAACCAAGCTGCTCCCTTCTGGGACTTCCTCGCTGAGATTGAAGAACGGGGGTCCTCCCACCACCATGGCCACGACAACGATGCTACCGACAACGAAGAGCGGTGGCACAGTCGCGGAGGTCGCCGCGGACGTCGTGGTCCTCACCACCGCCGTCACCGCGAGCCCACCCCGGAAGACGACGAAGACGACGAAGAAACAATCCACGAACTCGAGCTAGAGGAATCATCCTCGGACAGCTCCGACGAAGAAAACGATGAACCCCGCGGCCCCAAGCCACACCACGGCCGGAAGGGTCACGGAAAGCACGGCAGGTTCCACGGCAAGGGACATGGCGGTCCTGGTCGTCGTTGCCACAGCCCCGGACCAGGTGGTCCCAGAGGCTTCGGACCCCGAGGCGGCCCTGGTCCTTTCTCGGGCCACAGAGGACCCCACGGTTTCGGCGGCCCAAGGGGTAAATTTGGCGGTCACCACTTTGGTCCCCGCAGGGGCTGCGGTCCTCACGAAGACGTCGACTTCCTTGAGCCCTTCGGCCCTCACAGAGGCCCTCACGGCGGATGCGGTGGTCGTGGCGGTCATCACGGACCGCACCCGTACTGGGGAGGACGCAAGCACATGCGCGGATTCAAGCATGGCGGACGATGCGGTCCTCTCCCGCCTCCTCCGGGCTTCTTCGGACCCTGGAGCCGATTCGGTTTCGACAACAAGAACAACACCGAGTTCCAGCCCGAAGTAGACGTCTACGACACCCTCGACGCTTTCCTCATCCACGTCTCCCTGCCCGGTGCCAAGAAGGACGCGGTGGAAGTCAAGTGGGATCCGCGCAAGTTCGAACTCAACATCTCCGGTGCTATTGAGCGCCCCGGAGATGAAGAACTGCTGAAGGCCCTGGCGCTGGACGAGCGTCGGGTGGGTGCCTTCGACCGCAAGGTCCGCCTGGGCAGTGCTGCCCACCCGGTCGAGCTGAATGCCGACGAAATCACGGCGGAGATGGAGAATGGACTCCTCAGTGTGCGGTTGCCCAAGGTGGAATCGGATGTGGTGATGGTGACCAAGGTTGATATTCAGTGATTGGGACTGCTTTCGGGTTACTTGCTATGGAAGTGAGGCGTCTTTGGGATTCTTGACATACTTCTGGCTATAGTGTTTTGTGTTTAATTTACAATGTCTTTTTGTTCCAACATGATCCATTCCGGAGAGAACTGAGAAGGGTAGCTCGTAGCCTGTATCCCAGTCAAAGGATTTTGCGTGTAGACGGCTCGTAGTGTACTTTCCCACCCGAGCATGTGATGGATATTGACTTTCAGGAGCGTGGAGGTTTCCTCCTCTGGGAAAGTAGTCGGAGTAAGGTAGGTACTGAGTAGACCTGGCACTAGGGAGCCAACACGGGACTAGGTTGTATATATGAATCTATTGGATATTGCACTGAGTGCGCGTAATATTGATACGAAGACTCCAGAGGCTTCGGCTCCTCCTTTGACTCCATTCCCCATGTATTGGCAAATGGTCGTCTTACTATGCATCGCTAGCCACCCTTAGTGTACTCGGTTCGCCATGCAGAGTCTCGGAGTCGGAGGCATCGGGACAGGAGGCTCGTATCGCGCCACGTGCCGATGCCCTTCCATGGAAAGATATGCGGTTCGTTCTGACGCTGCATCAGATCTCATCTTAGCTAATTAGCCAGGAAAGGAAGGTACATAGAAACCCCACTGGGGACCCTCCGATTCTCGACAACACGAGGCTCCATAGTGGGACTGCAATCACTTTAAACTATCCTATTTCGGCCCCGACTCCTCGGGAAGTATAGTATGTTATACTAGCAGTGAATTGGTTGATACGGAGACTGCGCAGAGGTCTCATCGAGCAGACCCCGGCCTCTTCGACTGTGGCCCCCGACCCATGGAGGTAAGCTTCCTGGTGGCGGATGGCGCAAGCAGAGCGATATGGGTCATCTTCTCGTAATTGCAAGCGATAGATAGCGGGTTGCGAGCCGTTTCTGCCGAGAGACACCGGTGCTGCAGGCAATTCTCCCGCTTAGTCTAGATTCGGGCTAGGGTGGAGCAGAACCCTTGTCATGCAGGGACAGCAAAGCTGCCGACAGAGTCTCTTTCTCCTATTTTATTCAACACCTGGCATTTCAAACACGAGGATGTTCTTCACTAGTTTGGGGAGATTGGCGCAGCTATTCCCTGCAGTGGAGGCTTGGGCTTGGGTATAGCGAACAGGTGCGATCTTTCCTTGCTTCATAATGCCTCATTCTTGGCGGAGTCAGGGCTACAATCGCCGTTAGATTGATAGCAGACTGTCCCCGCATTCACCCGTCATTTCGTTATACGGGACCTCAGATGGAGAATGTAAGACAGACGGCTACTCCTTTAGGGTTGGGCGGTTCTGCTAACCAGCAATCGAACGAAGCGGGCGAGCGAGATGACATCCCGCCGGGGCAAAGTGGTTGGAACAGGGATCACGGATATAGGATCCATTTTCCCAATGAGGGCTATTTGGGGAAGAATTAGTGCACCTTCATACGGGCTTGTTTGTCAAGTGTGCAGTGGCAGCTCCTTCAAGGGTCCACTATCAATCTATTATGCGGGATGTGATTGGATGGATCGGTATAACTGGTGTTGGTGAGTGGGGAAGCTCCGAAGACTCGATTCCTCCGGGCGCTCGGTTGGCACTGCCAAGCCCGACCAGTCAGAATCCCATAAGCAATCCATAATAATGCTCTCCGTATAGGGAGCCACCACTGCAGTAGCCCTAACCCCCGGCTCTTCGTAGTCCTTCTAGTCCCTCTAGTCCCTCTAGTCCCTCTAGCACAGTAGTCCCTCTCCAGGCTGCAGCCAAGACTTCTGCGATACGAGATCCCAATCGCTTCGAAATGAGTAGATGGTTGACAATCATGACCAAATGCTGAGCATATTCTTCCGTTTTGGAGACCCCAAGGGCTTCCAGATGGCGAGTGCGCAGGTATAAAGAGGTCCTCATCGCCCAAGCAGATAGAGAATCATCAGAGACTCATCACTCCGAGAATCACAGCAAGCAAAGACCAAGCCAGTCCAGCAGCACTTTCTCAGCTTCAAAATGCGTTTCAGCAACATTCTCGCAGCCCTGGCTCTTGGAGTCTCCTCTGTTCAGGCGTGGAACCGTATCGACAAGGACAATGCGGTAGGTCATGACGAGAGCACCCTTCTACAACGAGCTATGAGTTGCTAACAGGCTCCTCTCCAGGCCCTCCTCGTGATTGACCACCAGGTCGGTCTCACCCAGCTGGTGCGCGACTACAGCACCAACGACTTCCGCAATAACATCATTGCCCACGCCGCCATCGGTAAGGCCTTCGACCTGCCCACAGTCTTGACCTCCTCCTCCGACACTGGTCCCAACGGTCTTCTCCTCAAGGAGATCACCGACATGCACCCCAACGCCACTTTCGTCCGCCGCCAGGGTGAGGTCAACGCCTGGGACAATGCTGAGTTCCGTGCTGCGGTCAAGGCCACTGGCAAGAAGCAGCTGATCATCGGTGGTATTGTCACCGAAGTTTGTAAGTCGTCCTCTGCCAATCCGATATGAAACTCCGGGAGGCTAATGATCCCAGGCACCGCTTTCTTGGCTCTCTCCCTGATCGATGAGGGCTACGAGGTGTATGCCAACACCGAGGCCAGCGGTACCTTTGATGCCAAGCTCGCCATCGATGCCAACCGTCGCATGGAGAAGGCCGGTGTCACCCTGATGGGCATCTTTGGTATTGTCTGCGACCTCATGCGCGACTGGCGCAACACCCCTGGCTTGCCCGAGCTCCTCCCCTGGCTCGACCAGTAAGTTTTGGAAGACCTTGTCGGATATCGTTCTGTGGTGCTAACTACCCCTGCAGGTACCAGTTCGCCTACGGTCTGGTTGCTCGCCACCACGCTGGTGCCATTGTCAACGGTACCCTGGCTGCCGTCGAGGAGACTCTGATCTAAACCGCTTACGCGCCACTCGGGCACTCCGAAGCTGCTGGCCTGTGGAGTCAACCTGGAGACAGTCGCTTATGCCTTCGTGGGTGCCCGACCGCTGCCCTGTCAAGATAAGCCTTGGACTTGGTTCTAGTGGCTTCGGTTGTGGTCTTGGGTGTTCGAACTATAATATAGTCTAGTAATAGAGAATAGAGTGATTTTTGAAAACTCCAATCGATGACAACTGACAGCTAGTCAACTCACTAATGCACATGTAATCAATTTGTAAGCCAGGGACTCTTGCGTACTCTTCCTGCTACTTGGATTCACTCAGGCTTCCCTGGACTCTAGGATAATATTTCCTTCTTAAATCTGGACACGGATTGTAGTTTCTAATGGCTAGTATATGTATTTTATGATTGAGAAGTCTTCTTCCTGGTATGGGTTATTGGTCTTTCGCCCAAAAGACAATGCAAAAAATAAGTATATCAAGATGGAACATGGAAGAGATCTACAACGGGGTTTGTTCGTAGTAATGCAAATCAAGAAAAATGGTTAACGAATGGTGAGGTCTACATAGTACAGATTCAAGCTATACATATATGTTGAAGGTGTAATAGATGGTGGGTAGCCCTGGGGAAGATGGTCTGGAATGCCCAATAGCGATAAGGCCGATGTTCAGGCCAAGCTCCCCATTTTTGAAGATTCGAATTGCCTTTCATAACCCTACTCCGCAACATGAAGAGCAAAGTCAAATCGATCATGAGACATTCATTCCATCTTTCCAGAGGCCTGCCAAGATCATTCCAGATGGCAGGCCTACCACATGTCCGAATCTTCCCAAGTCCGTTATCTCCGCTATCGCCGATCTCATATCTCACCCTTGACTAACAGTAAGTTACTCTTCACTGTCCTCATCTTATGAGCTCTGGAAGACCGTCATCATCATCATCCCAGAACACAAACACACCAAGCACTAACTCAAATGCTTCAGCATGCACTGGGAGTTCGTGGACGGCAACACTGCCATCTCAGCCACCACCCGAACGCGCATCCGAAGCCATGTGGCTCGAGGCAAGAACGCAGGGAGACGCCTCGCACGACCATCCCGACCGAGCAAAGCGCATATTGAAACTCCATCTTACCTCCGCATTCCTGCCCTCCTTCAACGTCAGATTACCAATGGAGATCAAGAGACTATCTGCGACGTCGAAAGACCCATCACGAGCGGTTTGATTTTCCCTGTGGAGCTAGCGCCACAGACTCGGGACATTGCACACAAGGGTATACCCAATCTACAGAACAGTTACACCGATAGCATGTTAACCGTCTCTAGCGCTTGGATTTCTTCGTGACCTGCGCGGGGCTCCCGGGTTATCTCAGATCGTTGAGGAATCCAGTGCTCCTTTGATCTGGGTCCAATACATGTTCCTCGACGCCGCGTGTGAGTCTCCTTCTGGTGCCAACGTGCCCCATCTATGGCGCTGACGGCGAGCCAGACTTTCATTCAGTCATCGCCACATGCCTGTGGATTGTACCGGGACTCATATCCGAGCAGTGCCGAGACACCGAGGCATCGCGCCATTTTTTGCGCACGATACACCTGATCAATGGCCGGCTGGCCGGCGCGAACTCCACCTCGGATGAAACCGTTGCGGCCGTGGTGGGTATGGTGCACTACGAGCGACATCAAGGGCAGTTCGGACGAGCTCTCATTCACACCCGAGGGCTACGGCAGATGGTCGACTTGCGTGGCGGGGTTCTCGAACTTGGATGTGAGCTAACCAGGAAGATATTTCTGTATGAGTTGGCCGAGCTAGAAGTGATACGTCCCCGCTGACATATTCTCAGGTGTGATATCGAGTGTTCGTTCCAGCTGGGCTGTGCACCGTTGTTCGCGATTGAAGAGGTTGATGCTGTGACTTTTTCAACAGGTGACTTTGAGTTGAGACGCATTGCAACGACACCTGTGGCCGGCCCTCGTGATTCGAATACGTGTCTAGCCACACTACTACGGCATGGGATGGATCTTGCGCTCATTTACAACTCTATCGGAGCGGGTCAACAACCGAAGCTCACGTATTATGCTCATTTTGATCTCGTTCTACCCTTTGGCTATCGGCTTTTACAGTTCAATCCATTGCAAGGACCGCGGCCAGTTAGTCATCTGGACGATGTCATTCACCTTGGCTTGATACTCTTTCTCTGCACTTTCATTCGACGACTAGACCGTGAGATCGCTGACAACAATCTCCTTGCGACACTACTTGGATCTGTGGCTGAGAAAGTGGAGGCCGATCGTGGAACCCAGGAAGCACTACTGTGGGCTCTGCTTGTCGCCAGAGCATCTATCTTCCAGAGGAATATCCCGGAGTGGCTTACGCTGAGGGTCGCAACTCTGATCCAGAGTCTGGGGCTTGATGACTGGGAAGATACTCTATACTTACTTCGTCAATATCCATGGGTCAATGCTCTCCATGATGAGCCCGCCCGAGGGCTGTGGCAAAGAGTGGCTCCATCGTAGGATACGTGGCTATTGAACCAATAATCGATGATCATTTTAACAACAGAGGTATGAACAAGAGAGTGCAACTTATTACTTGAGAGTTACTTTCTAAAGCAATGACCCTAGCCAGTCTTTTTCGCGATGATGGCCGACCATTCAACTACTGCTTCAGCATGGCGTCCACACATCCCGGCTCAACCGACTCCAACACCTCGGCAACAGCATCCCACATTCGTTTCTGCATTGCTTTCCCTTCGTCGTCGGTCACCCAGTTGGGCACATCATTCCTGTATTCGAGCATCAGCGTAGTTCGTTGGAACTAATGTCAACATGGAAAACTTACTCGCCCATCTCGCACGAATGTAGCAGACACCCATGAGACTCGGACCCCGCCACCGCACCATGCAGCAGCGTCCGACTCCCATCTTCTGCCGTTCGCCCGTAAAGCTGGTTCATATCGGTGACCTGCGCCTTATAGTCCGGGGGAGCATTACGGATCAGCTCAGTCGTGCAAAGACCGGGACAAACCAGATTGAAGACCACCCCGGTGCGCTCGACGGGCAGTAAAGTCGCGAGGTGCTTCAGCGCCAAGATCTCCATCAGCTTCGACAGAGGATAACTACCTCATCCATCAGCTTGCTCGCACTCTTCCGCATCCAAATACAACAATGGTCGAACAGAAAGAGACACTCACCTCTTAACCTGCAACCCCTCATCTTGTTCCATGCCCACCAGCGGATCCTCGCAGATCCGCTGCCACTCCTCCTCAGCTGTGAACCCGACGCGACTCGTCACAACCACCACCCTAACGAGTCCACCGCCACTCCTCTCCGCACTCTCCCGCATCTTGCCCGCCAACAGCACAGCCAACAAGAACGTACCCAGCACATTCACCGTCACCGCCAGGAGATGGCCCTCCGCACGGACGGGGCCCATCATCGCCACCGCGGCATTCTCAATCACCGCGTCGATGCGCTCCAACTCTGCAATTGCCCGCTGCGCAAACGCCTTCACCGAGTCGAAACTGCTGAGGTCCAGGTGCCACACCTGCACCACGCCTGGACGACCGCTACTTTTGTTGATCGCGTCTTTCGCCCTCTCGCCAGCCTCGATACTCCGGACTGCAAGGATGACCTTGCCGGCTCCGAGCGCGACGAGATGCTTCGCTGCTTCGAAGCCAAGGCCGGTGTTCGCCCCGGTCACGATGTAGGTTCTCCCTGTGACGGCCTCCGGGGTGGCGAGGAGGGGGAGGTTGCGGCGTTGGGTCGAGACCACTTCGTCGACGGACATTGTCAACTCTTCTGCTTCTTGCTTTGGTGACGAAGGATGTAGCTGTCAATTGAAATGAAATTGTCGTTGCTGGCTGTTAGTTCGATGGAACGAAGGCTATTTCTGGGTGCTAGCATGGTATTTATATCCATGATCGCCAGTGCCTCATGGTTTCGTTAAGCGGAGCGGAGTTTACGGAGGTAGATTTGGACACAGATACAGCGATGGTCTTCTTATGTCCGACACCACATTGGATCTTGGGGTTTAACATCAGTATCTCCATCAAGGTGATGGATGACGTTGGTAGATCCAGATTCGACCACTGAGAGAGTAGTGTCCTAATCGGGTTAGCTGGGGGGCGGCATCGGGCCCGTGACTCAGCTTCCAGGAAGATTGATACTCCGGCCCGGGGTCACTTGGCCCCAGATTTCCAAGTTGGGACACCAACAGATATGGAGGTACCAGAATCCACCCAGGTTAATCGCCCGCTCCATCATCGGATGTGCGCAAGCTAAGGATGGCATTGCTTACCCTTACCTAAATGAAGTAGAGGCAGGTATTGACATACGTACTTCCCACCGTTCGCGTGTGGTATTTGGGAAATGAATCCGAGTAGTGGGATGCTACTTCTCCAGCTGCCTACGACAAGGCCTTGGATCTATATTGATCGATATCAAAGAACCGAAGAAGAAGAAAAGCGCAGGGGCAAAGTAACTTGGCAAGCTACTCTAGAGCCTCCCGTGTAGCATGCGGCAATAATCAACTATGTCACATAGAACGATCCAACCAGCGCTCAGACACGCTCCGTATATGCACAGCACCCCCATGCGATAATCGAAATATGCAAGGCATCTCAGCCCGAATAAATACACTCTACACGGTCCAGTCGACCCAGACTGTACAATCCCCTCCGACAGAAATCAATACCCCTCCTGGTCGTTCCAGTACAGCGTTCCGTGCTGCACCTCGCCGGTCGGCTTGAGCTCCCAGCGCAGGACCAGCCGCGTCCACTGCAGCAGATGGCTGGCGACCTTGATGTGGCCAACGTCCGTCGGGTGGTTCTTGGGGTTGATGTCGTTGTGCTGCAGGATGCCGTCCGTGTTCAGGTAGTGCACGAACGTCCAGCGCAGGTCCTTGAAGTACTCGTACACCCGGATGATCTCGTCCTTGTACTGGATGGTCGACTTGTACTCCGTGCCGACTTTCTGGAAGGGTCCCCATTGCGACTGCGCGACCGTTAGCGGCAGTGGACAGAATTCGAGTTGATCGGTGGGTGGTTGGCTTACCATCAGAACGATTTCGGCTTTGGGCCAGACGCGATGAATCTCCTCCACCATGTCAACGTAAGCCTGGTAGAACTTCTCGCCGGGCACCTCGTTCGGGTGGCGCCAGTCGTTTCCGCCCATCTGGATGAACACCAGGTCGGCGGGTTGCTCGGCCGAGTTGTCGAAGGCGGGAGGGTTGTCGCCGTAGAATTGGTGGGCGCGGGCTCCGGGATCGGAAGCGCGGTTCCACCACCAGGTCTGCGATGGTGATTAGTTGGGGTGCGGCGTCCAGTTCGAGGATGGGGAAAATACCATTCCGTGGACGCCACCGCCGTAGCATTGCATGTCAGCTAGGCAGACACCGGGGTAGGCCTAGAGTAGGATGAGTCAGCGCGTGTATTACACAGGCACCTCGGAAAGAGGGTTTGGCTGACAGTGATGGTGAACTCAGCATCGCCGAGTCCAACGCCGTAGAGGAAGGACCAGGACGACAAGGTCTCGTAAGTGGCATATTGGCCCCCGGCCAGCCTGTTCGGTCCGGTCAGTACGAGAACACGCATGTAGCCACCATGTCCACTCACGAGCCGCCAATGATTTCCACCTTTCTCTTGTAGGGCGTGGGTTTCGTGATGTAGGCGTCCTTCGCAACGGACACGCCGGCCAACTGGACTGTGCAGGGGATCAGCCGCGGGACCGCAGACGCGCAGAGACAACCTGGAAAACTTATCCTATGCCCCAATTCGTCACTGGCACGTTGTCAGCCTTCACGTTCTGCACCGCACAAGCTTATCGGGTTTGCCCACCTCGCATCTCAAACACATTGCTCTTGGTATCGACGCCGTCGGTGAAGTCATCGGGCCCGATGAATGGGTAGGTCGCATCGGCGGTCACGTTGGAAAATCGCCAGTCCAGAGACCCGATTCTGTGGTCTCGTAGTTGGTATTCGAGGAATGATCGAGGGTATAGACGAGAGGGTGAACACGGGGGAGTATAACTACCGATAAGCGACGAGGGCACCGTTGGAGGTACTGGGGCCGAAACTGAGAGCCAACTGGAATGTGGCGGAGTCGCAATGCGTCAGCCCTTTTTTTTGTCCCTTTCCACGGTCGGTCGCGGGGAGAAACCCTTCCTTACCTTGTTGCCGGAAAACTCAACCTTGATCCCAGGGGCTCTATGCGCACACGGTCAGTGGAGTCAGGCGCATGCCATTTTTATTTTCCACCGAAAGAACAGAAGAACCTACGACCACCCTGGTCTTCGATTAGCCACAAACTCGCAAAACTGCCGTGTTTTGCCCAAGCGAGGTGCACTCACAGGAAATGTGCTGGCTATCCCAACGGCCTTTGTACGCAATCTCCGGAACCCCCGCGTCGTAGTTTCGCCAGGAATCGTCGAGTTTGATGGGGGACTGTTGGCCGGGGTAAGGGTCCTCGCGTGGCTGGCCATTCTGCAGAATGGTGGCAGCCGCGGGCCAGACCCGGAGGAAGATGAGCAGCAAAATGGGGGCGAATCTCATGGTGTGCACCCGCAGCCTCGGAGGGAGGGAAACTTGACGGTCACAGGCAGAGGCAGACTCATGATAAAAGAGCAGAGCAGAGCAGAGCACATGCACCACCGAATTGACGGTCAGGGGCGGACCAGACCAGCACACCTCCAATTCAGCCCAGGCCAGCCAAGCCCAGGGCCAAGGTTGCATTTCCCCAACAGTGATGATGACTGGTGGCTTGCCGCCCAGTTCCCGCGCCACGCCCGCCCGGTATGAGGTGATCGCTGACCCTGATTCGCTGTCATGTGCAGGCCCTTGATGCCTTGGCGGTCAGGCAGACCAGCATGCAAACAGTGCAAATGCCGTCATGCATCATTCACTTGGCCTTCACCAGGTGTGAATGAGGGAGGTATAAGTATAGTCGAGTCGGTGGCTGGTTGATAGTGACACGTTCAATCGTTGGATCCTCACTTGTACTATTTCTTTCCTCATCATGTATCTCTCAACACCTCTCTCCGTCGGCTACCTTCAGCATCATCATCATCATCTTCTTCTTCTTCTTCTTTTCATACCTGGATTCAAGATTGTCTCATACTCGATCGATCCTCAAAACAAACAAGTACACAGTTCTCGACTTTGGTGCAAATTCTCAACTTGACTTGAAATTAATTCTTTTCACATCACAGACACCAATTTTTCCATCGCACCTCACTTGTAGAGTCAGGCATGGCGAGAGACAAGGACGGCGAGAGACCTGCCAAGCGAATCCGAGTCTCAACGGATGAGCGCAGCAAGTAAGAATGCCCTCCTTGGTCTCTACTGCGTACTAATCCAAGGCAAGAGTCACAGGGGACGTCATAACCATACTGGTCGGACCCAAACAAAAAGCTTACACCGTGCACGAGGAGCTGGCTCGTGCATCTTCGCCAGTCATCGACAAAGCCTTGAAGGCCGCCTGGGCAGAGCATTGCAACCGCACCATTCAGTTTCCCGAGGATACACCGGAGATATTCGAGATCTATATGCACTGGCTCTACTTCTCAACGTTTGCTGTGGTTGGCTACGAGGCTGGTAGTGGCTACAGACCATTAATTGAGGCCTATGTCCTAGGAGACAAATTACTTGACACGAAGTTCCAGGACGCCGTGATTGACGCCATCGTCGAAAGACGATACGCGAAAGACCTGGATTGCAAATACACCCAACCTAGCAATGACACCATCAACTGGTTATACTCCCACACAACTTCCTCGGCGCCGATCCGCCAGCTATTTGTGGATATGCTCGCGGATTTCAGACGTCCCCCTCCAGCGGTGACGGTATTCAAGAAAGAGACCTCCCAGGAATTTCTTCTGCAGCTGATAGCAAAGCTGTATGAACGCCGAGCGACGGATAAAACACCTCTCAAGGCCTCCGATTATTATCGCCAGCCTACTGACCCCAGTAAGCGAACTCAGCCAGAGGACAAATCTAAGTAGCAGCAACACCAGGTACTGGGCCCGTCCATATTGTGAAGGTATTGGACTCAAGTACTTGCCTGACTTTCATCTTGCTTCTATGCTCGAGTGTCCTTCGGACCAAAGCCAATTACGCTGCCAGAGCTGCTCAGTCACGCGTCCTCAAAGGTTCATACAATTCATATGGAAAGATGTCGCACATCGGGTTTGGTGCTGGTCTTGCGAGGGGAGCACGGGCAAGCGATAACTAATGGGAGGTAATCGGTGCAATGAAATGACAATGCCGGTTGACCTTGCCGATCTCACAGTACCCCAGTAGTTTTATTTTCTTTGTGACAATGGCCCAAGGGTCCGTGTCTTGATTTGCCCCAGAACTGTAGCTTCGCAGTGATCTGCTCTCGATTAGAATGGAGTCCTCCGGTTTGTCAATGATGGTGACAGTATGTGAACTTCTCCATTGCCCTTAGTGCGACTGTTCTAACGCAACCCGAGCATATTGCTGCTGACCCTTCTATTTAACTCTATGTTACTATCTGCCGTGGACGAAGCAGGCAAATTTGAATTATATGAGGGATAAAGAGACTGGAGGTCGCTCATAGCAGAGTCCTTACTTGTAGGATCCCTGCTACCGATAGGCAGACTGTAGGTGACCTGGTTATGGGCTTCGACTCACATGTGGAAGGTTAAAGTGTCCAACATGAGCACGCTCCTGTCAAGTTCAACAATAAAAGGACCTATGGCTGAGAGCATTGGTGCCTTCGCGCTCATTGTAAGCATAAGAAGGACCCGTACATGGGTATTAGCAACAAGGACTGAGGCGGAATAATGCAGTTGAAGCATGGGTTGGTCAACTGTGGATAGGATAGTGGGGCATTCAATTTCCCTGAATTTTCCGCCGGTCGGCCGAGGTGGAGATTCACACAAAAAAGGGAGAAAAAAGAATCCGCAAAAAGGTATGACAAGAGTGGGATTCGAACCCACGCCACTTGCGTGACTAGGAATGTTGCTCGTTGGAGCGAACATGTGTGATCAGGTTGCCTGACCCTAGCGCCTTAGACCGCTCGGCCATCTTGCCTTGGTGATAGAAGGGCTGCGGCTTTGGTCTTATGACGCACACAACACGTAAGTGTCCTACGCGCATCTAGGTCCTGTCTAGCATCAGCACAATGCGCCTTAAAAACACAGTGAAGAAGCTGTTCTCACTTAAAGCCATACTAGGGGGTCTCCAAGAGCTCCGTGGCTGATTTTGGTGTGCCATACTACTCATGGCGACTGTGTCTGGTGTAACTAGTCGGGGGCTGTGATTGGGGTAGGATATATATCTATCCGCCTGTGGTATCATAATGCCATCTCGAGTCTCGGCAGCAGTCAGTGGTCATGGATCCAATCATTTCGGATGATCTATCCAGACATCAACCAACAGCCCGAATTCTAGCCAGAACTTCATCTACTCAGCAGCCGTGTTTGCTCCACTACCACTACCCTCGGTAGTTGGGCCTGGATTCCCTTCATCGCGGTTAACCCACCCACGACACGAGCTTACGAGATTCGTCCTTCCATCAAAATAAGCTCCAAGACCCGCCGGGACTACTATATCGAGATAGGTTGGTGTCACCAGCAGTCCGACTCTGTCATAAAGAAGATGCAACGCCTCATAGAAGGCTCATCACTCTAAGTCAAGAACCCGATCGTCCCCAGCTTGGTCGTCCCCAGCTTGGTCGTCCCCCCATTGCTCATTCGCCTTGAATTCCACCTTCGATCTATCATTCATCATGGCCGTGCTCCCTCAGCTTGAAGGCTCAACATTCGACGCCGATCTCCGCGACCGCCACATTATCTACGACTATGTAGCACACGATGGCAACGGTAACCCAGAGAAATGGCGCTATGAGATCTGGTTCTTCAAGGAAGACCGGGTGGTCTACGCCATTCACGGCGGGCCGATGGCCGGCCGCAAGAACTTCCAGGCAGCGACATACCAGCGCATTCGCCCCGGCGAGTTATGGCAGATCAACTGGCTGCGCATGGTGACAAGCGCAACTTGGAGGACTTTGCCCGCTGGCGCGAGTTGGCAAGAATTGGATCGTTGCAGGCGGACCGAGTGCTATTGAGTGAGCAGGCTGTCATCCTGCAGGATTTCCACGGAGCGGAGGAGCTCGAGCCGATCGATCCGTCCTGGCCAACGCTGGACGTGGCTGGACGTGGCGGTTAGTGGCGGTTAGTGGCTGGATCTATGCATGCATACACAATACACAATGCTGTCCAGTCTGATCCCGTACAGCCGATAGGTCAACTCTGGTCATGCAATATGATGTACTATCGGTGATGATGTGTTCATAGATGCCTCAGCACGCTTACTCCGACAAGCTTTGGCATGCCCACCCCCCAAGGATCAACTCGCACGTATAAGCCGCAATCCTACTAGTTTTATCGCAGGCCTGCATGTAAGCTCTGCGTCCACCTTGACCGGCCGCATAAGCACCACAGAAATTCTGTACTGATGCAAAGACATGGCAGAGTCCCGGCACCATATCCGGTGCTGGGATGCACGATCCATGATGATCCTTGATCAACACCTCGGGGTATTCGGCTGTAAGGCATCTGCAAACCCCGCTTTTGCCTATATAAAGAACATGCATTCTGTCCCTGCTACCACCAACGGACCATTGCAACCCAACCTCAGAAAGAAACTCCTGCTCGATTCGCGACTCGATCTGCAAAATGTTGTTCATCATCGGTGTTGTACTTGGCTGCTTGCTTGTCGTGCGTGTCCATGCTCTGAAGACGCCCAACCGCAACACTAATTTCAGGGCGATCTACAGCACTTCTTTTATCGAGGACTGACCAACCCTCTCGCTCATATCCCGGGCCCGCCTTCTTCGCGATGGACCAGTGTGGTCTTCTCCTACTACTGCGTGCGCGGCGAGGTAGCCCAGTATGTCCATGGCCTGCACCGCAAATATGGTACTGTACAGCCCGTTGGACCCTGCCAGACGAAGACCGACCTCTAACCCGCTAACTCGCCCACTTGCCAGGCCCCGTCGTCCGCGTCACCCCCACTGAAGTCGACATCTGCGATACCAGCGCCGTCAAGCAAATTCACAAAACCGGCAGTGCCTTTCTCAAGTCCCAATGGTACGTCGACCTCACCCCGCGAGAGAGACAAAGCACCTTTTCCACCGTCGACCCCAAGTTCCATGCTGCCCACCGACGGCTGCTGTCCTCGCCCATCTCCGACTCGGCCCTGATGACCCAGTTCGAGCCACTCATCCGGGCCCGAGTCAGCCAAGCCATCGATGGACTAGACCGAGACATGGCAGCCACTGGGGCCGGGGATGTGTACAAATGGATGCTGTTTATGGCCACGGACATTATCGGGGAGATGTCCTTTGGCGAATCCTTCCGCATGCTGGACTCAGGCCAGGTGCGTGTGACTCCGCCCCCAGCAACCAGAGAATCTGGCTCACCTACCGCAGAAAAGCCAATACAGCAATGACCTGGAACGGATTGCGTTGACGGGGATCATCCGCACCACGTTCCCGACCATGTTCAAGCTCGCCGCGACTCTGCCGTTGCCCTACTTCCGCGAGACGGTGAAGGCCGTGAACCGTCTGGAGTCATATGCCGTGGCGTCCATCGGCCGCTATTATGGCATGCTGAAACAGAACCCAAAGGACCCCAAGCCCACCCTGTTCACCAAGCTGTATGACGCCGGCGAGAACGGCCTCTCGGAGACGGAGATCATCGCCGAGGCGCGCACCTTCATCGTGGCCGGTAGTGACACCACGGCCGTGACGCTAACCTACCTAATCCATGCCGTGTGCCAGAATCCCCAGATCCGAGACACCCTGGTCGCTGAGGTGGCGCAGCTGCCGGCCGACTTCACGGACCGGGATCTGCGGGGCCTGTCGTACTTGAACCGGGTCATTCTGGAGTCGCTCCGACTCTACAGTGCGGTTCCGTCGGCGCTGCGTCGTGCCGTGCCTGCCGGCGGGGCGCATCTGGCGGGCTATAGTTTTCCTGCTGGGGTCACAGTGGGAACGCAGTCGTATTCTCTGCATCGCGACGAGAAGATCTTCCTGGACGCGGAGAGGTTTGAGCCGGATCGGTGGGTGTCACCCACGCAAGTGATGAAGGATGCTTCGCTGCCGTTTGGTGGAGGGTCGCGTGGTAGGTTTGAGATTGTACTTGTTACTGGGCGAAAGATCAGTGCTAATAGATGATTTAGTCTGTCTGGGAATACACCTGGCGCGAATCGAGCTACGTCTGGCCACAGCGATGTTCTTCCGTCGATTTCCGCAGGCGCGCGTGTCGAGTCGCTATGGCATGAGCGAAGCAGACATGGTGATGGAGACTTTCTTTCTGATGGCACCCAAGGGACACCGGTGTCTGATCGAAGGAAGAGATATGCAGCACAAGGTTCAGTTTTAGTTTTAGTAGATGATGATGATGATGATGATGATGATGATGATGATCGTCACAAGGGCTTGATACCATACCGCCGTAAATTGCAAATAAGTTCAATATCTAAAAGATTGCTTTAGATGGTAATAGACTCGACGATGGATGATGGGTGTGGTATGTCATCGTAATGGTCTTCCCCGCACTCAGCATCAACAAAGCTTCCCCGCTTCAAACCTCACCTCACCTCACCAAACCAGTAACACACCACAACACACCACAACACAAACCACTGGGCACATCCATCCACAACCATGTCCAACCCACCCGGCACCAAGCCCCTCAGTGACCGTGAGGCACTAGCCTTGCGGCAAATCCCCACGATGACCTTCTCCACCGCCACCAACCCTCTAACCGGCCCTCTTCCCCCCGACCCGAGCGCCTCCACCCCAGCCCTCCGCGCCGCATCACGCTTCGCCGTCCCCGGAAGAGCCATCATCACCGGCGGTGCCGGATCCCTGGGCGTAACCGTTGCGCGAGCCCTACTCGAACACGGCCTGACCGCACTCTCCCTCCTCGACCTGCCCGCGACGATCACCACCTCGACCGCAGCGCTGACCGAACTCACCACCTCTTTCCCAGACGCACAAATCCACATCTATCCGGTCGACGTGACAGCGCCCGAAAGCATCAACACCACTATCACCACGGCCGTAACCAGCATGGGCGGGGTAGACCACCTCCTCAGCTTCGCGGGCATCGTCTCCTGCACGCCGTCGACCACCGCCACACCCAGCGAGTTCGCCAAAGTCCTCGACGTCAACCTCACGGGCTCCTTCCTCTGCGCCCAGGCTGTCGCGGCCCACATGATCGCCCAAGGCACCGGGGGCAGCATCGTCTTCACGGCCTCCATCTCCGCCCACGCGACCAACTTCCCGCAGCCGCAGGTGGCCTACAACGTCAGCAAGGCCGGGGTCGTGCATATGACTCGCAACCTGGCGGCCGAGTGGGCCGTCCACGGGATCCGGGTCAATAGTGTGAGTCCCGGGTATATGGATACGGTGCTGAATGCCGGGGACGGACTGCAGCCGTTGCGGGACATCTGGGCGCAGCGGTGTCCGATGGGGCGAATGGGGGATGTGGAGGAGGTGACCGGGGCGTTTGTGTTGCTGTGTAGTCCGCGGGGCGGGAGGTATATCACGGGAGTGGACTTAGTGGTGGATGGGGGAGCGATGACTTTGTGAGCGCCCTGGATGATAGACAGGGATGGGGATGGGGATGGGGATGGGTTAGGGCGGAATGACGGGTTGGTGGTACTTCGATCTTGCCTCCGTAGATATAAGATCAGAGGCTGGAAGTAGACATCTGATCAATGATGGCAGAAGCTGTGGAGTACTACCAGTGACACGGCTTGTACACATGGCTTGAGTTCGCTACAACAGGTATTTGTGTTCCTCGTGAGGTGATACAGTAGCATGCCTTGTTAAGCTCAACATACGGTCGGAACTGCATTTGACCCGTTGTTCAGCCGAAAGTATTGGCCTTTCTAGCATGACCACGAAGAGACTGTCCAGATACTAGAATGACCGTGATGATAGAGTCCGAAGTATCACAACAATGAGGGCGATATGACGCTGATAGGCAGGATGAAAGTCAATGACTAGGCCGAAAGGGGCAATTCTGATGAGAGCCCCCCTCCCTGATAAGATTCCCAGACAATCAGGAAAGCCACTTTCCCTCCAGATATATCCGGCACCAAGTCTGCCATGAGTTTGATAAGAGATAATCGTATATAGGTGTCATCTGACATCGCCCACGCACTTAAAGGCGACTCCACGAGCCTACCCACTAGTCCGCATCAACCGCATCCATCCCATCACCCTATCTGGATCCAGACCCTAAGCACTACTAATCCACCATGACTCGTCTCCCCCTCCCAGTCCCCCCCCCCATCGACCCCTCCTACACCCCTGCCACCAGCATTACCACCCTCCCCGCCACCAGCCCCATCGAATCCATCCTCGCCGTCCTCGAGCGCGACGGCGGCCTCATCCTGCGCGACCTCGTCACCACCTCGGAACTGCAAGCCATTGCCGCTGAGACCGCACCATGGAGCACCCCACGACGCCACCTGGATTCCACCGCGCAGGGCGACGCCTTCTACACGATCCCCCCACAGACGACCCTCATCCCAGGCCTGGTGGGCAAATCCGTCACCGCGGCGCGCATCTGCGAGCACCCCGTCCTTGACGCCCTGCGCGAGCGCATCCTCGTCGACGAGTTCACCGTCACTCGCGAGGGGTTCTTAGAGCCCAATCGCATCGACCCCCTGCTGAGCATGAGCGCCTCGATGAACATCGGCTACGGGGCGCCGCGCCAGCTGCTCCACCGCGACGACAACGTGCACGGGGTGAGGCACCAAGCCCCTCCGGGAGAGTGGTCGCTCCAGAATGCCAGCCAGTTCGGGTGTCTCGTGGCCGGGTGCGACGTGACGCGAGAGAAGGGGGCGACCATGTTCGTGCCGGGCAGTCATAAATGGGGGGATGGCCGGCCGGCCATGCCCGACGAGGTGTGTTTTGCTGGTACGTCTGCCCTTGATCCCGATCAGCTCGTTTGCACTCGTGGAATGAGAGCGACTGTATACTCGAGACTAGCTGACTGGATGCGCCGTGGTCTGGGACGTAGAAATGTCCCCCGGCTCGGCCCTGATCTTCCTCGGATCCGCCTACCACGGCGGCGGACACAATTCCGTGCCCGACTCGGTGCGGACCATGCACAGCTTCTTCTTCGTCCGGGGCACGTACCGCACCGAGGAGAACCAGTTCCTGGCGATCCCGCGCAGCAAAGTGCTGGAGATGAGCCCCAAGATGTTGCAGCTGCTGGGGTATACGAAGCCGACCACCTCGTTGGGGATTGCGGATAACATCAGTCCGCATGAGGACGTAAAGGGAATTTGGGAGAGGGTGTGCCAGTAGTGTGGGACCTGAAACATCGACAGGGTGTTTGGGTTAGTGATGACAGAATGGCTTGAATGTTGGCTGTAAACAAAAGCCTCGAGACTGTTACTGAGACTATATTCTACTTGATCAGAGGAGACCAAATGTTGAACTACTGATTCAAGCCAAGTCAAGTCTATATCAATACCAAAATCGTTACATGCGTTATACCTCAACCCAACCCCAAAACCAAAAGATCTACAGGTGAGAAGTGATAATACCCCCCGTGACAATCATCTTGATGGTGAGATAGTCATCCAAGCCGTACTTGCTTCCCTCGCGGCCCATGCCTGAGTGCTTCACACCTCCGAATCTGCAGAACCATTAGCATCAACACAGTCACAAATAAGCGGAGAACATACGGCGCCGGCGCATCGGAGATCACCCCCGTATTGAGCGCCACCATCCCTGTCTGCAACCCCTCCGACACCCGGTGGGATCTGGCCAAGTCTGTGGTCATGACATACGCCGCCAGCCCGACCTCCGCCTTGTTGGCCCTTTGGAGCACCTCCTCTTCCGTCTTGAACCTGATCAGCGCCGCCAGCGGGCCAAAGGTCTCCTCCGCCGTGACGCGCATCGAGTCATCCACATCGCCCAGGATGGTCAATTCATGGAAATTCCGCCCCAGCTTCGGCAACGCATTGCCCCCGAGCAGCACAGTGGCTTTCTTCTCCACCGCGTCCTGGATATGCTCCGCCGTCTTGCCCCAGCCGTTGGTCAGCGGGCCATGCGTCGCCTGCGCATCCTCCAACCCATTCCCTACGCGGAACTTCCGCACCTCCTCCACCAACCGCCGACTGAACTGGTCATAGATCCCCTCCTGCACGTAGATGCGATTGGCACAGACGCACGTCTGGCCTGTGACCTTGAACTTACTGGCAATAGCAGCTGTGACCGCGACCTCGACGTCCGCATCATCGAACACAATGAACGGGGCATTGCCGCCCAGCTCGAGACTCAACTTCTTGAGCGTGTCGCTACTCTGCCGCATGAGTAGCTTTCCGACGCGCGTCGACCCGGTAAACGAGATCTTCTTGACCCCCTCGCTCTCGCACAGCGCCAGCCCCAGCTGGGGGGTGTTCTCCAACGCGGTGACGACGTTCAACACCCCCTTGGGCACGCCCGCCCGCTCCGCCAGGACGGCCAAGGCATTCGACGCGAACGGGGTGAGCCCATCCGACTTGAGCACGACGGTGCAGCCGGCCGCCAGCGCGGCGGCGACCTTGCGCGCCCCCATGGCCAGGGGAAAGTTCCAGGGCACGATGAGCCCGCACACGCCGACGGGCTCCTTGAGCACCTGCACGCGGCTGGCCGGGTTGCTGTGCGGGATCACGTCGCCGTAGATGCGCGCCGCCTCCTCGCCAAACCACTCGAAGAAACTGGCCGCGAAGAGCACCTCGCCCTCCGCGTCGCCTTTCACTTTGCCATTCTCCGCCGTGATGATCCGGCCGATGTCCCGTTGGTTGGCGACCAGGAGATCGTACAGCTTGCGCAGGATGCGGCCGCGTTGCCGGCCGGATTGGCTGCGCCAGGCGGGGAAGGCGGCGCCGGCGGCCGCGATGGCGCTGTGGATGTCTGCGACGGTGGATTCGGGGCAGTGGCCCAGGATGGTCTCGTCGGCCGGGTTGCTGATGGGGAAGGTCTGGCCAGACTGACTGGGGACCCAGGCGCCGTTGATGTAGGATTTGTCGACAAAGAGGGTCGGGTCTTGGAGGGTGGAGGCGAAGGAGGCCATTTTGGTGGTGGTGTGTGTTATCTGGATGGTGTTGAATGTCGTTTGTTCAGGGACGGGGTAAGCTGGTTTATATGAATAGAGGAGTGTACAGCTCAGTATAAGACCGAGGGTGACTGCAATTGACCTTCCTAGTCGAGGCAAAACAATGAGATACCCTCGGCTGGCGATGCTCGGCTTTCCCTCCCGATCCCCGACTTCGGCAAGCCTCGGATACAGTTGCCTGTTTGGGTGTCTTTGGAGAGAGCCCTCTTATGACCCGACCGAGCTTGATTCACTCCATAACTACTATACAAGTATGCCCGCAAGCCTAAGTAACAAAAACCTGCAATTGAGGCAGCTCCGCCGCCCAATTCCGCTCGGCACCCCCCTCCCACACCTGCTGCAGCAGCTCCATCGCTCGGATGATGTTGGCAAACCCATTGCGCCGAAACTGCCGCTCCAGAAACCTCCGGAAGAAGCGCTGGTCCTCCGTCCGCCGACACTCCAAGCCGATGATGAACGCCGACCACACCAGCACGTGGTCCATCTGCGCCACCGCGGGATACAGCACCAGCAACTGCTTGAATTGGTCGACCAGATGCGAGAGCGCCCGCGGCAGGCTCCCCGTCCGGGCCAGCGCGCGCTGGAGGTAGATATCGTACGCCTGCTGCCGGACCTCGGCGATGCGGTCCAGGGCCAGCGCATGGCGCGGGTGCAAGGTGCGGTAGTAGCGGAGGCAGTCGAAGCTCTGCGCCCCGTGCGACAGGATCGCACAGATGCCCGAGTCGAGGCTGATGAGAGGGCTGGCATTGACGCGCATTCTACAGTCAAATCCGTATAAGTATCTCGCACCCAACGACGGTGTGCCTGGGCTACTACTCACTTGCGTATCTCCCGCAGGAGAAATGCAGACACCTCGCCCCCGTCAAGCCCCCCATCTCCCCCAACCGCATCGATCGCTGATTGCAGCATGCGGAACAAGATCGGAAAGTCCGAGCCACCCGTGACCATCACGGCCAGCAGGAGGATGAGGATGGTCAGGATGACGGACTTCTTGGTCGCCATGTCGCAGGCGCCCAGGTCGCTGCGGCGCTGCAGCCCCCGGATGACTTGCGTGTAGAGCCTCCGGGGGTCGGCACAGCCGGGGCTGCTGCCGACCGTGCCCAGGAGGTGGAGGGAGGCGACGGACAGGACGGAGTTGAGGACCAGCTCGTCGGTGTGTGCGATAGGAAGGATGGTGCCGCGCCAGCCGTTGTGCTGGTCGTCGATGACCACCATCTGCGGGGCGATTTGTTCGGAGACTTCGATGGTCAGTGGTGGGATGGCCAGGGTTAGGTTCATGTGCTTACAATATGTGAGGAGGTAGGACTTCCATGCTTCAAGCTCGGCTAATGGGGGCGTGATGATTGAGATGGAGTCAAAGGAGGAGACGGCGGGTTCTGGTGATCGATCGCTGTCTGAGGTCTGGGGCGATGGCGAGAATAGGGCAGGGTCCTCATCAGGAGACGACGGAGCGTTCTTGCACTCGTTTGGGAACAGGATCTTAAGAACTTCCTCCGGGGTCTCGAAGAGACAGCCCGATCCGGTTCTGCCCTTGCTCCAGCTCGACCTCCTGTCTTGTCAGCATCCATCGGTGTGCGCTGACTTTCCCGCAGACGTACGGTGGTAAGATGTGCTTTCGGGGTCCTCTTCTTTTGCTTGCATCACGGAACCGAAATCGCATCCCCAGACCGCTACAGCTGATGCCCTTGGCAGTACATTTCCCACAGACAGGCTCTTTTCTATCGCAGTGGATGCGGCGCTGGGAACACTCATAGCATCCTGTCTGATCATCAGCCTCAGCCCCTGCAAGCTGATGACGAAGCGTACTATACCTTTGGTCTTGGGGACATAAGGTCTGTTTCGCAGAGGCATGATGCTGATTCTATCCTGACTGGGTTTACAGAAGGAAATGACATGTGAGGTGCAATCAAGGAGCAGCAGTGACTGCGATAACCTTCCACTTCCAGATGCGATCATGCATCGATACATGCTTATCTTCCCCGCATTTGCTCTTATCGGACGCTAGTCCCAAGACGGCAAGAAAAATGAGAGCCCGAGTAGCCCGAGAGGCGAGCCAATGATTGGCCTCGGCTCGTCGGCTGTCCGGCTACTCCATCCGATCGCTATCTTTGCATCCTGGCATACAATGAGTGGCTGGGGTTGATATGATATCGACTCTGATGGCTCAACAGACACATCGCTCGGTTGCGTGCCGACGCGGGTGTCGAGACTGCACCCCAAGGTGGCTGGCTACGTCATCGAGATAGAGTTGTTCTGTGCGGTGAGCCCCGATTGTGAAATTCGTGCATTGAGCCATTGAAGTGGAGAAAAAGTGGTAATGGTAAACGATACGAGATACTGGAGTATGGACCATGATAAGGTAGACGAGTTCGAACGACCAGAGCGTGGCTAATTGTATCTGGATGCCGCCGGAGTTGGTGGAGGGTGGCCAGTAGCCAAACTTCAATTAACTGTTATGGCATACAGAGGAGTCAGCCCGCGTATATAGCTGATCCGCTTGTCAATTGACCATGTTTCTCCCAATAGTGCAGAAAACCACACTCACAAAAGAAGACGGTATCTATCATGAGAGTCGCTGACTGGAGCAGATGGAAAAGGAGGATGCTTAGGGACGACAGGCGGTGCGAAGAGCAGACTGGGTCTAAATGCACAGGCAGCCCTCGTATCTATAGTGAAATGATGCTATTCCGAAACAGCTGATCCGTGCGCTCCTCCAATGGTTTCAACTTAAGACATGAGTCCATTCGTCAAGCAAAAGTATCCTAGCCAATACTAGCGGCAGAACGGAGGTAAAAATACAGATCCCAGGCTTTGATGAGAGGCAGCTACCAGACAAGACCACCAAGCAACCTGAGACCGCAGTGTACACAGGCTGCAAGACTCTCCCGGCTCGAATTGACAGAATGGGCAAGCTCACACATAAGCCGAGATTCCATCCCATCCCCTGGACATTTACTTCATAGGTGATACAAATCTTCTCGTTGTTCACGTCCACCGCGTCCGCCACGGTGATGTTCTCCGCGAGTCCCGCTAGCCAAAGCGTCTGGTTCGATGTCGTCACGTTCCCGTGGTCCCCAAAGTACGGCACGAAGGCGCCCACCCCCAGGAAGGAGAAGGGTTAGACTGTCCACAGACCCATAGGGCAACAATCATTCCGCATGCACGCCGCCGCGTAGTTCGTGCTAATACCTTCGACAGCTCAGACATAAGACGCAGCGGGTGTAAATCAGCTGCCATCACAGCGCACAAGGGTACCAAAGAGAAAGGCAGGTAACATGTCGCATGTGTAGTACATGAAATAAATCGAACCTAACGAACACTGGGGAGCGGAATCCCTGTAATCAAGGGCATTAGGCATCGAAATGGGGGGTGGGATGCTGGAAGGTCACCGGCCCTCCACCGATTGAAACCGACTTGCCATCCTGCTGCAGCCCACCCCCAGGGATATAGACCCGACTGTCTAGGCCAACAGCCTGACTTCCATGGCGTGGAATGGGCATGGGCGCCAACTCGGTCCACTTCTGCGACTGGGGCTTATACTTCTGTGTCTGATTGAACACTCCGGTGGCAGCGTCGACATTGCCTTCCCCACCGAACACGTAAAGCTCGCCTCCTACAGCACTGCCGGACAAGCCGCCCCGCGACACTAGCATCCGACCCTTGCTGGTACTCCCGAGGTGGTGTTGAAGGCAATGACACTCGTCACCGCATCCTGATACCCTGTTTGCAGCACCGTCATTCCGCCGGCCAGGTAGACCATCTCCTCATGCACCCCAACCACCGCGCTGCCCTTCTCGGTGCCGCGTGGCATCAGCTCGATTTCACGCCAGGCATCCACGGCAGGATCATACACGTAGCAGGCCCGAGTGGCCACCCAATTCATGGTTACGCCCGGCGAGAGAGGAGCCTCGATCAGGCCCCCGAGCAAGTACAATTTTTCGCCCACCTTAGGCGCATTGGCGTGGTTGACCTTGTGCGGTGCGGGCTGGGGGATTGAAGTGAGGTTTACCCACTGCCCGGGGTTGCACGAAGGGGCTGCGGTGGCGACACCAACCAGTCCGAGGACCGTTAGTCCCAGAGCAGATAGAGAAACAGGCATGGTACAGCACAGTACGGGTTATCGGACGGGAGAGAATTATACAAGCGGGATGACCAAAGGGTCTGATATGCTGACTTAGTGGAACTCTTTGGGGCACCGAAAGGGCCGTTTTTTTAGAGATTAAATACTTCACAGGGACCTCTGCACAGCAGTCGGCAGGATGACATGATCTCACAACCGGAATCTCCTGATTGCCCTGACCGCAATTGTCTTCTGTTCTTGTCTCTCCCATCGCTTCGGTTGAGGAGCAAGGGAAGTCACTCCTGACTAAAATTGATCACGTCGTAGAAATACCCTCGTTGCCTGTGTAGCTTCCCAGCCCCCTCTAGCCACCTCACCTGGCTTCTATGTTCTCTCCCATTCAGCGAGCTTGAGAAGAATACATGTTGAGTGTAAATATCTGACGCCGGCCTAATCGCTGTCTTGTTAACTATTCGTTAATGCCTCCTTTCATTACAACAAATCTGCTACTACTCCTAGGTGCATCTAAGTTTCCTATTCTATGGACTGTACAGGCCAGACTTGCGAGCTAATACGGTGCTTTTGGCAAAACAGGCAATATGAAAATCGACCAAGCGCGTTTCATGGGTCGAACATGGGTCTAATACGTGAGGCCTTTACCTTTAGGTGGAGTAGGCCGCGTTTAGTTAGAGGATTTGGAGAACAAATAATCGATCCAGCGAGAATCAAACCAAGCTCTGTAGTTTGAGAACACGATTGCTATCCCGTCGAAATGAGGAGATGAGCGCAACGGAGTGCCAGTGCCGGCCCATGAGGCCAAGACAGGCTCCGCCTTACTTTCGGCCTGATGTACGTAGCCTGCAGGCTCGGGGAGAACGCAGACACTGTATATGGCTCCAGTTCCATCCAGAGACTGAGGTTAGGGTCCAATAGCGTGCATGGATGAAGATCTCCACCTTTCCAAGGGTCCTGGGCATCCACCAATTCTTTCAGGGTTTACGTAGCCAGATGATCAGTGATCCGGCAAGCGGCAGGCGATATGTATAGATTCAGTTGGAGTGGAGTTGGGGAGGATCCACCGGTTATCTGATAAGACTGATTTGCCTACGGGTGAAACACCTCGGGAGAGAGATTATGATCCTTACCCAGAACGAACCGAGGCTCAAGCAGGCTGTCAATTACTGTCTCGCCTCCTTCAAGGGCAGAGTCGCTTACCCGCGTCGAGAAACGCTGCCTGCCCGGTAATCCCCTTCCCTCTTCTACCTTGTGTAGCTCGTGCAAAGGACTACTGTCGGGTCGAGTAAACCACGGGTGACCTTGATCCCCAAATTTCTGATGCCTTCCAAGTGCTTCCGAGTGGCTGTGCCGCTGGGCAGGAATATGATTGTTGATGTTGTCTCGGATTCAATTCTGTGCGCTGGTTTGAAACAAGTGTGACCGTGGTGTGTATCACCACGGAAGGTTAGAGATATAGCCTGCATGATGGAAGAACTATCTCCCTAGATGTGAGTCTGTAGGTCCTACCGCCAACGAACATGTCCGATATGGCTGTGGATAAGGGCTCCAACATAGTTCCATATTGGTGATGTCTAGAGGATGGAATAGACCTGTGATAGATACAGTGAAGAAACAAGCATCGTAGTCAAGCAGTAATCTGCCCATGAGGATAACAGTGCAATAACAGCGGCTCCGGCGAGCATGTCAACACTGGAAAGCAAAGCCTTAACCAAGGAAGGGACCAATATCAACTCTGCCGAAAACCTTTCCGTCTTGTCAAGCGTGACCTAAGGTAAACCCATATACGTTTTCACTTAACGTCCACATTTCTCAACAATCTATATACAAACGCAATCTCCCGCTCAACCCCCCCCTCAAAACATCTTCCATTGCCATCTGAGCCCCAGCCCCCCGCACCGACGCCCCTTTGCCCTCTTACCTACCTACCAATCGACCTCCCATCCACCCTCTCCATCACCGTCTCCTCATGCTCCGAATAAGCGTCTTTCTCCCCATCCTTCCCCCCCGTCTCCCCAGCCCATTGCAACTCCTGCTGCACCGGAACCGGCTCAAACCCGACCTTGTACCAGGGCAGCGCCATCAAAGCCCCGGTACTCTCCATACTGCGGCCCTTGCACTCTGGAAAAGCGAAGAAGACCCAGATGGTGCCGCAGAAGGTGCAGGCGGCGAACAGCGCAAACGGGCCCCAGGGGTGCAAGGCGACGGTCATGTTGGGGAACCCGCGGGTGATGCCAAAGTTAAGCAGGTTCTGGTAGGTAAACGCCAGAGTGATGACCGTGCCGCGCATGCTGGTCGGGCAGATCTCAGAGGCAGTCAGGGAAAACGCAGGCGCCCAGCCGAAGCCGTAGCCGACGGCAAAGACACACAGGGCGACGACGGCGATGATGGCTGCTGCGCTGGGGCTGCTGTTTGTGGCCGAGAAATCGGCTTTGCCCAGGTAGGCGGCGATGTAGATCAGACAGACGAGGTTGATGGTGGAGCCGGCGAGGAGGAGGGGCCGGCGGCCGAAGCGCTCGGTGAGAAAGAAGGCGTACAGAAACACCGACAGGAACTTGATGGTGCCATACACTGCGGAGAAAAGGAGGACTTTCGAGGAGTTGAGGCCGATCGAGGCCAGGATGGTCGGGGCGTAGTAGGTGATGCTGTTGCCGCCGGACATGATGAAGAAGGTCTGAATAAAGAGGACCAGCACCAGGACCTTGCGGAAGGTCGGGTCGGAGGCGAACTGCCGGCAGGACTGCTGGATAGACTTCCAGGGCGACTGGCCGGTGGCGGGGGCGTCCTCGCTGTGGTCGAGTTTGTTGCGCAGCTCGGTGTACTCACGGGCAAAGTAGGCGTTGCGTTCATCGAGCCCGCCACGCAAGCGGATGAGACTGCGGCGTGCGGCGGCGACCTGGCCGCGCATCATGAGGAACCGAGGGCTTTCGGGACAGAAGGGGTAGCCCACCAACAGGATGGTGGATGGGATGAGCTGTAGAATCATCGGAATCCGCCATTGCCATTCGGATCCCGCGGGGATCACCATCGTCACGGCATAGTTGATCCAAAACGCCCCAGCCACGCCGGTCATAATGCCGGCGTTGTAGAAGGTGGACAACATGCCGCGGAGCTCGGTGGGCGCTACTTCGGAGATGTAGACGGGGCCTGCTGAGTAGGCGATGCCTGACCCCAGGCCAGAGACGGTACGGCCTACCATGAGTTCGGCCAAAGAACCGAAGTTGACCGCCATGAGCAGCGCACCGATGGTGTATGTGATTGCAGCCAACAAAATCACCGGTTTGCGGCCTCGACGTTCCATGATCGGGCCGGAGAGGAGGATGCCTGCGGTTTGACCCTGTGACTCGGTTAGAAGATCAGGAAGGTAACCGTGGGTGCTCTATGTGCTCTCGAGGGAGATGGGAAGGACACTCAAAAGCGACTTACCAGCAGCATTGAGGAGGTGACCCAGCCCTTGTAGTTGGTGACTGTCCCCGCAGAAAGCGAGTCCCAGCCGTACTCGTGCTTGAAGGCACTCATTCCCATCACGCCAGAGATGTTGGAAGAGTTGAAGCCGTGAAGGCTACCACAGTAAGAGGCCCAGATGGCAACCAGCCAGATGAAGGCCGCTCGGGCTGGTTTGGGAACCTGTTTCAGGGCATCCTTGGAGATGCCTCCACCGGTGGCTCCCATAGAAACACGATTAGTCTAAGACGATGGAATGCAAACAGCAACGAGCGATGAGGACGGCGAGAATAAATCAAAGCTAGAGAGGGTGTTGGCCTGACAGAGAAGATCATTACCGTCCTGCCAGGCTATATGTGAGGGCTGGGATGACTACCCCAGACCTCTAGTCTTGGCAATCTCACCATACACCTGATGCTCACCGAAATCCCCACATTCAGTTGTGCGTTAAAACTGGGGAAATAGGAATTAGGAGCTCTCCGAGCGGGTGTGTCGTGTGCTGTGCTGGAGCATTCCGGGGGAGGGATTCTGGGGACGGCTGGTAAGGACTGGACGGAGATAAAGGAAACCTGCTGATTCGCCACCACATCCTCGTGAACGTTCTGCGAAGGAATTCCCATGTGAGTATTTCAGCCAATCGATGTTAGATGCAAAAGCTTGACTTCAACAAAGCCTTTCCAGTTCGAGGGTGCGGTAGGCGAGCAGGCGGGATTGGCATATCTCTACTGTCCATGTGGACTTGATGGGCCCATGGTATAATCCGTTACGGTCAATACCTGTATCTCATGCATTGAGTTTCGAATGCAATAAAACGAATCTTGACCCTATTTTCCGAGGTAGGCCAAAGCTGGCTGGATGCACTGGAAGGTCATGATATATCAACAAAACGACTTCATAGAAAGAAATTCAGCGCAGATCGATGCATGTGTCATTTCAAAGAGGTTATGGTCGGATGCATGTGCCGTGATTGTCCACCTTCAGCACTTCCATACCGGTGGCACCACCTGATAGCTAAAGCGGGGAGTGTAGAAGAATGCACTGCATCAGCTTCCTGGACCATCTCATCTGTATCTGCCAATGGGACGTTGTCACCTTTGCCTCTCGGCGTTGCGCAAGCTGCGTTACTCATGGCCCAAGGCTCAGACACCTCCTACTGCGATGTGCCATGAGCATAGGTCAAGCCGTAGGGGAAATGATTCTTATTGGAATCGGATTGACCGGCGGTAAGGATAGACGACCCATTTGCCTTGATGACGGCGAACAAGACATGTGCCGGTTGTTGATACTGCCTCGTTCTGGACTTCACAGGTCATTCAATCTCCGAAAATACGCCCTAGTGTCGATGGCGGATGGGGTCCTCGGCACTATCTCGTAGGTTTCTACTATGTATGACCAAGTGCTAAGACTCGTTGGATTCGGAGTCACCGGATCTCGTACCATAATGCACATTGTAATCTGAACATGTCCTGTACCTTTGAACACGATGTATGACTGTTCGACTGTTCTACTATTCTACTATTTTACTGTCTCTCGGATCAATCCGCAGCGCAGGGATAAGGGAATCATACTCTCATGTCGCC